TTTTCAGTTTATTTAATTTAGGATGTTTTACTTTAATGTTACAGTTTTTTATAGCTGCCAGCAGTGTTGTGTACTCGAGACTCGGACTCGGTCTCGAGACCATATTTTAATGGTCTTGGTCTTGTCATGGACTCGTGTGCATTTTGACTCGGAATTGACTCGTACTCGAACATATTAGGACTCGGACTTATTCCCGAGTCCCATTCAAAATATGTCATGATTATTACTGTATGTTAATATTTCTTTAAATTGTTGTTTGATTGAAACGTCCAATGATTGCTGACTTTCTTGTGCGCAACTGCGCATGACTTGAGACTATAACGTTCGCGGCGCGCAAATGCAGCAGGACCCAGGTCAGATGTGATGTGGAGCCTCTAGCTCAACTATGTATTGAAAATGTCTGCCTTATCATCCATAATTCAGTTTGCATATAAGAGCCACACATAATTCGTGTGCAGTAATGTTATGTGTAAGAGCACTTACTGATTGTAATAATTGGAAGTCATAATTGTAATAAAATTACCTTTACACCACCTACTATGTGGCCTTTTTACCATTACAGTGTACATAATTTCCTTGGTATATTTGATTTACTGTTTGAGTATGGTGCCAATTTTATTGTTACCACCAAATATTTTACATATTCTTGAAGATATCTTTAGGTCTGGTTTCATACCCAACCTTAGGTTATCCAACCTCTCTGGTCTCGGTCTCGACTCGGACTCGACCTCGACCCTCTATAGTCTCGGTCTCGACTCGGACTCGAGTGAGCTGGTCTCGACTACAACACTGGCTGCCAGTCATTTAACCGTTTTATCATTTAACTGTTTTGTTAATTACTGATTTTACATACATGTTTATGTAATTTAAGAAAACAAAAAAAATACTGTATGAAAAATACAATCAATTTTCTGTATAAAAAATGTGAATTACTGGAGTTTGTCATTAATGTCACAATACCTAAAATAACAGCTGATTTTTTATTTTACATATATTATTTGTAATTTTACAGTGTTTTGAGTACAATTTAAAATTAAAGAAAATGATCATCAAAAAATCTTTTTTTTTTTTTTTTTTTTTTTTTTACAGTGTATGGCCTCTGGAAGTGTGGTTAACTTTGTCTTTAGTAAACTCTCTGTCAACTGATTAAACTTCAACTTAGATGGTATTCATTGAGCATACTGGTCTGTTTTGTATTCTAGTCTATATGTGCGCTGCGCAGTGATATGATGATTAACAAGTGTTTCACGCCATAACTGTTACTATTCCTCTCCACTGGTGTGTGGTGAGCTAGCCTATATTTTCCCCATGTTTGAATATTCCTGTTTCTCCCTACTACAGTAGCCTATATGCTAAAACTAGTATGTAAAATTAATTATATGAATAATAAGCAAAGATTACCTGAATGAACTGCTTCCACACTAGATTCCGAAAGTAACCTATATCTTACATCCATGACACACAGCCATATCAACATGGGGCCGTTGTCCATTCAATTTTGAATGCTAGACACTTTTTAACCTTCTTAAAGTTTACAAAAAAAACTTTGCAGGTTTAAAACAACACCTAAATAGGCTAAATAAAATGTGGTACTTATAAAGCACATATTAATGCCTTATTCTGCATGACATTATTCTACATCCCTTAATCCTACCCAATAGGCCTACCTAAACTTAACAACTACCTAACTATTTATAAGCAGTAGCCTAATTAGAAGTTTATTGAGGCAAAAATCATAGTTAGTTATAGTGAGAATTGGACCCTAATCTAAAGTGTGACCGAAATTCCTGATAGCATGTGAAGGACGCATTAAACTTGTAATTAAACCCGTAATTTTCTGAGAGCTCCGACTTGCACAGCTGCAGATTCCTTTTGGCGTTGATAGTATTGGCATAGAAACACATAATTTCCAGGACATTAATAGCTCCGAGTAGAACATCACGTTGTCATCTCGTAATTACAGTAATTACAAAATTACAATGTTAAGTGATTTCAGCAAATGAGGCTTCATTTCTATTGTTTCACAACTTTTGTCCATGTACTTGTTCAATAATTTTTTTAATTTTTTTTTTTAAATTCTGCTGATTTCTGCTGAAATCTGGTGAACCCCCGAAAGAGTATCTAATGGTTTTAACTGATCTTGGGTCAGTTTTGTAATGTAGGTTCAACTAATCAATTTTAGTTTGACATAAAAAGGGAAGAACAATTGTTCCTAATTGGCCTAGTTTGCCAAGCCCTGTCTAAGAACACACAAAATAAGCACTACACATTAATGAAAAAACAGAAATTATACAGACTCTTCATATTTAATGGTATTATTGTAGATTCCATTTAGGTTACATTTTGATCATGTGTTCTCATTGCATTTACAACATCTTGACAGTGTGGTGTCGCCAGTGTGCAGTGTTTCAAGCGCTTCGTAAAAACTGAACCATTTTGCAGTGCAATAGTGTGGTGCAGGGATGCAAAATATTGTAGGCCAAAACCTGTAAAAGAGTTAGCATTTTAGCACTTCCGGTTCCATTGTCCTGAAGTCAATGGGTTTTTCGAATGGGTTTTTGGTTAAATGCTTGAAATAAGGTCTGTGGTGAACACAAGCTCAAGATATTTCCACATTTCATTACGTTATAAAACATATCTGTAATACCCTCTTGTGATTTTTTTTTTTTACTTGTCTTATAAAAGGCGGTTGCTAACAAGTGGCTAAATAGAACTACAGCGGTTGTGGAGGACATTAATCGTCATCAGCCAAACAGGTAAACTTATCAACTCACTAGTCCGCTTTCACAGCCTCGTTGTGTTCATAATTACCGTACGCTCTTGCAAACTATTATAACTCGAACTTTCAGGGAAAATGTTTTTAAACAAAACCTGAAAAAGTTGTCAGAAGCTTAGTGATGGTGACGGTGAAGTCATGCGACCATGGTAGCCTACGTTTAGCTTTTGATATACCGATTGTTTTTCTGCTTCAAAATTCATTAAAGTTGTTTTCATTTGTGAAGATTATAAAGATGAACAAATAGTGTAAGAATCATAAGCTTTTGTTAGTCTCAGACCTTATTTAATGCACTTATCCAAAAGTCCTATTGGGTTTTTTGGTAGGGAACCAGGGTGATGCTAACTTAGGTGATGATGAGTTGGCCTACACCACTCTATAGGTTCAATTGAATTAGAGATTCGAAAAGCTTAGTTTCTCCCATCACACAAGAACTGTTGCAACATCAATAGAGTGTAAGCACTCTCTGGTAACCAATGCAGAACCTAAAATAGAGCAGCATAGGAATTTTACAACAGCCACTTGATCATGTAGTGTGTGATCCATTGAGCACTTTGAAATAGTAAAACCCAAACAACGCCCTCTAGAGATTAAATTCTGAAGTGTAACTGCAAGTTATTCAATTAAACTTGACATGTTGACAAAATCACTGGACCATCAGATCTCTTTCACTACTGATATTGTAGAGAGGGGGAAAAAGCCCATTTCTTTGTGGCTCAAGCACCCAGTCTGGTTCTGATTGTAGCCCTTTCTCATGCTCTCATTGGTTATTATAACACTAGCAAATAAATTATGCCTTTCCTGTGTTACACATTACCACATTGGTGTCCATTTGTTTCTAATAAAATCAACAAAATGAAGTATGTGACTCAGGAGATCTTTTCATTTTCATTAAACGATCAATTCACCCAAAAATGCCTCATGCCATTCCAAACACTCATGATATAGCCTACTATTGCACATATGCAGTCTGTCTAAGACTAGACCTCACTGTGTAGTACTACATATATTAGAGCCATTTACATGTAAGCATTTTCATGGTATAATAGACAAACAAACATAGTCACATCTCCATGTTTACAGCATAGGCTGCAGGTACAGTAATTCCCTGTAATCTGGGCCGTAATCTCAGCTTTGACTAATTGTATAGCGAGCTCTCTGTACTCCTAAATTAGCTGTGATACGTGGAAGACATGCAGACCAACTCAGGAAAAGACATCATATCGTTCACACACTGCACACTAAATTAACACACAGAGACAAAATGGCAATAAACCATATACTGTAAACAATGACTTAGCACCTGTAAATAAAACTTGTAAATAAAAGTCTTCAGTATAACAACATTTAATTCTCACAAAAATTCTTAAAGGCATAATCCACACAAATATGACAATTTCCGTCAAATCATTTGCCCACATGAGTAATTGTTTAAAAGATGACAGTAATTTCATTTTTTTTCTGAACTATCCCAACTGATACAACTTTAAATACAGTAATGTAAAACAATACATACAAATGTCAATTATTGCAACAGCCATTATTGCAAGGAGGTGGTGACAGACCACTCACTGAAAGAAATTGCCACACTAAATAGTAGGAATCGAAGTCTAGCCGTTTTGTCAAATGAGCCATGATTTGAGCTTAAGAAGCAATATTTATGATACCACTGCTGTATTTTATTGCTGATTTGAAATATGTTTCTGAAACAAATGTGTTTGAAGATTTTGGTCTTTCTTCATTCAAGCATATAGGAACTGTACTTATATGACTATTACACACTGTAGCCTACATAGAAAACAGCTGCCCGAAGATGTTTGCTATATGGCTGCCAAGTGAAGTGACTTGCCTTAAAGGGATTTTGGCTTAAAGCAGCCACTCCGTTAAGGGCAGTTAAAACAATGATAATATACATTATTGTTACATAATACAACTATAACCCCTGTTAATACTCACAATCTTCAATCAAAAATTTAAAGAGACAAATCTACTTTTCAAAATAACATTTTGGAGTTTGCAGCGTTTTTTCTTCTTTCATAAATGGGCACATTATTAGAGGCCACTTTTCATTGTTTTGTAAGTTTTCGGTTAATTTTCAAACATTTTTGATATTCAATAAAATAAACATTAAAATTAGCTGTTTATTTTGTCTTGAAATTTCTGACAAGCAGTGAAACTATAAAAGGTTCCAAAGAATAAAAAATAAATGTAATGTACTAAAAGTAATAGAACATTGATGGTCTGATTCAAGTAACTTTCAAGAATAATGCATCAGGGATCTTTTCCTCTGAAAACCAAAGATTGTTTGGCTGAGAGACGGACCACAGCTATAAGAATAAGGCACTAACAAAAATTTTAACCAATGGCATTGTCTGTGACTGCGATCTTGTTCTAATAAAGAAAAAAAGTGAAATGGTCTTTAACAGTAGGGAAAATATAATAATAAAAGCAACAAAATAGCGTATTTTAAGAAAGATCTATAGTTAACCATTTTTATTTGTGATGGCAATATAGTCTCCTAAGAGGAAAAAGAGAGGCTTTTGCTCAGGAATCACTGAGAGGTCATTTCCCAAAAGACAAGGCAAGTTTCTGGAAGAGGAACACAACAAGCAAATCAATACAAACAATGTTTTAGAATAAAAAATTTTTTTTTTAAATAGATGAAAAGCCTTAAAGTTCCACTTATGTTTACACTAGATGCAACATTGGAGACACAAAACATACTGTTAAAGTATAACATGCAGTTCTCATAACATTGCTATCACCTTCAATGTCATGCACCCAGCAGGATATTGGACATATGTCCTATGTTGAGGAACTTTCTCTTCGATTATCCATTGTTCTGATTAAATAAAACAAAAACAAAACATGAGGGGCGGAAATTTGCAAAGCTATATTCTATGAATAAGACATCTTAAAAGACATACTTACATTTGATGCTGCTGCAAAAAATCTGCAAACTGTCGATCTCTCGTGTAGAGTTCAAGGATGCGTATGCGATCTTGAATCTCCTACGGAATGGACAGGGAGAGATAATTCCATAAACAACATGTATCACACACTTGCTCATACAGTTTTCCAAAAAATAATAATAAAGAAAATTCACTTGCTGACCTAAATGGGTATACCATTAACATATGTTGTTAATATATTATTCTATTTTTATGCACACAGACCCATACCTCCTTGGTGAGTTCGCTGTTCTCATAAATATGGCGTATCTCTTCACTGCTGAAGTCAGTGGATGCTTCAGCACTGGCGCTGCTGTGGACTGGGGGCTCTGGGTACCGCTGGTAGTAATGGCTGTAGCCTGTCGTTAAATCGCTCTCGAACATGGGGTTATACTTAGTGGCTGTGTCTATAAATGGTGGCCTGTCCTCTCCCCTTCATACAAACATGTATACACACACAAAGTTGCAACAGCCATTGTTAAATCCACAGGTGTAAGAAGTCATGGCCTAAAGATGGTCAAGGGATCAAAGATCAGCCTTGTTGATGAATTAATGCAAATCTCATAATGGTATTACAGGAGATGTAAACTTCTTCCTAGGTAATGCACATGCAGTAATTAAAGAGATTTAAGTGAGAGAAAAAAGAACATTAAAGTGCCCCTATTATGCCATTTGAAAAGTTTAAAATTAATTTTAAATGCTAATTTTGTTTTGGTGGTGTTCTACAATAAATTTACATGCATCAAAGATAAAAAATACTTAAATTATCATAATATACATTGCACATCACCTCATTTGTCAAAGAGTCTGAAAATGGTTTGTTCAAAGATTCAGTCTCTCTAAACCCCTCCTTTCCACTAGCCTACTCTGCTCTAATTGGTCAGATGGCCCAGTCTGTTGTGATTGGCATTGGTCAACCGCTTATAGTGTGTGACGGAAACAAAACGGCCATTACTATATCTGAATTTCAGCTCCAGAGGCTTCCTCAGCGCTTGTACACACAGTGATGCGAACAGTAAAGATGGCACCATTTTTCCCATATCAATTCCAGAGTGAGTCCTCATCCTTTTGAAGTGCATGCAAAGTGGATTTGAAAACAGCGTCTTGTTGACAACACAAACCAAACTCTTCCAGGCTCCAGCTACAGTGTTTGAAGGTGGGAACATAGCTACATAGGTATGTAACAGGAAGTGAGACTGTAATTGCTGACAACTCGTTTAGGCAGTTCAGAATCTATATTCTTTCTTTTAAGAGACAAATTTATTTGTCATCCACTTTGATCTTTAAAACTTTGCAGACCTTTAACATTCACAAACAGCTATATTACACACTGCATGAAAGGTAATACTTGAAAAAGCATAATGGGGCACTTTAAATGTATATGTAACAGACTCATTCATAATCATTTCAATAAATAATTTATTTCAAGATTTGACTTGGTTTAGTGTGTAATGCAAAATTAAAACCGTAGTTTTATTTTAAAATACTTGTTTTTTATTAAGCAATTTGTAAGTTCGCATTCATCACCATTACAATTTAATTGTTTAATTTAGCTTTTATTGGAATTAAAATATCATGCGTTCATTGTGATTTTTTTTTTTTATGACATAGGACCTTTCTAGAAGCTCAAGGCTACTTTACTCAAGGTCAAACTCTTATCAAGGGTTCATGTCAGGTGATTGGCTCTGAAGGCTCAGACTTCTAAGGTAATGCTTCATGTACTGAAGCTCACTTATAGACAAAGTCTAAAATAGAAAGAATATTATAATGAACAGTGAAAGTATGCGAGTTGGAATGAAGTTGCGATTTACCAGGGGTGCTTTTCCTGAAAGCATCGTTAGCCAACTATGGTCGCTAGTTCCGTCGTTATCAGCATAGTTCAACGAGTCGGTGTTTCCCGAAAACATTGTTCCAACGAACATAAGCAAACTGCATCGCAAAGGTGTGTGGTTGGAACGACAGCTCTCGAGCTGTGGTTAGAAGCATAGTTTCTTGTTTGCATGACATCTGGAGTCAATAAATCCTTATCTTAAAGCTGCAGTCGGCAAGTCTGGCAGATTGAGTGGACTTAGGCAAAATTTTGAATGTTTACAACTCTCATGCCCCTCCCCCACTATCAACGGATACCCTCCCACCGAGTTCGTGCTCGTCAGTTCGTGTGCACCAGGTTATCTGTGAACGCGCCCATCTCATCAGCATCCATCAACACCATGGAGTATTTGGAGGTATGCTGCCCTGGCTAATCTACCGATAGATTGCAATTGCTAACGTCATTTATACTTTAAATGAGCTTACTTGATTTGTTAGTGTTTTGAAAGCGAGATACATCCGCCATCACTCAGGCGTGTGCATGTGATTGTAAGGTGCGCGAGGGGTGGCGTGTGCCCAATCTGTGATTGACAGTCAGATCTCACAACCCCCTGCGCTGATTGGACATGATGATCCGGGAGCTGTGGATTTTTGCAAAACAAATAACACGCTTCAGGTGGAGTTAGAAGCTCGGGTTTTTTTCTAAAACCACTTTATTTATGTTGTTCTGTCGGATTATAGTGTCGATTTCACTGAATATGATCAAAAAAATGTTGCCGACGGCAGCTTTAAGTCAAATAAGCAAGCTGACATTCAGTACAATCTATATTTTTATTTAGAATACATAATTTACGTCTTTTAATTTGTCAAGAGATTTAAAGCATCGTTTTTGAATAGTGCGCATGTGTAAACGTGCTTTACTAAGTAAGAACGAGCCTATGATTGAATCTTGAAATAAAGCAAAATAACTGAGAAAATTTTTAAATAGTTCTCAGATCCCATGTCCGTAATTTATAGCAAAAAATCAAGCATCAATTCGATCTCAAACAGATTAATTAAAAGAAGTTATTACTCCACCACCTGCGTGACATCGTGGTTGAACGACCAATTTGTGACAATATGGTTTCGGGAAACAGTCGTTACTAGCTAGTTGGTTTCTTCAACGATGCATCGTACTATGGTAGGGAAGCAGTGAGTAACTTCATTGTTCAGGAAACACACCCCAGATTGACTGTGATAGAGAATGTGTCTTACCGTACTTGGTCCTCCGTCTCATCCCTGTCATACTGGTCTCTCAGAGTTCTTGCTAAGAAGAAGATTACTCCTGATGCCACCAGCAGGAACCCAGCAACAGATGCTATGGCAATGCCAACCACGAGTGGCTCAGAAACATATTCTTCACAATGTTCCCCTCTGTACCACCAGTTTTCCCCCACACGGCATCTACAGAGCAGACACACACGCATAATAATAATAATAATAATAATTTGTTACATTTATATAGTGCTTTTCTGGGTACTCATAGCGCTTTACATAGAATGGGGGAATCTCCTCAACCACCACCAATGTGCAGCATATGCAGCCATATTGCGCCAGAACGCCCACCACACACCAGTTTATTGGTGGAGAGGAGACAGAGTGATGAAGCCAATCAGTATATGGGGATGATTAGGTGGCCATGATGATGAACCGAGGCCAATGGGCAAGTTTGGCCCACCTTAAGAAAATGCACCTTAAGAAAATGCCAGCCTAGCATCTACGTACTTCAAGATGAATGAGAATGCTGTTCTCCAGGTAGTATAGACCTCGCAGTACAGTATATGATCTGTATTTAGGCTTTCTTAAATTTGCACAAATTCATTAAAACTTTCTTGAGCATTATATAATCTAAATAAACATACCTGCAGATGGCTCCTTGGCCTGGAATGACATCACATTTCCCATCATTCAGGCAGAAGTCATGCTTAAGGTCACAGATGCTCTGGCAGGGTAGTCCGTCCACACTGAAGTAACCAGCATTACACACACATTCAGCCTCACCTGACCAGCGGTTCACTGTACATTCTGCAAACTCATTACATGCCTGAAACTTGCATGGGTCTGCATGTTCCCCTAAAAACAAACAACCATACAAGCACATTGATTAGCTGCTGCATAAAGGTGGCATGTGATGAGGTACCTGAACACATTATATAAAGGCTGCATTTCCAAAGTGAGAGTTTTCTGAATTTGTCTTACCTGATTCGACATCCAAAGAATATTTGTCAATGGCGAGGTTCATGGTCTGGTAAGCTGTGTTGCAGAAGTCCTCAAGAATGAGGTAAACAGCAGCATTGACTTCACGTGGAACAGGCTTCCCAAACTTCATACGGTTATTCACCACAATACTTCCATTTCTGAAGTTCAAGATCTCCAGGTTCTCAAAGTGACTGAGGTTTGACTGCAGATATGGCACCAACTGAGGGACATAAAATCCCAATAATAAGTTCATAAACTCACAAAAATAAAATGTATTAAACAGGCCTTTTCAACTCCAGTCCTGGAGGGTCAGTGTCCTGCAGACTTTAGTACCAATCACAATCTAACCCATCTGTCTGTAATTTGCAAGCAATTCAGGACACCTTGATTAGCCTTGTTTGGGTGTGTTTGGTTAGGGTTAAAGCAAAACTCAGCAGGAAACTGGCACTCCAGGACTGGAGTTGAAGAGCCTTGGTATATATAAATTAGTGAACAATTTATTCTGAATTGAGAATGTCCATTCCTGCTCCTGGAGGGCCACCTTCCTGCAGAGTTTAGCTCCAACACACCTGCCTGGAAGTTTCTAAAGATCCTGAAGACCTTGATTAACAAGTTCAGGGGCCAGTTGCATAAACAACCATTATGTAAAGACTGTGTCTTAAGAACTAGTATAACCAACAGCAGTTAGTTAAGGGGAATAAGTCTTACTTTTCGGTATCAAATTAGACCAATCTATGTTTTTACGCAACTGACAAAAAAAGAAGTTATGAACAGTCTTAAAGAAAAAAAAATTGATGACTTACTTGTAAGACTAATCTTAGCAGTTTATGCAACCGGCCTCAGGTCTGTGTAATTATGTCTGGAGCTAAACTCTGCTGGAAGATGGCCCTACAGGAGCAGGATTGGACACTCTTGATTTGGACTGATAAGTGGAAATTTGACAGGGAATGTGGGCGAAGAGAAAGAACAAGTGATGGTAGGAAAAGGAAAGGAAAAAGAATATGCACAAATATACTTTAGAGAAAGTACACTACCAGTTCAAGGAACCGTTGCTCCAAGGCTTTGTACTCTGCAGAGCTCTTATTGAACAAATCCTCAGAGAAAATCATGTTAGTTACACGAAGACTGAAAAACACTATCAAAGACCGCCCAGGGTTAGTTGGCAAGGCAATGCTGGAAACTTCATCGCCCTGAATGACACTAGGGACACCACTACCCTCTTCCTCTCTGTAATCTATCACATCCAGAGATGTAGTCATGACCTCTGAATTTAAATTATGCCCCAACTCCACCTCTTCTGGGGTCTTCATGGTCAAGAGGGAGAAGGGTGGTTCTATTTCAGGTGAAAGCGGTGTTGAGTAAACTGGGTTTGCTGGTTCAATGGTGACCAATAGGATCTCTTCCTGTTTTAGAACTTCCTTTGAAAACTGTATAGCTGAAACATCCGTTAGTACAAAATCTTTGTTCTCATGTGTCATTGTGGTACTGTCAACATATTCTTCCTCTTCTCCAGCCTCCTCTGATTTCTCCTTCGTGACCACAGCAACTTCAGTTTCCTCATCCTTTTGTGTTTCTGTTAGAACAATTTCTTCCTTGTTGTCTTCCTTTTGCCTCTCTTCTTCTGCAGGTAATATGAGGTCTTCCTCAGGTTGTGGGGTAGATTCTGCCTCAGCCACCTTGACTGGTGGCTTTGCAGGGGCATCACTACCACGTTGTAGGTTTTCATCTTCTCCAGCTTCAACAGTAATTAATTCTGTGGTTTCCTCAGGCAAGATCTGGTCCTCTTCAACCACTGTTGTAATTGTGGAGAATTCATAGTCCTCTTTCTGTGGCATATCTACATTAACCAAAAACTCTTCATCAACTTCTGTATCTCCAACTGGCTCTTGAGCTTCAGTAGGAAGGACAGTTACCCAATTTTCTTCGATTACACCAAATCCAGAGGCGGGGTCAAGTTCATCCATTGTGATGTCACTGTCTTGCTTGGCATCGATAACAGGACCAGCCGCTTCATCTTCCACAGCAGGAGTCTGGCTAGGGGAAAACCGTAACACCAAGTCCTTGTCTTGAAGGTCTGAAAAGAGGAACAAACAAGCATCTTGACACAAGTATTTCACCACCATATTGGTTTAAATCAGGGGTGTCAATTATGCTCCTGAAGGGCCATTGTCCCGCAGAATTCAGAAAAATGCTAGAAAGGGGTGTTGGGCAGGTTGAAGCTAAACCCTGCAGGATACTGACCTTCCAAGTGCATTATTTCACATCCCTGCTGTAAATCATTGTACATGTGAATGTTGGTTCTTACCCTCTGAGAAACTGCCGCTGGGATAGTCTATAAGCGGTTGTGTGGTCTCATCTAAATGTATGCCATCCTGCTCTCCCATACCTTCCTCTTCTGACATTGTAGGATCCAAATGGTCACTAATTGTAAAGGCCTCCTTTGCCACTTCTCCAGGCAGCTCGGATGGTTTTTCTACTGATAAAATGTCATCCTAGAAAATAAACGAAATGAAACAGCTGGCTCTCAGTCTTTGTGAAAGTTATTGATGGTGCTTGCTAAGGCTGTCATTACTATTACTGTTCCTGCTATTCCATTCTTAGAGTTAGGAGTTTGTTGAAAACTATGGCAGGTAACTCACACCAAATTGTTTGTTATGTGACAAGAATAATACCTCAAATTGTGTGCTTTGTTAAGTAGAGGTAAAGTCTAGCATGATAGACTTACATTGAAGGACATTATACGTATATCCACAGACCAGAATATCCCATATACTTGGGCGTGTGCTTGTACTAGTAAACATCCTAGAACACCTACTTTAGGTAATCACTTTACAATACCCTAGAAACCATCCAGATTACCGTAACCTAGCCTAGCAATATCCTGTCAAAAACCCTAGTAATGTGTTCCTATACTAGGAATCAGAATTTAGATTTTAAGAATATGCAAATATCTTGATGGTATACTTCAAACTTCACTGTCATCTTGACAGAAATCTTAATCACCTTGTGGTCAGGGTCTGGTGACTCCTCGGCAGGATGGGTTTCCTCTGGAAATGTTTCCACTGACAACAAGAAAATATTACACCATTACAGACTGCTGAGATGTACCGTAGAAGAATAGTAGCTACAAGCAGGTAGAGCAGTACCATGCAGAGCCTCAGTGATGTCAGGGTGGAGGTCAATAATGGTGTACTGGACTGTGGGCCCCTCTGAGTAACTAAAGGTGCCCTCTACCATGTTGGATTGAAGATTAATAAAGTCCAGCGTCTCACTGCTGATTACTTCACTGTTGGTCTGGAGGGACACAACATATTCCACCAGTACTGCCTTATCACCACTGCAGAGAGAAAACAACAACCACACTTAGTCTACGGGACAGAACATGATCATGACATGAGTTGAAAGATTGGATAACTTTGCAATAGTCTCACATCATCAATTGTAATTCTTGTGGCTATATTTTCGAAACATTGGGTATTTTAATGTTAATATACAAACAATGTCTTGCCCCTTAGACTTCCATTGTAATTGCATGACTATAAACATGATTATTGCTTGTTTATACTAACTCAAGGAAAGACTGCAAAAAAATACATTCTCTCACTCACTAACCTGCATTCATGGAAACAATCGAGTGTAATTTACCTTGAGGGATCCACCTGTGGCCTACAGAAAAGATAAAGGTCATATTTTTAGTACAATAGTCTTACAACTATAGCAGGTGATAGACTAATGACGCATATTGTCTAATCATACATATGGAAATGTTCCACGGCTGCGTTTAAGTCCACTTTTTATTCCCTTCCCTCGCTAACCTCCATCTGTCTTGTTCACTCAGATGTACATAATTTCTTACATTGCACGAGTGCCCACTTGATCACTTATGGGTAAATTAGGTGTGACACTGCCAGTTGCTGTTGGGTCGAGGGTCTGTCCTAGGTGTACCATACTGACCATACCATACAGTCCTGACACTGAAGCCAAATTATTTTGATTTTGAATTACCTATTAATTGTCACTTAAGTGAAATTACTAAACTTAAATATACGAGCTTGATAAAAATGATCTAGAAGAGAATTTCAGATGGCACTTATAGGCTTTTGCATCTGAACTCTTCATATATACTGTATAGTATTATTTTCCACAACGCTTCTCATCGGTTATTTTGACCTGCATCGTGTACCATAACTATTAGTGGTGCAAGGATTTCATATAGTGTATCCATTGTTTTATTTAAAATCTATAACAATTCTTTTTGTTAAAAAACATTTTGCTTGAAAAGTGTGCTAGATCCATCTTCATATGTTCTAATCTAATGCAATGATATTTATACATTTTTAAGCGTGAACTAAGTGTCCAAATACTTTTTGGAGCCAATTTATTGTAACTCGCAGAATGAAACATGCACTAACACACCTGATGTTCAATACTGACACACCCTTAAATTCTGTCAGTTTCTCCAAAGCAGCGGATATCTGGAAGAATGACATATATAGGCAGAACATTTAGTTACAAATCTAAAACAATATAGTAACGTAACATCAGTGTAAAAATGTAAGTAAGTGTATGTGTGTTGTTGTACCTTCTCTGTGATCTGCTGAGTGAGTCTGCGATGCTCACTGCTGGTGGAGTTGAACAGCTCTTCACTCCATGGTTCTCCAGTCAGTAACAAAGCCAGCTCCACCCTCTGTTCAACCAGAGGATGTGTAGGCAAAGCAGCTGCCTCCTGCTCAATCTCATTAGTGATCTACCACAGACAATGCACACAAACTTTGTTTAGCAGGTGTTCAATATTTAACATTTGTTTATATGTATATTTTTTGCATCTATCACTCATGAGTGCATCATATTAGAACTAGACATAGACCTCACTCTTACATTTTTATTATATCTTCATCAATGATAACAGTATGAACAGTATATTTCAGCCTATATGAGCTGTCTACCTCAGTATCCAGCTCCATTGTCATGACAACGTATGGTGCTTCTGCAGTAACTTCCTTCACACTCTCAGAGATGACCTCATCTGGAACCGTTGTGGTCACCAACACAGTAGTCTCTGCTGGAAGCTCATCACCTACCAAGTTTTGAAAATAATTTTTGTATCTTGGTGTTCAGGCACATGTCATAAGATATCTTTAAGTTTATTTCTTGCCATTTCCAATTACAACATCTCAATCTGAATTGCAAACAAAGTTTGCATCAAAATAGCCCTGGAAAAACATAAAAGGATTATCTGAAATTCAAACCAAACGCTAAAAGGCATTTTAAAGCCATTTGCTTTTTTTATATTCTGCCACAATATGTGCATCAGCACTAACTCGTTTGAAAAGAAGCTAGTTGCTAAACATCTAGAAATTGCTGTTGATAGTTTGAAGGCATCCATACAGGACTGAAACCAGGAGGGTCAGTGCCACAAATATTGTCTAGAACATACCAAAGTTGTCCATAAATAATTGTAATTGATGTTTAAATTATGGATCAATACAAAAAAACTGAATGGTTTTAAAATATAATTTTCCTTTTGATTTTCAAAATTAATTTCAAATATGATCCATGCATGTTCTCAACAGGTAAGGGTTTTATACAGTTTATATAAGATACTGTATCAGTATGTAACACACAATCATTACAGACAGACCTGGTGGCACATTGTCTTGCTCTTGGGAAGAATCCTCTGGTCTGTTTAAAAAAAAGAGAAGAAAAAGAAAGACAGTTAGAAATTAAACAGACCTTCAAATGTAAGAGTTAAAACCACACACACACACACAAGATCTCTAACTGCACAGTCCATTTAATAAAAAAATAAAGAACGGGTATAAAGGGTGTAATACCTGCATACTGAGTATGTAGGTGTCTTACTGAGAAAAAAGAGGGAGATAAAAGGTGAGGAGAAAAACAGACTCAGTAAGACAGAACTCATCTAATACAATGAATAAATGGCTGGGAGAAAAGGGGGTATTTGAAAAAGTATGGATTGAGGGTGAAAAAGGTTTTTAAAAAATGTTATTGCACCTTTTCAGTCCCGTCTGTGCAAGTCTCTGCAATGGACCATAAAGATTCAAAAGACAGAAGTAAGGCATTCTGATATGCACATGCACCACTGACCCATAATAGTCTATTCATATCAAAGTATCAACTAACATAATTAGTACAAAGTACAAATACTTGTCTTATGCTACATACTCTGTGGACAAGTGCTAAGTGTTCCTCTGATTGGCTAAAGTAAGTGCCAATCTCCCGTATGGAGACTCTCTCTGTCTGGCATTGGCTCATCCAGCTCTGGTACTCTTGCTGACGGGGGAGGCGCTCCAAGAAGATTTTAAAGGCCTCCCACACAACTTCCTGACACACTGCAAAACAACAACAACAATAACAGTATTGTATTAGTGCAGCTAAACACAATCAGACTGCTCACTTTTTATGCGTGAGTAACATTGAGCAACATTTCTCATAGCTTAATGGAAGTCTTTAATCTCAAAAGATAGAACTCTTTTGCATTTATTATGATACAAGCTTTTGTATTGTCTTATGTATTGATTTCACAGGATTGACCATTTGAGTGAGGATTGGACACTCACGTGTTTGGTTCTACAGCCAGGCGGTTGGAAATTACCACAACAAACATACGACTCATGACGTTAACATTTAGCCTAACACTTTACATAATCCTTTAGTCATTAATGAATAACTACACAGGACAAATGAGTAACGCAATATTAACATTCTAGTAACCGCTATCCAAAGCCGTATAGACATCAAAAGCTTACAATCACAGTCATTACTGAGTTATGATTTTTAGAATAAGGTTCCAAATAATTGGTAGTTCCTTCTGATTTGGTAATACTTGAGTCATTAGTGGGTTAACAATCTTTATTTTAGAATTAATTATACATTAAATGCATTATTCACATTAATAATGAACCTGTATATATAGTACTTAGTATAGTTCTCTGGGAGGTATGAAAATTTTTTAGTTATTGATAATAGAGAACAACCCCATTCAACTGCTATTACTTACTAATTTGTTAATCAGAGTTTCTTGTTAAAATAGTTACTACAATGTTAATATTGCGTAATAATCCTGTGTTGTTATTCATTAACGATGGAACAGTATTCTAAAGTGTTACCTTTTTGTCATATGGGTGTATTTTTTTGACCGACAGCAATAACCTGTCCAGATGACATTGTGGTTCAAGCTCTACTTTGCAAGTAGTGTCTCAATGTGTGTTTAGACAAGACTGCTGACACCCTCATTCTGAGCAATGGATATAAAAGCTCTGACCTTATTGGCCCCATTCCAATGTGTTAACTGGCTTTTAACCTCACCATACTGCCAACCAAGTTGGTTTGGGAGAAATCACACGTGAACTGTGAAAGATTGTCTTGAGGTTTCTCAATACTAACCCCAGACCTTTGAGTGGATCTAACTGCCAAACTCTAATGAGATCCCATTGTTCATTCTAGCTGTCAGCTATACAGAGCTGCTTGCACTATAGTTGATGAATTAAACGGTAACCTTTGTGGAGTCTTGATCTTGTGTTCTTAACATAAATATGGCTTTGATTTGAGTCTTCTTACTTGGGTCAAGTCTTGGTCTCAGCTTATGTTCTCAGACAATAAGGTAGACTTTTTACAATGTGTTAAAGGTGATAATTACCATAAACACAGGCTTAACCACAGGTCGACACTCTACATGTTTCACCATTACAGAAAATCTGCAAGAACTTCATGATTCGCCAGACTTTTTAATGTCTGGCAAATTATTCGACTGTCTACCACCTGCTTGCTCTTACCTATTAATAAAATCCTAAAATCCTTCAATCCTTCTTCACCCATCTCCTTGTTCGGGCACTAGTTATTTCATGGTCAGTTTATAGTGAGCCTTTTTCTCATGCATTCCTTATAGATGTCAGAAACCTTTTTCAGCCAGTAAGTCCAGATTTACTTCTTGGCTTTGAGTACTTGGGCCATTCCTGTTATGCAATATCTTTTGAGTTCTGTAAATAAACATGCTGTGAGGTAATTTAAGGAAGAATTTATATAAAAGGGCATACCAGAATTTTATAAATATGATCTGGTTAGGCTCAGGCACTAAAAATGTATTAAGACAGCTTAAGACAGAGATACCATGAGACAAATCAACACTCTCATGTTTGTGCTGTTGTTTTCCCAACAAAAATGATGTCAATTCCAGTAGGATATTGTCATTAAGGGCCAACAGGATGACCAGAGTCGTTAAATTAGTTAAAACTCACCCCAGTTTGCTTAATTGCGTAACAAAATTTGATTTATCTTTACAAAAATCTCACAACAAATGGACTTTTAGAGGATTGTTTGTTACAAAAAGGGAGCAGCAGATACAAACGTTACTTTCAGTTCTTCAACACTGAATTGTACATATATACAATAAATGAATTTAACTTCATTTAATTTATTCAATATATAAGCAATGCTACCAGTATAAATAGTAATAGTACTGCAATAGTGTCTCACCTCTGAGCTGGTAGTATTTCAGGTGGTTAGTGATGGCTTGCTGCACTGTTTCTTGATGGCAAAGGCGTACTCCACTGGACAGAAAAACATTTCGCTTACGTCTTGGCAAGTGTTCTTGGTCTCCAGGCTTTTCCACAAACATTTGAAACAATCTTTGTGAGCGCTTATCTGTGTTCATAAGCATGGGAATCCGTTTAGCTTTCTCTAAAACATAAATATACACATAAACGTATTATGACCATCATCCTCTCATCAAACTCCCAGCTAATACATACATACACAAAACATACATACCTGCAGTAATATCCAGCTGGCCTATTGCAAAAATGCAGCTTAAACAACACAAGGTGCAGGTCCATATGAGCTTCCACATAGTGACTTCCTGTGGCTTGAAAATTAAGCTGTTGTGCAATAGTTGCTGATTCACTTCGGACGATGTAACCAAAGCTTCCAACACCTGGGCATACCTGTTACACAGTATCCACTGATAGTAATGACAGTATGTTATTATTGTTAGAAAGTACTATCTAGGTCGTCAAAGCGCAGGTGTATAACTCTGGCGATCCTGTGGCAGGTAGGCAGATGGAAAGGGATTTTTCTCTTTTTCTTTCTTCTAATCTTGTTAAGTAATCCTGTAGAGGAGCTCATTAAGAAGTAACCAGAGGAACTGAAGTTTACCAAGAGTGCTAAGAAAAAATACATGTGCAGGGAACCAGTGATAGGTGGTGAAGGAGAAAACAAGGAAAATTTGATATGCCAGATAAGCATACATAATCACTTCTCAGCTGAACACTTGACCACCTGTAAGGTTGAGGACAGGTATTAATGGTATGACCCTTAAAGTCTACAAGAACTGTAAATTAACCGCAATCAAGAAGCTTAAGTCACATTGTTAACACTGAGAGCTGGTGTGATGAAACAAAGTAAAAATAACAAATATCTTGCAATATAGCAATAAAGTACAAGGCAATAAACACGTAAACTACATGACCAAAAGTATGCAACATGCCATACATCTGAGTGAAACACATTTTCAAAAAAGTTGGGTGGGGACTTAGTTATATCCATCGGTTGTTGATTGGGTGGAGGCAGCATGTGTTTGCAGTTGATTGTAAGATAGGAGTGGCGTTTAAGCAGACTAAATGATTGGTGAAGTCGGGCATACATCATCAGAGAGAAGTTTGATTAAACATTTTGAGGCCAAAAGAAATTAGAAAGTGAAACATACACTCACCGGCCACTTTATTAGGTACCCCATGCTAGTAACGGGTTGGACCCCCTTTTGCCTTCAGAACTGCCTCAATTCTTCGTGGCATAGATTCAACAAGGTGCTGGAAGCATTCCTCAGGGAGTTTGGTCCATATTGACATGATGGCATCACACAGTTGCCGCAGATTTGTCGGCTGCACATCCATGATGCGAATCTCCTGTTCCACCACATCCCACAGATGCTCTATTGGGTTGAGATCTGGTGACTGTGGAGGCCATTTTAGTACAGTGAACTCATTGTCATGTTCAAGAAACCAATTTGAAATGATTAGAGCTTTGTGACATGGTGGAAGTAGCCATCAGAGGATGGGTACATGGTGGCCATAAAGGGATGGACATGGTCAGAAACAATGCTCAGGTAGGCCGTGGCATTTAAACGATGCCCAATTGGCACTAAGGGGCCTAAAGTGTGCCAGGAAAACATCCCCCACACCATTACACCACCACCACCAGCCTGCACAGTGGTAACAAGGCATGATGGTTCCATGTTCTCATTCTGTTTACGCCAAATTCTGACTCTAACATCTGAATGTCTCAACAGAAATCGAGACTCATCAGACCAGGCAACATTTTTCCAGTCTTCAACTGTTCAATTTTTGTGAGCTCTTGCAAATTGTAGCCTCTTTTTCCTATTTGTAGTGGAGATGAGTGGTACCCGGTGGAGTCTTCTGCTGTTGTAGCCCATCCGCCTCAAGGTTGTGCGTGTTGTGGCTTCACAAATGCTTTGCTGCATACCTCGGTTGTAACGAGTGGTTATTTCAGTCACTGTTGCCCTTCTATCAGCTCGAACCAGTCTGGCCATTCTCCTCTGACCTCTGGCATCAACAAGTCATTTCCGCCCACGGAACTGTCGCTCACTGGATGTTTTTTCTTTTTCGGACCATTCTCTGTAAACCCTAGAGATGGTTGTGCGTGAAAATCCCAGTAGATTAGCAGTTTCTGAAATACTCAGACCAGCCCTTCTGGCACCAACAATCATGCCACGTTCAAAGTCACTCAAATCACCTTTCTTCCCCATACTGATGCTCGGTTTGAACTGCAGGAGATTGTCTTGACCATGTCTACATGCCTAAATGCACGTAGTTGCCGCCATGTGATTGGCTGCTTAGAAATTAAGTGTTAACGAGCAGTTGGACAGGTGTACCTAATAAAGTGGCCGGTGAGTGTACATTTAATAACATGCATTTAGAAAATAGATGTGCAGAGTGAATTTTCATGCTTAGTTTAAAAGTGCTATAACCATGTTAGCTATGTTTCTAACATGACTCACAAGCTGCTCCCTAGTTAGCAACACTTATCAGGGGATCAGCCATTTCCAGAAACCTTCGCTAGACGAAACCAAAAGCATAACTAGAATGTATTACAACTGATAGTGAAAATTATCTGCTGCATTTATGCGCAACCTTTTAATTCTGTCTCAATGTTTAGCAGCTCAAGGCTCTTGCTAGTATCCAAATTTGTATGTACGAAATTGATACATGGCATAGAGAGCAATGGAATGGAATTGGAACTGCAATCACACGTCCTTTCACCAAAACACTTGACTGACAGGGCTGTCATAGAGAAGGGTGTGATTTCTCAGATACTGTTTTGAGAAATAATTCATTCTAAATTGTTTTAGATGTGGGTCTTTTGAGGAGATGTGGCCTTGCGTGTCTTGCATGGCTAAGACAGGATTTTGTAGTTTTAATAACCTCCTGTGCTCTCACACTAATTTATCAGCCACAATACAATTACTGTCCAGGTGGTTTAGTGTCTGTGTTCTTAGAAATTAACCACCACAGATAGCATACAGTTCTTTATTGTATTACTGCTGTTTCTATACATTTTCCATTTTGGTAAAAAAAAGTCCCTGTCCCTCTGGTAGTCTGAACAAATAGTCAGTGAAGAAACAGATTGTGTTGACAACAATTGTTCTTGTTGATATATTCCAAATCATTCGTCACACTTGGCCCAGTGTGCAGCAAAAATACTAATACCGGTAGTACGGTAGCATGCAATTTCAAAAATAGCCTTCTTGTGGCCTGACTTAAAGGGGTCAAGATTTGTAAGGAAATGCTTACGGTATTAAAGACCTCCTTGGTACACACACAAAGAAAGATTAAAAATTACTAGGTTTACTGACTTTATACTGGATTGTGTGTCTTTTAAGTAAACAAAGACAAACATTGTACACAGATTGCAACGCTGGGATTATTGGAAGAAGGTGGGTGGTCTGTAAATCGGTCTAATCTCTGTCTGATTAGCATTAAACCATAGATCCCTGCACGCACACTCCCTTTTGACAATCCACTTGAGCACAACTAAATGAGTTGGCCAATCAGAAAACTGACTCAAGCCACACCCGACTGCTTAACCAATCATGTGCTAATGGCTGGTTTCTCCTACATTCATTCATCAAAACCAAAGCCACTTTTGAGAGAGACCACAATCACATGTACAGAGAACAAACATTCTTGTTTAAAAGGTTCTTGTTTGTTGCGTAAAAGATCAAGGAATATTGATTTCATGCAGTATAACCCCTTTAAAGAAAGTGCTACTTGTGCTACTTACCTCAAAGACACAGGCTATACAGAAAATCTGAGATTAAAAAGGCAAAACTATTTAATTGAATTTTATCAACATTTATTTATTTCTAAAGTTTTTACAACAATGTATACAAAAGCATAAAATAATACAAAAGTTTAAAAATCAGCTAAAATATATATACATCTAGGGTAAAATAATCACGTGAACCTAAAAGCTTTACATCACTGAATGACATTTCTATAATCTGTTCTATCTTCTAGAGCTTCATTTCCCAAAGAGCCTTTCTGAAATCTGTATAAGTTTAGGATGAGGTCTCGAATCTCCTCCCGTTTCCCTCGCACCTGTTGCCGTGGAAACCAGCGATCCAATCTCAGTGGGAAGTCAAAGTGTAACACAGGGTCCTGAAAGATACACAAACAGCATTGCAGTTGCCTTTGAGGTCAAAACAGATTCTTACACACATTTTTGTATTTGAAAATCCATCCAGAATAAAGAACGAGTGCAAGTCTACCTGTAAAAAGCTTTCAGCATATTGTAGCAGGTAAAGGCCACAATCACTGCTGTTGTCCTGTAGGGGGACCTTACAGTGGGAACCTACCATGTGGTCAACACTAAAGTCACGATAACAACCTCTCTTTGCCATCCACTCCACCTGAAGGTATCTAAAAAAACAACAACTCCTCAAAATTAATGTAAAATAGATATATTTATAACAATTATGATAATAACACAACATAAATGTAAGATAGTTGGACTGCTATCAGAGTGCAAACACTCACTCGCGCAAGAGTTTGAAGATACGTTCATGAACCGACAACTTCAGGGAATCCATTATGAGAATACATGGTCTGAAAATATAAAGAGTAAAATCATTTTCAACATTAAAAATGTTCTGCCCATTAAATGGCAAAGCCCTTAAATTAAACATTTCAATTAATTTGTTAATATCAAATTTAACACGTTAGCAGTGAAATTTATTTTCTGAAAGGCTGCCTAATAAAAATTATAGTTAGTAGAATGTTTAAAGTTGGACCATGGAAATGAAGTGTTACCTATAAAAGTAACTTTGCAACTACATGTCAACTAACACTCAGAGTATTAGTTGACTGAAAATAACAGCTAATATCTATTATTCTGTAAAAACATCCTGTACGTTTCAAAACTCAAAACTTCCTCGTTAATCCAAAAACAGCTTTTATAGAATCCCAGCTCAGAAAACAACTCATTTTGGATGTTGTCATATTATAACATAACAGTGCGACGAAAGACCGCCTCTGCAGAATCAAATCAATGCTCTTTGGCCCCGCTCACTGGCACGATAATGAGATGAGGAGACGAGAAGAGAGATACAGGATCACTGGATTAAACTAACATCACCTTCCAAAGGATCCTTATGCTAGGGATTTCAATTTTGTGAATGTCTCAGTGCAGTGACTCGCTTTATAATATATGACACTGTCTACACTCTTTTTTACATCATGTTTGAACTGTTAGTTATGATGAAAGCCTTCGTGAGAGTGCAGAAATCGAGCACTGCATTCACTGCGCTCAACAGACAGTCGGTCATTGGCTACAATGCTCATCGCTGCAACCTTTAATGCAACGGGAGTTACAATGCAATCAACACTTTTCACAATGTAGTAAACATTTTCGAGAGAGTTCCACATGTAATACTTATTTCATATGCAAGATGTTAGCCAATCACAGCAGTGGCCATTTACACTGAAGTCTCACAGCAGAAACGCCCCTTCCAACAGAGAGTTCAAATCAGAGGGCTGAAATCAGGGTTGAAAATGGCCTTTTATTTCTAAATTATGATCATTTTTGATGTAAAAATCATACTAACATTATAAGTGCACCTCAGGAAACATTATATATATAAAAAAAAAATGCAATTCATGACCCCTTTAAAAACACACACATACCTTTTACACACGGTGTGTCTTTTGCAGGTATTTTCTGTACAGTTCTACAGAAAGAGAAGCACAAGATTCTGCTGTTGCCGTACATGTGCACATTATCTATCCATATTCCATTATACCAAATCAAATGTAATCCAATGCAGATTTCTGACAGTTATTAACATTTATTTTGACTTACGAGAGGATGAGACGTGCTTGACTTTATACGACTGTCATCTAGATTAAGAACAAAAGTTTGTCTAGAATCATGAAATAATTCTTAAACTAGTAAGCATGAGTAGCTTAGTAGTAAAGCATTAAAATCAAATTTGTACCTGTAGTTTTGTCCTCATCACTGTTGGATCTATTCTCTCCATGTATCTCACCCTCAGACTCACCCAAACCTTCACTTCCATCCCTCTTCACATACTGCGGCTCTTCTAAGCCGGGGAAACAAATCACCACGAGGTACCAGTGAGCTCTAGAACAAACACCAGACTTGATATAAAATACTTTTAAAAACAATATGATTTACGCAGGTACATTCAAGGCAGACACATTAAATCTCACAAGTTGCATCATACGCATACAGTCCAGTGAGTGAAAAAAAAGTCCATAATATATGTCCATATGAACACAAACTAATGAACAGAAACTGATTTAAAGTACAAAAATATAAATAAAAACACTGCCCCACAAAAGTAAATATGGCTTAAGTATCCAAACATTGTATTTGTATAGCTAGTACTCACTCTTGATTTACAGGCACAAACAGGAAGTCTTTGTCAAAGATGTCTACATGACGGGTCCATGTCCTCACACGCTGATGCCTTCTGACCTGAGCTCTGATGGCACATATCCATCATAAAAATATATTAATCTATTGTTGTGTAACAAAAACTTTTTGTAACAATAAGTAAGAGAGCTATATATATATATATATGAACTTTGTGTGTGCTCTGTGACAAATACTCACGGTGTGCTTGTACTGTCCTCATTAGCATTGTCTCTGCGTGTGAGCTGCTTATAGAAAAAACTGCTGAAAACATGAGATCTGTGTACAGATGCCCGCGGGGCCTTTTGCACCATAAGATACCTGAAACACACATAAAATACAACATCAGTCTGCGTGTTTGTAGCCGATATTCAAGAGAGTATTGGTTGACACTCTTGGTAGCAAGTTAATAAGACATCTTCAGGGTTATTTTGAATTCAGATTTAAGCACCTAAAAATGTAATGCTAAAAAAAAAAGCAAATGGTTGATTGTTTTCCACATCATTAAGACGGCATGTGTAGGATTTGAGCAGAACCAGATGCCAACTGGACCAAATTTTATGCTTATAGTCAAAACTCACAGTTCTTAACCCCTTTCCTCCCAGAATAACTGTGAAGGATTGGATCTAATTCAACTCCTCTCACTGAAATATTGTGTCTTAGTCTTACTTGAGGTAGAAGTCGATGATGACATCATTAAGAAACTCGCCGCTGTCTAAACATTCCAGGTCCTCTGTCGTCACGGTAATGGCTCCTTTTGAGGGTGGAGGAGGGAACAGAATCAATCTAAACAGGGAGGAATAGTGGTAAATTAGGACTGAGGTACAGAGAATATGTATAAATATAGGGTTATAATTTTATTTTATTCAAAGCAGAGTATTTTTACTCTTTTAACTGTATTTTGGTCAAATAAACTCAGCCTTGGTAAGCACATAATAACAAAAATAATACAAACTTACAGACTCTTTTGAATGAGAGAGAGTAAACCCCCCTTAAACATTGTTTCAACAAGTTTTCACCTGCGTGCCGGGACAGAGTGTCGGTACGGTGTCCATTCTGCCCCAATTGTAGGTGCCAAGGAAACACTGTATGAACCCTGAGCTTTTCTATGGCACAGAGTGTAGACTGGCTCCAACTGAACATCAGAATCCTGACACTGGAGAGACACATTCAATCAATGAAATGGCTATATAAAATGGAAAACATTTTATATAGCCTCCTATAATCAATCATTCTTTCTAAGCTACCCACATCAAGCAAAGCTGGAAAACAGATCATCCAAAAACCACGATGGTAACAAAATAACTAACATTAAAAGTGAACTTCAGGGAAGAACTGGCAAACAAGAAGAAAAAAAGCAAACATGCAACATAGATACATAGATACAATATTTTGTCTGAACCTTCACAGCAGATACAGCTGCATGTGCAGTGCTGGTTTGCGCATCAATTTTGGGCGTCAGCAGCTGGAGCAGGAGGGTTTCCTGGGAGCTCTGCAGCAGTTTCAGGCTGTCCGGCTGTGTGAGGGGGGACAAGAGTTCCGAGCCGTTCTGCTTCAAACCCACCAAGTCCATTAAAGAGGCCAAGAGCGCACTCACAATACCAGTAAGAGGTTCAGCCAAACACAGCAACACACATGTACTGCCTTCAGCTGTACACACACAGGAAAACATATGTAAAAGGAGAGAGGATAAAAGAAAGTACTGTCATTATTTAAAAAAAAAGAATACTACAGTAATCTATAAACAAATCAGTAATCTCACCTGGACGTGTGCCTGACTCGATGACAGACAGGTCATTGTGTAGTTGGTGTGCCTGAGCATCAGACAGCCAAAAGAGGAGCAGAGAAGGGGGTGGGACCTCATCATCCTTAACCAGGCCACACCCCCTCAATGTAGGCCCCTCCCACACACTGTATTTGCACACACTAGCGGTTGATATAGAAATTTTCACTGAAGAATCTGAGTAAACAAGAAAAAAAAAACAGACAGATGTTTACAAAAATCTATAAGGTATCTCTTGCATATATCTTACCTTGATCTATATCTAATCTATATTATAATATAAAACCTAGGAAAATCTAAAATAGAAAACAGTAAATGCTTAAAAATAAGTAATTTACACTTCACCAGATTATTTCTAATCATTTTTGTTTAAAACATGTTTACCTTTCAACGAAACGGTGATCTTGTCTGTAGTAATCTGAAAAACAGTATATTCAAAATCAACGATACTCTAAGATAGACACAGATTCAAAAACCTTCCTCATACACTTCCTGTTATATATCTTATAACTTTCATCAAAATGATTCAGACATATTTGATCACTCCAACCCATCACATCAACATATCGTTCTCACCATCATACTCTCACTGGATGTGACATTAACTCCACCCATGTGAAGGGAAGACAGCTGTAGCTCCATCACAGCAAAACTCTGACAATGAAAGCATACAAACACACATAAGTACCAGTGACCAGTTGCAAAACACCCCTTATGTTGAGCTAGATGGTTTGCTATATATAGATGAGCTATATATTTAGTAAACTAACTATTTTCTTTTAGTCCAGTATTTAGATTATCATACAAACCTGGGCATCCATCTCTGTGGTTTGTAAGTTACACTCAGGTGTGTTTTTCTGCTCATAAACTATTGCTGATTCATCTACTTTATTCATGAATTTTGCACACTCCGGGGGTTGGGTGTTTAAAGCAGAGGCTTCCTCCTCTTCTCTTTCCTCTTCCTCCTCATCCTCTTCACTGGAGAGAACAACTAAGTGAGGTAATGATAGAATTATTGTTTTTAAATAATAAACATACAAAGTTTAGAAGTAAAACATGAGGTGGACAACTTTAGAAAAAAAAAATTGTTATTGTCATTATTAACAAAAATATTGTTATTGTTAATGTCATTTATCAATTACATACACTACTGTTCAAAAGTTTGGCGTGGATTTGATAATCAAAAATGTTTTTTAAAGTCTCTTATGCTCACCAAGGGAGCATTTATTTGATCAAAAATACAGTGAAAACAGTAACATTGTGAAATATAATTACAATTTAAAATAAGTGTTTTCTGTAATGGTAAGCTGAATTTTTGGCAGCCATCACACCAGTCTTCAGTGTCACATGATCCTTCAGAAATCCTTCTAATATGCTTATTTGGTGCTCAAGAAACATTTCTTATTATAATAAATGTTGGAAACAGTTGTGCTGCTTAATATTTTTGTGGGAACTGTGATAGATTTTTTTTTTGATGAATAGAAAATTCAAAAGGAAGTTTGATGAAAGTTTTTTACTGCCACTTTTGATCTAATTAATCCTCACTGGATATATGAACTAATTTCTTTCAAAGAAATAAAATCATACTGACATAAACTTTTGAATGGCAGAGTAAGTCATGACGCATGGCAAGTTATTTGCTTTAAAATGTTTTATTACAACATATGTAGCTAAACATCTTTTTTTTTTACGTTTATTACTATGTACGGTTATTAGGGGTGTGAGTGACAATACACTTACCGTATGTCACGATTCAATACAAATCACGATACTGAACAATATTTTGAGCCAAAATAAAGAAGAGTTTATTTATTTATTTATTATTATTACTTCTACGACATATGGTAAAAAGTTAACAAAAAATCAACTGTTGTTTAAAATGCTAAATTTTGTATGTACTTGGGGTAGTGGACTTGAATAGACTTGAACTTGGTCCTGGTCCCCATTACACAGGGCAGGGCAATGGTGACACCAGAAGAAAAAAAAAGCAGAAAATGCAGAATTATGTTAGAAACATATGCTTACACTATATAAATAATGTAGGCCCTTTTTCACTGGTAAAATCAGACATTTGGCATTATTAGGACCCACAAATATTCCCCCATTGCATTATTATACATTATATTAAACATTAGCTATATATAGTAGTTTAATGTAGTGCTTTCACTCAAACTCCGTAAACTTTCATTTTTTTTCTCAAGCAGTACACTCATGCTTTCACTGCAGGCATCGAACACAGCACTCCTGGTGCTCATGGAGCAATGTCCTGTCTCTCACTTTATTAATGCACTTACATGGTAAGAATAATCCATCTAAAACACTTTGAATCATCATACTACTACAACTAAATGCGATACGGTGATTAAAATGATGTTTGCACTTTGAGGAGCCGCTCCAACACGATGCAATCAATCAAAGTTCTAATGGAAAAGAGTGTCAAATCAAAATTGTCTCCATTTAAATGGTAAATGGACTGCATTTATATAGCGCTTTCACAGACCCAATGGCCACCAAAGCGCTTTACATTTGCCTCACATTCACCCATTCACACACTCATTCATACACCGACATTCATTTACTCACCCTCATGTTGTTCGCAAGCGTCACACATTTGAACGTCCGTGTTTACTACAGTAAGTGCATTGTAAATCTGTTTATCATATAAAGCCATCATGTCTCTTCATAAGACATGGATTTGGATTAGACAGCTCAATTGATATTTTTACGATGCCTTTTTTGGATCTTTTAAGTTTTAGAGGAACGGACTTTAAATGAAGGAAGAGGAATCTCTCAGGTTTCTTAAATATCTTCATTTGTGTTTGGAAGATAAACGAAAATCTTATAGGTTTGAAACGACATGATGACAGAATTTACATTTTTGGGTGAATTATGGCCTACCTTATAAATAGAGTAAGCAGAGTCTTGGGTAAAACTATATTGTGATCACCGATTTATATCGTCACATTTTTATATAGATTTAACGATATATCGTTCCACCTCTAATTGGTACATGTTAATGAAAATGATTGCTGAATATTCGGCACTAATCACTTACTAGGTTCAGATGGGTCGAGCTTAAAGGATTCTATGATGAAGCTCCGCCCCTCTGTACTCCCAGAGGCGGGGTCTGAGTTGGGACCCTGTTCACCTGAGAAGCTATCCATACGACATCTTTTGACTGGGATTTGCCCCTCAGCCCCGACCAAGAGGCGTAACACACTTCCTCTCATCCCTTCCACTTCCTGCACCACATCTCCATTCTTGCGCAAGTGATTTTCCTCATCTCCTGCAGAATCCTTTGGGGGCTCTTGTGTTTCTCTCATTTCTTGCTTATTGGGTAGATGCTGTAAAATCGAAGGCAGAATCAAAAAGGATGATCTACAATAAAATGGTAAAGTTTCTAAGTGAATCCTAAACAGATTTTATTCTTATAATTTTCTTTGCTAAACCTAATAATTGCGATTAATCTCATGATTACTAATTATGAGATAAGATAGTGCAATTAATTTATTTTTTAAAACATAATTTGTTATTTATATGGAAACCACCATAATTATTTTTTTCCAGGATTCTTTGATGAATAGAAACCTCTTGTAACATTATAAATGTCTTTACTGTCACTTTTCATCAATTTATTGCATCCTTGCTTAAAGTATTCATTTCTTTCTGTAAAAAAAAAACCCCGACTGACCCCAAACTTTTGAATGCCAGTGCAGGTTAAATGTTTCAACATCTTTTGCCAAGGTGTACAGGTCTTACCTCACTATCTGATATTTCTTCTCTCAGGCTACCCTGCATTTCTAATGGTGACGAGGGACTGCATACAATTTCAAATTCAGAGGAAAGCACATCCTCATGCTGTGGAGATCCTTCAAGAAGTGATGCTTCATTCTCTTTAAAAGTAAATGGTTTGTTCGGTTTAGCAAACAGTTCACTAATCTGAACAGCCTGTGGCGAGTCGCTTTCTCTGGGTGAACAAGATTTACTTGATACTTGAGATGAATCTGGGAGTTTCAGTGATGAGTTCAGTTGTTTGGATTGCAGATTTTTGATGTCCTTGTGTAGACATGATTCATTTTCAGTGGATGACTCAGTCGGATTAGGTGATGGTGAAGTGGCATTTGGTTTAGTAGAGTCTGTTCCTCCTCTTTTTGTTAAACTGGATCTCCTCTTTTCTTTCAGTGTGGCTGTTGAGGTGTGATCACTCCGTCTTTTGCTCTCTGATTGGTCTGTCTTTTTGCAAGTCTGCCCACTACATTTTAGTCTCTGTCCGAGCTCTGTCTGAAGAACATCTTCTAAGACAACTTTAACCTGACGCCTGTGGGAAATGAATAAATAATAAACAATCAACAATCAAATTGATATTGCTCAAACATACACACACATATACATATACATAAGTAAATAACAAATAATAAAACAAATGACTGCCAAATAAAGATCACAAAATATTTTAAATTATAAATCATAAATTATATTTGCCTCAACAAAATACAGCATAAAAACACTGTAGCTCCTTAACTACAAGTCAGACAGTTTAAACATTAGCCATTTTAACGTATTAAGCAGTGTGCACATGGAATGAAATGGGTCAACATGCACAGATGGTGTACAAATGATAAGAAAAAACATCAGTAGGAGAGTGTAGATGTGCACCATATCATGCAAAACAGGATTTCCCTCTGCTCATTTGAAACAAGAGTCTGATATATACTATATTCTAACATTTCTCCCTCCCCAGATGGTTTAATGAAACTAAGCATCAAAAACAGCAAACAATTATGTGCTCAACAACACAACAGCAATTTAGTACTTTTTGTATTTTTCAAAACTCTATCCAGCAAGCCTATTTTAAGGATCAGAGAGAGGGTGGAAAATTACTAAAAAATTACTTGATTAAAATTATAAGTGGACATCAGGGAAAATAATACAAATGTTTTCATAGGAATTTGTTAATGCCAGATAAGAGAAACCACTTCAGTTCTAGCAGTACAGTTTTACTGTAACCCCCCAACAAAAACTGGCTTCAAACAATATGTTGAAGTATGCAAAATGCACTCAATGCATCACTTCCTCTGCCAGGAAACAGCTGTTGGATAATCAAGAATGTTAAAAATTCTGTTTTCTGTTTAAAAAATGTAATTCTTGTCAAAATACATGCAAGAGTCTTTCACACAAAATATCACACATGCAATTGACACTCATCAAGTCATTCTTTTGTCATTTGTGTGGTTCAAAACGATTTCAGATAATGCAATGTAAAAAATACATACAACATAACTAAACGTTTACAGTGAGTGACGAAGAACGGGCTTCGCCTTCAGGTTCTGAAGGTTAATGTGGAAAGCACGTTACCTTTGGATTTCCTGCCATACTGTATGTTCTTTAATGCTGTTTTTTAGTGATTTGGGATCTGACTGGGAGGATGTACCATTTGAGGCCAGCTGTGTCCAGTGGATCTAACAGTACAAAAAAACAAAACAAAGCCAATCAGAAACTGCCACACATTAGGAGATATCAGGTTGAATTTATTGAGCTTGGCAACCATATAGTTATGCTAATAAACTATATAACTTGGTGACCATGCATAATTCATTGAACACTTGTGTGTTTTATCATATTGCTATAGTTTCTGATTTATAAAAGCAATAACACACAAAAGAACAATAGTTATTTGACTAAATGTGCAAGATAAATATTATTTGCTTCTATGTATTCAGTCAATGCTGCTGCTTATACATCAATTTTGTTAACCTTACATAAGTTACATAGATTTTCTTACATAATTATGAGACAATTATATATATATATATATATATATATATATATATATATATATATATATATATATATATATATATATATATATATATATATATTAAGATATGTTGTGAGTAGAGAAGGAAGACAAAAGTAATGGTTTTAAAAGAGTGTCAACTGTTTAAGAATGTAAGGGGACGTGTATGTACACAGAGAGAGTGGCCCAATTCTCAATAATAAAATGTAAAAGATATATATATATATACACATGTCATACACCTGGTGAAAAACTCAGATATATTATATTTTGTGTTTCCTCTCTCTCTCTGATGTTTCAAAGCTAATAAACAAATGCTGTGAGAAGCAACTTGGGAATAATTATTTCTTTCTGCAGTCAGGGTCAGTTAGGCCGGGGAGAGTTTAGGAAGTCAGATAAGATGTTTCCAATTAAAAATATTTACGCACGTCAGGTGGGCATGCATATTATGGGATGTCGATAATATTATGGGATGTCAAGAACTGAAAAATGTACTTATATGTATGATAAAAGGAAGAATAAGAGGCCTAATGATAATCTGCTCATTTTTTTATCCAATCAATTTGAAAGTCTTTGTTCAATGATACATTAATATGTATGATCTTACTGAATAAATACTCTGTTTTGCTCGGAGCTCACTTTGTAGGTCTCTCAGATATGTTTCGGTAGTAAGAGAAACATATTACGCGATTTCAGATAAATACATTTTATTTAACTTTTACCATTGAGTTGCCTGACTTTAATTTTATTGGTGAATTTCCACCACAAATGTCCATAATGTCTTAGTGGTTCAAATGTAGTTCTTTACTAGAACTTGGAAAAGAACTGTCAACAAATACACAAACACATATAATGCATCACTTCCTGTCCATCTGATTTACCTTGGAGTGGCTCTTTTTCAGATCTTTAAACATCTCCGTATCTACACACTCATCCTCAGCTGCGGAAACTCTCCTGGTGATCTTAAGGGGACTTTCAGTCTGAGACGCATGAAGAGATGGGTTAAACTTTTGATGCAGAGTAAAATAATAAAATGATAAAGACAACAAATTAAGTAAATATGGAAATTATAATAACAAATAGGTTAAAAAAAGATTTCTCTAATTAAATAGTTCATAATGAAATATTGAAAGTATTGTATCTAACAGAAGAAGATTTTGAAGATCTGAGTATAAAGAAATAAGGACCCAAAAGTAGTAAGACGTTTGCACAATGAAAGGAGATGTAAAAGAGAGGAAACAGAAGAAGAGACACCATTTGGAAATAATCAAACATATCAGGCCAGCGCATATAGCAGAACATATATAAATGATTAAAGAAATCAATAACATGTAAAAGTATAATAATGCAACAAGGAATGTAACAATGATAATTAAATGAATACATAGCTATTAATGACACAAGATTAATAAGATTCATAAAAAGGAATAAGTAATAAAAGTTTTGCATACACTAACTTTGTTTTAAGGTGTCCTTGTTACAGTGTAATAATACATTAAGTAATGAGTAATGTTAATTAACAGCATGTACTTACTATAAGGTTAGGATTAGGTTAGGGTTAGTTGCATGTAATTACACATAATTTACTGTTATTACTACAATAAGTACATGTAACTTATGTAACAAGGACACTGTAAAATAACGTGTTACCGAATGATTTAGGTGAAAGCACTGAAACACTGTAAACACCTCAATCCTCAATGTTGTTGAAGTCATGGACATACCTGACAGTTGTCACGTCTGATCCCAGGTGAGAGAGTCAGAGCTCTCCTCCGGTCCAGAGTTAAATGACAGGAATCAGAAAGAGGGCTGTTGCGGGTTTTTTCATGTGGCATTCTGCAAACAGATGTTTCAAGGCCTCTTTGAGATCACAGATAAAGCAGTGAGAAGACGAACAATCAGGACAGGATAAGAACCTTAATATACTACTTTGTAGATTGTTTTCCTCAATTGTAAGTCGCTCTAGAGATAAAAGCGTCTGCTAAATGAATACATTTAAATGTAACGTTACCGCTGCAACCAGTCCTAGAAGAGCTAAATCAGATTATTTTATCATTAGATGACTTTAACTAATATACCGAGTCAAGAATCTGCACATTGTAACTATTCACATCGGTCAGTGCAGTAAAACAGTCAGCAATTTACACTGATGCACATTAAAAGTGATCTTAACTGGCCTGTAGCTAAATACAATGCCCTATTATACCTTCATCTGGTTTCAGTGTTTATATATCGCACCTACTTTTTAAGTCCAGTAGTCAGTTTAAGCTGTAGAGCATGGCTAATGAAGATAATTCAGTTGCTGAGCAGAAATGAGCACATGAATATTAGGATTAGATTCCTCGATTAAAAACTTCCGCCACTCACAGGAAGTCGGGTTCTCTTCTTCTCTTCTCCCCACAAGGTATTGTGCGCCATCTAGCGCCATGGACGAAATGTTGAGTTAAATATAAACTAAAGCTCCTGTTTTCACTGAGGTTGAATCATAGACTGTACGAAATTACAAAGTATGGACAAAACAAAAGTATTCGGACACTCAAACAATATGTCTTTGTTGAGCATTTATAAAAAATAAACCAAAAACATTGATCTTATAGGGAGCTGGTTCTCTCTAAACGCTTTCTCTATTCTCTCTCTTCAAAAGCTTTTATTATGTTGGAACATGGCAGTGGGGATTTGGTCCCATTCAGACATAAGATCACCAGTGTGTTCAGGCACTGACGGAGTCTCACAGTCAGCAATCCAATTCATCCTATAGGTGTTCAAATGGGGTTCAGGTCTAGACTTTGTTCAGGTTTACATTATCACACCAGGGTCAGTAGAACATTTGTCTATGCACAGGGACATTGTCATGCTGGAGCAGAAAACAACCGTCCTCAATCTGATTATAATATAATATAACTAATATAATACATGTATAATTTAATGCAAATCTAATTTGCTTTAGTTTTTTGCTAATATTAATTTTTATAGTTTACATTGTGTGACACAAAATCCTTTCCCTGTCAATATTGCTCAACATGACCATGAGTATTTATCTAAATAACACTTACAATTACACATCTAAATAACAATACATATATTTTCAACTTTCATGTTGTTTAAAATAAATCCTTTGATTACGGAGATCATCTCTAACCCTGTTGAGGAATTATGTCATTGTGATGCCATAATTTAAATACAGAAGTGTGTTTATCTTATCAAAGAATAGAGGTTCATAGAGTGGACAAGATAGAAGAAATGTTTATTACAAAAAAAATGTTGAGTGGTTTAGGAAGAACACGAGCAAACAATAATTGGAGTTTCACAATTGTATTAGTTGTTTTTATCATAACAAACATGAAATTATCTTATAAATATCCTCAAAGTTAATTTTAGTTACAGTGATACGTGTTCATTCAGTTTGTTAGTGAGTATAAATACAAAAGCTGCAGGTAAACATCAGATCTGAACCGCCCCTGAGGCAGAGGTTGATGAACAGACCTTCATAAACTACAGCTGAAGGGGAAAAGAAAAAGAGAAAGAGCTAGGAAACAGAGCCAGTGTTGGCAACTGAGAATAAAGGTCACGTAGAGCAAAACTGGTCTGATATCAGATCTTTGTCACAATCTGCCTTCTGCTTCTGTAAAGTCTCTGTTGAAAAGACCGGCTTAGATGCCATTGTTGGAATACCAGCATGCAAAACACAACATATGCTGGTGTCCAGCGAGGCAGTTTTTTCCAGATTTGCCTCTGCGTGACCTTTAACCTCAGGAACCACATGTCTGTATAGCTGTCCCTGTAGGTGCAGATGACCCAACAGCACCCTCAGACTCTGGAGCTGCCATTAATGCACTGTCTGACGCATTGCTCTTCTTTTTCCCTGGAAACACACAAACAAGTCCGGCAACTTCAGTGACTTTCGAAAACACCCTCTGTACAATGTGGATGAACTATTACACACTGATGTACTTTGTCTCATTCAGATAAGGCTATTGAGTAATAAAACACTGAGATGCACTTTCACTCTATATACTTTCTAAGTAGAGTGCAACACGTGTGTTCCAGAAGTAAGAACTTCATTCATTTTCTCAATAAGGAAATAGATTTTGAATGATAACTTAAAACCTTAAAAGACATACCAACTGTGACTGTGAGCTACGAGGTTGTTAATCCATGGTTCTGCTGAAGCAGTCAGTTTATTCATAAAATAATCGTGTTTAACAATGGAATTGCTGGTGAAAAATTACATTACCCATGATGATGCTGTACAGAAAACTAAACCAATCAGAGTGGAAAAAAGCAACACGCTCCAAAATAGATGTTTAGCTCCGCCCACATCCATTAAGCGCTGTGAATGACGTAATCGTTTTTAATTCGATTATGCTGTTCGCAATGCTTTATGGGATTGTAATTCTTGTTAAGTACACAGTCTTGTACATTTCTCTTTTTGTCCGATTTTCAAAAACATTTTTGCTTTAAATCAGAGTTTATAGTATTGTGATTCACCTTGTAGCTGATTGGCTTGGTTCATCGTTTATTTATATAAAAAAAGAAGAAAAAAACGTTTTTTAAACTTTCAGAACCAGCGCCACTGAAAAGGGGGGCGGTAACTGTTGCATTCTACATGAGTTTGATAACTTGTTGTTCCTGTGAATTGACTTTACTTTACATAAAAATATATATATATTTATTTATAATGTAAACTCACCTTTAGCCAGGCTACATGGTGTGAGCACAGGTTGTTCTGTTTGCTCTCCCTCTTTAAGGGAAGCCCTGATCTTGCGTACCACATAGACGCTGGCTGTAAAGGAAATGTTGCAAGTCATCATACAAATACACAAAACACAAATCACAACACTGCTACACTGTGTACTCATATAAAGCAAAATTCCATATTACCATAGGCCTATACAATTGTATGTACACGAAACCATGTCAAGAAATGTAATACTTTTTTGTTAATGTTTGTTAATAATATATATATATATATATTATTTAATAATATTAACTATATAATAGGCTTTTATATCGTAAACAGGAAATAAATGTTAAAGGCGTATAAAGAACTAATAAGTCTTACCTTTTATCAGAAGTCATACCATGGTGTAGATAGAATGTAACGGAGGCTACAGTTTCCACTGTATTCCGTTTCCTACACAGCAATTTGGCTTGAAACACAAGCCTTTACAGGTTATGGTCGGATGATACTGTTGTCTTTCCGGGAGTGCCCTGCCGAGTATGTTCGCCAGCTGATGTTATGAAAATGTGTTACGTATGGTTACTGTTGCATTTATCATCAATTTTACAACGCACTCTTCACTGATTGGCTCCCTCGTCACTTACGAGTCGTTGTTCACCAATCGCTGTTAAATGCGCTTAGATGATATAATACAACACAGCCAATCAGGAAAGCAGAACAGCGAAATAACAGCTCTCCTTTTGCTTATAGTTTATTGAACACTTTAGATTATATTTAAATACACTTTTAGAATCAACTTTTTGGATTCTTATTTCATAAAGCTAGATATAGAGCGATAAATATAGTCTATTTCTGACGAGAATATAATGTTTATACTTCTGTTCTGTCCACACGGTGTCAGTATTGTTTAAATTTAGATTTCGTAAGACAAAGTTACACAAACAAGACTCAAACTTTTAAGCTTATATCACTGGTTTATATTGAGGAGCTTTTATAACGCTCTTATCATGGGAAGCATGTCTTACTCCACAGGGCTTTCTCATTAATCATCCTGATTTAAGTGCTGAGATTCAATATCTAGAACTCACAGTTAATTAGCTGATTAACTAAAGTTAGAGTGCTAACTCATTATACAAGGCAAAAGACACAAACACGAGATAAATGTTATTAGATTTGTATTAAAAATTTGTTGAATATGTAAACAATACAAAAATATAGCATACATTTTCATAAATATGATAGTAAAACATGCTCAAATTTTCTCAAAGTATATAATGTCTGAAATATTCAGATGAATGAAAAGGCAGTCTTTAATTCCATTATTTACAACAAAATATATTACTTTCAGGTGGTAAGCTTTCCCACATTAATACAGTACAAACAAATGTTATGATACTACCCATCATTAAAGGCAAAGGAAGACGTTCTATCAACCATTTTCTTTTCTGTTTTGCAATAATCGTAATACATTTTAAAATGTCAACAAAAGCTGCAACATAAACACTGAATGAAACTCTTTAAAGGCACACACATACACACTTCATTTCTAAACACTTTCCAAGGGTCCCCTGTCTTTTAAGATCATGTTCGGACTGTAAAAGATGACATTGTTGTCCTCATCATCAGAATCGGAGTGTGTATCAAGGTCATGTGTGTATCTTACATTCGTGGCATGGTACTCTCCAATCTTTGTGCTGTCACACAGTCGAGACTGGATCGCCATCTGTGGAAAACAAATGCGTTACGTGAATGAGAGATTGAAAACAAACCGCACAAATGTGTCTGGTATGCATTGCTGCTTATGCTGCCTAGTAACCATAATGATACAGGAAGGGACTGTCTGACTGACATATAAGAAGACCAATCACCGCCATCCATGGCTGAGACCAGTGAGTGTGAACTATACCTTTATTCCTGTTGAACTCAGTTGACTCCAGGTGTCCTTACTGAAGACGAGAGCATTTGCAAGTCCATGCAATGGTGCACTGAGCACGTGCAGTAATGTCAGAGAAAACACAGGGTCCTCTGGGTAAGCAGCATTATGAAGTCTGCAGAAATACACATGCAGATCATGCACACAAGATGCATCCACAACTATAGGGTATGTGACCAGCTAACATGTGGGACACTTCATTTCAGAAAATATGGAAATCCATATAAATACAGATCACATTCATGAGGTTCAGTATGTAAAATGTGGGAAAAAAACAGCACAGTTACCGATTTATGAGGGGGAAGATGGAGACGAGCAGATAGACAGAGGGATACCACTTCAACGGTCTGATCTCTTCAGCTAGAGAGATCTGAAGGAAGAAGTAATGATGCATTACTGATGTATAAACCAGTGGATGGCAGGACTGTAATACATGCACTAATACACACGCTAACCTTCCTCCTCTCTCTTTCAGGATTAAAGGTGCCTAACCAGGACCGCATCTGAAATAAAGAAAGTAACTTTAAACATGCATTTAATAATGTGGTGTGTGTACTGTACAATGCTGAATGTCCAACCATAAGAGCTGTGCAGAGGACACGGGTTTCTGCACGTACATGAGCAGGTATAGCCTGATTTATTGCGTCAGTGTCTGGAAGAATCTGCCAGACGTGCAAAACGTTCACTTTCAGCCTTACCGTGGCACGTCAGCATTACAGAGAACAGGGAGTGCTTTTCTCAAGATGAATTTGAATTACACACCTAAGTTGGACCTAAAATTGCCATGCAATCAAATTTTGGAAGTAGTGGGACAATTTTTTAGCTGATGTTTGTGAGTCACATTCACTCACCCTCTCGTTGGCCACACAGATGATTCGAGCATAACAGCAGATCATGAGGATAATCAGACTAAACAGAGGGACGTACCATCTGCAAAAAACAAACAAAGAAATACTTTACACCTCAAACAAGACAATACACAAACAAACAAGACAATACACAAACAGAGGCCTCAAAAAGTATCAGGACACTTACGTTCCCTAGATAGTGCGCTTGTGCTATCCTTCTTTACATTATACATTACATTATATATTATTATATTACATTATATATTATGTATATATTACATTATATACATAATATATAATGTAATAATTACATAATATAGTACATTTAAAATATGATTTCATATATATATTTATAATTTGTCTAAAGTTTCAAATAAATCCCTAAAAACTCAAATCAATAATTTTTATAATATAATAATTATCTTTACATTTGTAAAAGAAAAAAAGTAAAATCAATCATTTTAAATGCTACAACTGAATTTACGCATCACAACATTTTAAAATACTTTAAAGGAGCTGTATGTAGGATTGTGGCCAAAATTGGTACTGCAATCACTTTCAAATTACTGTAGAGCGGTGTATCCCCTCCCCCTCCCCCCTGACTCGAGGTTGCCAGATAGGCTGCAGGATCCAGCAGGAATATAGGCTGCCACAAGGAGCTTTCAACTAGAGCAGAGCTGGCAACCCGGATGCCGAAACACTACTGACTTCGTGATTGGTAGATAGGTGGAGGGTGGGGCTTCAGGCCAAAACACAAGATGACAACATCAACATCAGTTGAGGGCTGCAACTTCACTTTTTAAATGACAATATTGTGGCCGTACTACTGTTGTCAGTGATATAAGTATTTGAAATGGACATGATTTCTTAATGTCTAGAGACACATCAGGGCCATTTTATGATTAATTGAAATGCATTTCTTACATACAGCTCCTTTAACAGTATGAAAAATGAATATTATTTTTCAGATTTGCTAAAGTTTTAACATTTAACATTATTAATAAGTTTTATTTTTAAAGATTACTTTTTAAGTGATTGTTGGATGATGGAAAAGGTCATGTAAATATATGGAAAATTAGAATGAACAATTAAATATTCAATATCGACCAATATGGATAAATTAAATATTGGCTAGTAACCAACAGAAACAATATCTTGTGCATCCATATAAATATATATATATATAGTTATGTAATGCAAAAACATTCATGCATTTTAGGTGTCTAAATATATCTGTGGCCAGTGTTTACCAGTGTGTTCAATAGCACAGCAATAAACTTTACATAATTAGAGTGAAAAATATTCTAAGCAGCTCCAGCATGCACAAAAACCTGTCAGAATGAGAACGGAAATTCCTTAGATTCAAATAGCATGATGAGCTGCGTGAACCTCTGAAATGTGATGAAACTCATAACATAGTTACATAACTCCAACCCAGATTCATCCCCAGAAACAACACGCATTTTATTTCATACACGTTGAACATTACAAACTTACATGCCAAACCTCCACCCAACATGATTATCTGTAATCCAACTGCAGGAAAAGAATGAGACAGAAAGGACTGATGACTACTGTAATGATACAACTGCAATTAAGAATATATATAAAAATGAAAGGTCATATACCACCAGGCTCCAGCAGGACCGTAGTATCCAGCCATCAGTGGGAGGGTGGACATGAGCAGAGGAACCCCCCACGCCACCACATGGTACGGTCTGAGAAGCACATGCAGATGTTAGGAATACTTATATATATATATATATTACACACAACTAAATTTGTTTTTTTTTTTGTGTGTATTGTATATATTGACTCACATCTCATAATGTTCAGTTCTGATTTCTCTCACCAGGTTCAGGTAGAGATTGAAAGTAATAAGACACACCCACACCAGTGCAGCCCAGTCTAAAACAAAGTCAAAACTATAACAACAACAGCAATTTATCATGATATCAGTCTACAAAGGATGTCATCTTTCTATTTTGATGCAATGCAGTTTCTAGAGTTACTTCATATCCACACTTGTCTGGAATAAATTCACATTTTATTCACAAATATCATACTGTACATGTTTTTTGTGGTGTGAATTTTGGGGCTTAAATGTCTACTGCTAGTTACATCAATGACTAAATTAAATAATCTTATTATACCATGTCCGAATTAATGATCCGTTACTTTACATTAAAGGGATAGTTCAGTCATAAGACTTTCGTTCATTTCGGAAAACAAATTAAGATCATTTTGAGCTTTCTGTCCCTCCATTGACAGCTGCGCAACTACCACTTTGACGCTTCAAAAAGTTCATAAAGAGATAGTAAAACTAACCCATATGAATTGAATCCAAATTTCTTTATATGATGAACAGACTGAATTTAGGCATGTAGTAGAAGGAAATCCAAGGCACTCTTCTTAGGAATTAATAAAAAGCCTTTATTTAACTGGCTATTTCATAGTAGAAAATTTAAAAAACATGGGGGAAAAAACAACCCACGCGTAGCGGCACAAACAGCCTTCTTCAGGGTGAATTTAGGCTTTTATTCACATTCACACAACATTCATCAACTCACACATCAGTTGTGGTAAACAGAAGCTCAAGCATGTGGTGACGTGGTGAGGTTCATTCTGTATGTTACGCAGCACGTTTGAGCTTCTACAAGAACCAATGAAGTTCATTCTCGTGTGTTACGCATCACGTTTGAGCTTCTACAAGAACCAATGAAGTTCATTCTCGTGTGTTACGCATCACGTTTGAGCTTCTACAAGAACCAATGAAGTTCATTCTCGTGTTACGCATCACGTTTGAGCTTCTACAAGAACCAATGAAGTTCATTCTCGTGTGTTACGCATCACGTTTGAGCTTCCGCAAGAACCAATGAAGTTCATTCTCATGTTACGCAACACATTTGAGCTTCTTCAAGAACCAATGAGGTTCATTCTCGTGTGTTACGCATTACGTTTGAGCTTCCGCAAGAATCAATGAGCTTCATTCTCGTGTTACGCAGCACGTTTGAGCTTCCGCAAGACATTTGTTATCGCGCACCAAGCAGGTTCAGTTGAGCTTCTGTTTATGTTCGCTGATCGTGGTTTGTGAATAAAAGCCTAAATTCAATCTGTTCATCATATAAAGTGATCGAGTCTCTTCAGAAAATTTGGGCTACAATGCTTAATTCATATGGATTAGTTTTACGATCACTATGAACTTTTTGAAGCATCAAAGTGGTAGTTTCGTAGCTGTCTGTGGAGAGTACAGAAAGCTCTCAAATTTCATTAAAAATATATATATTTTTTTCAGAAGATGAATGAAAGAGGGGGAGTAATTAATGCCTTACCCATTTTTTGGTGAACTGACCCTTTAATATGACAGTACACATATAAACAAACATCTTTTAATCAGTTGCACAATTTACCAAAATATGTGAGCCACCACGCTTGAAAATTACACAGAGAACCCTCTGGATGAGACTCTCCCTGCAGGTGAGAGGAAAAGAAAAGAAAAGGCGCAATGAAATAAAGTTATTAAAGAGGGATAAAAAAAAACTGTTTTCAACATACATTAGTTTGAATAATTACTCTCTGCCTTCATATGCATCTCTCTCTCAAACATACACACAAATGAATCAACACAACATACCATAACATATGCAACACTGTCAAAAAATGCAGCTACTGTCAGACTGACTACCATTTTCTGGAAAAAAAAGGAAAGAAGAGAGATTATAACATACAGATAAAAAGAGATCCGCTATTTAAAATAATTCATATTAATCAACAACATGACAGAATATGACAATTACTAAAACTTTAGCGGATTTTAAATTATGTTGGGTAATAACACTACAATTCAAAAGTTTGGAGTTGTTTATGTTTTTGAACGAACTCTTCAAACAGACTGCACTTTTCAATTTAAAATAGCAGTTTACAGTAACACTTTATTTTGATGGTCCCTTGTGAACATTCTGTGTTGACTATAAGTAACTTTGCAACTACAGGTCAACTAACTCTCATTAGAATATTAGTAGACTTAATCTCATTAGTAGACTGTCTGCTTAATATCTGCTAACTCTTTATTGTGATGGTCCTCCAACAGACATTCTACTGACTATAAGTAACTTTGACACATGTCAACTTATTCTAACCCTAACCCAACTAGTCTACTAATACTCTTTTTTTAGTCTACTAATACTCTACTAACTCTCTAATGAGAGTTAGCAGACATGTAGGTGCAATGTTACTTATAGTCAACAGAATGTGTTAAAGGGACCATCAAAATAAAGTGAAACCCGGTTTACTATTTTAATACATTTTAAAAAGATGTATATTCCTGTGATGGCAAAACTAAATTTACTCTAATAATTCCAATATTCTGATTTGTTGCACAAGAAACATTTTATTATTATTATCATCAACGTTGAAAATAGTTGTGCTGCTTTTTTTGTAGCAAAACATCTTTACTGTCACTTTTGCAAAATATAATGCATCCTTGCTGAATAGTATTAATTTGAAGAAGAAAATAAATAAATAAAAAAGATCTTACTGCCACCAAACATTTGAACAGTAGTGTATGTATCTTGGCAATTCAAATCAAACACACACTGTACCTGAGCCAAAGAGTTATATCTGCGCAGCAGCCATATCACAAAGAGCATGAAAAAGCTACAGATAGGAAATTTTAAGTTAATTAAGAATGCTCAATAATCACTTTAAAACAAAGAAGCTCTGTGCAATATAAATCAACTCACCATGCCACTAATGAAAATGTCCCTGTGGCTCTTTTCACTTTAAGAATCACATCCTGAGGATTAAAATACATACATAAATATAATGAAAAATAAAATGACAACCAGGAAGGAAAAGTTCTATGACATTAAAGGGATAGGCCTAGTTCACCCAAAAATGTAATTTATCTCATCATTTACTCACCTTTGTGTTGTCTTAAACCTGTTTGAGTTTATTGAATGTTTGTAACCAAACAGTTGTGGGGCACCATTGACTTTCATAGATTTTTTTTTCCATACTATTGGAAGTCAATGGTGCCCCACAACCATGTGGTTAATAAAAACATTCCTCCAAATATCTTATTTTGCGTTCAGCAGAAGAAAGTAATTCATAAAGGTTTGGAACAACTTGAGGGGGAGTAAGTTAAATGTTGACAGAATTTTCATTTTTGGGTGGAGTATCCCTTTAATTCCATGAAGTCTTTTTCTTATGAAGTTTCATTTTAAATAGACGTCTTGATTCCCTTATATTTCTTTACATTTTGAACACTATACAGTTCTTTCAGACACTTTGTAACCATTCACCAAAGAAATGTAAACCATTTTCCTGCTCGTGTGTTGGGTGGTTTGTCCCATCACAGCTCAAGTAATTTATTTACAAATGAACTTACCTCACCATGAGCCATCTTATATTTCCACAAGAATGTTTAACTAAAATTAAATGATTATCAATCACCATACTTTCTTACTTTCACGTCTAGGAGTAAACTACTAGTAAAAATCACCATGCCTGGAAAGGATGATGTCATGTTGTGATTAGCATGAGGGCTAACAAGTTAGCATTACATTAATTTTTAAAACAAGATTACACTTACACATTGATAGTCGTCGGGCGCTGCGTTAAAGAAAGTACAGCGGGAGCTGCTAGTGTTGTTAAGCTGAACTGTATGCTCATCTCCCATAATTATTCTTCCTTTTTACTAACTAATATTTTGATGTGGACAACGCACATGATGAGACCACCACATTCCCATTGACACGTAAGGCGTGCACACTGGGACAAACAACACCAGGATATACGAAACGCGATTAAGTTTTTCCTTCGCAAAAAGTTTGCCAGTGTACGTAGTTTTCATATAAACATTATATTTTCTACAGACTTAGCTGTTGTTTTTACAGTGAGGTCATGTTATTGATTAATTAATTTTATTTGAATTAAAATAAACGGATAAGACTTTTCAGCGTATTGATAGATAGGTTATTTGATTGTTTATTCATTTTGTGGAATAGTGTGTCTTATGTTTTCATAACATGGTACTATGAAACATTTAGTAGAGTGAAAGCAAGGTGATTTTGATTCATCCAAGCCAAATAACATAGTGTGGCAGTTCACTTTGTCAACATGTTTGTTTAGGTTTAGGTCCAAAAAAGAAGAATCTTTGGTATCTTTGGACAATAAGTCATTGTGCAATAAAAACTTCAGTTGTTTACATTTAAATATATTATAAAATAAATTACTTCCATTATTCAAATTATTGTATTTTAGCAACATCATGTGAATTTTGATCACTTATACACACATTTAAATTTGGTCAGTCCAATCGAGCCGTATACCTTCCACAGATTTGTAGGTCCTACAGGCCCTCAAAATATATGTGTGTAGGCCTATTTACTTTTGCAAAAAAATACAAATATGAACATAAATAATCTTTGTATGTAAAATAAATAATCTGATTATTTAATTATTATATAAACCTGATTATTATAATCTGGTCTCACTTAATGTATACTCGCATACACAGAAATTGAAATGGTAAAATGGGAATTTCATTTTATTAGATTAAATGAGAACTGTCATTATCCCATCAGTCTCAGAAATGAAAGTTATTTAAATTATAGACTTTTGTAAGAACTAAGGAATGAGGAGTGTACATGGTGCAGGATGTGTGTGTGCCTGTTAATTATGGATTATTTTTGAGCATGAATGAATAATAAACAACCACAGATATTCAAATTACAAAAGTTTATTTTGTTATAAAAAACCAATTCAATACAAAACACAGAAAATGTTTTTATCATACTGGCATTTAGGCACAATTTAACCCAGAATCTCATGGAACTCATCATGACACACACAAGCAGTGGTTTTCAGAGTTGTCCACGTCATTGATTCACAGATAGTTTCAGGCCATTAACAGGAAACGTTCCCAGGAGTTTTCTACAGAGTTTCTGCTTCATCTATAGGAATTTTCACATAAACAAACTATCATACATTTTGTTCTTAAAGTCATGAAAAAGTCATCAGTCCTCTGGAACACACAGTAACATCATAGGACAACAACTTTAAAGAAGAATTAAAAAATAAAAGCTTTCAATTATACATAATCCATAAATAGATTTAAATATCAAGGTAATGGCAGCCAGCCATTTGAACGGAGATTTTGTTTTGTTTTTGTAAAAAAGGGAAAGTGCCTGTGCAAATATAACGTCATAAGACAGGAAGCAGCCCTTACAATTTGTCAGTGATCAACACCAATACTACTACAAAACCCAGTTCCCCCTCTCGCTTTGCCTTGCATTTTAACTTTTGACAGTTTAACATCTGTTCGGTCAGTCCCTTTTGTCTCTTCCACAAAGGCAGAATAGATCATATTAGATCAGAATTGTTCATCATATTCAAAGACATGGATCCTTCATGATGCATTTCACTGTCCCCAGCCAGCAATGCCAATCTCCTGCTTGTATCGGTTGGTCAGGTTGTTGGCTTGGCTTGTAAGTTTGGACAGCACCCCATGCAAGCCCTTCAGATGATACTGCAGGAGCTGCTCCAGGTCCGTGTCGCTGTCCGGTTCTGTGTGCACTGGCTCCGGCGCAGGAGAGTCTTTTTTGCGCCTCTGCTCCTCTGCGCGCAAGACACCCCATTCGATGTTGTTCCGGATGGACTTGAGCTGGCTGTAATAGCTGTACATGTCGTCCTCAGCATCCCGCAGATAGCTACCCATAACATTGGTTAGCTTCTGCTCCTCGTTCTGTTGGTCCAGCGGCACATCTCTCAGCAGGCTTGGCACCATGACCGTCTGGTCCATGTTGTTGACGGCGCCGATGAAGCGGTTCATTGCCGTGAAGAGAGCGTTCTTCTGGCTGAGGGGTTCGGACATCTGCATTTTGGTGGATTATGAGGGTTAATTCGAGAGTAGTTTACTCTGTATGTTTCTCTCTGGTGTGTTTAGCTTTCTTCTGAACATCTGCATTCTATATGCCTTATATACCAGACATTTTCAGCTCCTGGGCGTGACCGAAACCTGTTGATCTGGTCTGGGATGTCAGGTCAGACACAACCAGATTCCAACAGCAAGACAGAAACCTCCGCACGGCCCATAGATACACAGGGAGCGGCACAAAAGTGCATGGATCAATTTGTTGCATAATTATTTAAGCTTCATACAAACTTAATAAAAACTAAATTCTGCTGTGAGGGCATGTGAAATGTTGTTGCACCAAACTGGACTTTGATTTTCAAGATTTAGCCTACAAATGACGCAAATAGCCTAATGTTAATTTCTAGTTCTAGGCTATAAATGAACGGTCATAACAACATTAATAAGGGTTAAAATATCCCTTTTTGAGCAAGTTAACTAGGCCTACTATGTCCCTTGATAACAAAATCTAATCTTTAGAATTCTTTTCTGATTAGTAACATTTTGAGGCCAAAAGTTGCATGCTTAAGTTATGAATAGGCCTAATGTTTGAAGTCATCATTATCATGCCACATAAGCAAAAATGAATGAACCCAGCAGGAAGGAAAAATCACAAATAAGATATGAGATTATATCTCAGTTGTGTCTTAGATGGCAATGAGATCCAATAGAGAGAAAGAAACTTTTGCTTTAATCTGCTTACAGTTTTCTCCTAAAGAAGAGTCTTCTGTAGAGTATTAGAAGAGTTCTCAACAATGTCTCAAACTGCCAAGATTTAGCCATAACTGATGTGCAGTCTCAACATTAGAAGATTTTGGTATAAACTATTTCTCAACAGATTTTCACGTTCCAACACGTCATCATCATTTTATAGCTCCATTCTTTTTTCAGGTGTCTCTATATTCATTTATCCAAATGAACATCTGAGACAAAGCTGATCCTGATGGAACATATTAATGTCTCCTGAGCTAAGAAAGACCAACCGTATAATGATTTTCTCTGGGGGAAAAAAAACAACCTATTCATAAACTGATTGGTCTGCAAGGTTGATTTATTTGTCAAGCTATTGAAACATTACATTTCATTAATACTTTATAAGTTGACAAGATGTCTTATCTGTGTCCTTAAAATGGGTTTTGGGGGCATGTTTCTGCTTTCCACTTTATGGACTTATGTAAAATGCTCTGAAACTGTCCCTTCTGGCCTGTAAAATTAATCTGAATGCCCAGAAGGGATTTGGTTTGTTGTCCAATTCAACAAATTAACACAAGAGGATTATTCAGGTGTAAACAAAACGATTAGAATGCTAATCTATTATTTATGTTATAGTAAAAAAAGGTTTCTTTTTTCACATTTCTTTTTTGTAAGAAATCACAAGGTCTTATTTCTATATTTGGCTTTCTTGGAATAGCTATCATATACTGTATGTGCGGTATCCCATACATCCACAAACTAAAACACACACTCGGGCCTAATAAGGTCTCCACAAAAGGGTCAAACCACATAAGATAAGAGATAAGATCACAGTAAGGTTTCAGTTTAAATAATTTTGCATACCAAGTCATAGAAAGGGAAGCTGAGAAACCTTGCAATGACTAGAATGTCTCGGATGATTTAGAAACCTGTTCTTCTGCTCTGCCTCTCACCTCCACCCTTGTTCTAGGTCCATCTTTGCCTCACCCCAAGAATCATTGAGAATTGTAAATGTATGATTTGCAAAAGTGTACCATAACATTGTCTCTTTTTCATGCAATGTGTCTTCACTTAACTTCATTGTTGATATAGTTTCAGTCTAAACCTCCCCTAAACATCTTTTGACTATTTTGGATATCCAGAGATGGGCATGATGAAAATGTATTTAAAATAAAAAATTCTAAATACCTCAGTTGAAATGTATCAAAATAAAATACTAAATACTGTGTGGGAAAAAAAATGTGAATACAAATACAATATTTTGTATTATCAAAAAACATGTGAAATTGGCATTCAGTGAATGATCTCTATCAACTCATGAATGAATGAATGAATGAGGCATTTATATAGCGCTTTCATATGTACTACTGTACACCCAAAGCGCTTTACAATCATATCAGGGGTAACTCATGCCTACTAAAAGCTGAATTATGTAGTATACCGCAATATATAAACAATTTAGAACAAGTTAAATTGATTCACTCTATATATTACCAACATGATACAGTATATATCATCATATCGCCCAGTCCTAGCAAACAGTAATGCTTAAACACTTTTGACTAGCAGATTGATCAAACAAATAACCAATTAACTATCAAGACTGACTGGCTAACACTATTTTTCCCCTTGGCAGTGCTCTTTTATTCCTTCATGTTAACTGAAGGTAAATCTGAATAATGCTGAGATTTAAACTTAATCAACAAGTAGAATCAACCATGACATCTTCACCATATCTTATTCCTTATTAATGCAGAAAATTCGCTCACTCGATGCTAGATGGAGTCGTACAGCTGCAGCTCACATGCAGGAAAGTTGGGGTTGGGGGGCCTGAACTAGTTGATTAGTTGATAGTTGATTTTGTATTTCAAATACGTATTTTTAATACATGTATCTGAAAAACTGCCCATCCCTGTGCATATTTGATCTCACTCTGATCTAAAACTGCAGGGCAGCTGCCAGTGAAAAGTCATAGGGAAACTAAAAAAAAACAACAACAACCATAGCATGCCCAATAACTCCACATTCATGCTAAAACACACACATTTCTTATTATGATAAGATCAGTAGAAGTAACATGAAACTACCACAGTGGTTTCAAAAGCATGCCCACACTCTGAATCATGTTACACTGCTGGATTCTATTATATTTCTGTCCTGTGCAGAGTTAGACATGCAAGGGATGACCTGAGAGAGTCCATCTGTTATGTAAAATATTTATAAGCAATTTAAGGTGACATGAATACTGCCTCACATAATTACATTTAAACCCTAAGAGATACAATGACGGCCATTAAAGAACAAGAAAATTGATTGATTTTTTTTTTTTTCGTTTAGTGCACTTTGCAACCGATTTCTGTTGTAAACAACAATATCAGTGTCCATCTGACCCCTTGTAATTTAAAGAAATCAGAACATATCAAATGTTTTATCACACATACCATTTCACACAATGTCGCAGCACCCTCTATAGGTCATACAGGTATTTGCACAACTGAAATACTTGAATAATGTGTTGTGAAAAGTATTTTTTTTTATGACGAATACATGAATTTAGTACAATTAATTGTTTATTTCTCCATTAAACCGCCCATTTTCAAAGAGTTTTGAGACACATTATTACTGATTTTATGATACAAAAGCAGATGATGACAGTATTCTGCTGGTTTAGGTTTTTTGTTTTGTTTTTCTAATTTTTTAAAATTTGAGTTTGGGAATTTGCGGCCTATAGTCTGTCAGGATGCACACCATCAAACCCTGAAGAAAACACATAGAAACATTACTTAACAAACATAAATGCATTATTAATGCTCATATCTTTACATATAGGTACACTTTACCATAATGGTCCACTTGCGGTTTTCAGCTTCTGTAAACACGAGGGAACGTGGTGAGTAGAAAACTTCATCGTCTACTTCCTCTGCTTTACGTGGGAGACAGTGTAGAAATGTCCAGTCTGGTGCAGCCACACTTCCTGCCTGCATGTCAACAATTCAACAGAAACATAAAAAACTGCATAACACTATTCAGAAGCAAGTTTTTAATTTCCACAACAAGGCTGCATATAAATGAATTATAATCCAGAGTAAATCATACTAACATAATGGAATGAAAAGTCTAGACTAGATCAAACTAGACAAAGTTGATGGATGTTTGTCTACCTGCATTGTGATCTGGTAACCATGGAAATCTTTCAGTCTCTTCTTCTTCTCCTCCTCTTGGCCCATGCTCACCCAAGTGTCAGTAACCAGCACATTACTGTCCCGTGCTGCCTCCACTGGATCCGTCAGGAATTGCAACTTGGTACCAAACTATAGCATGGATATCACGATTAGCTAAACATTGCATAGCCTACTATTCATAAGCTAGTGAACATAAAAAACATCTATAAAACACTTTTGCACAGATTTATTGTGTTGTTAAAGGGAATTCTTAAAGAATCATTTCACATACATAGACAAACACATATGTCTATAATGAAAATCCCTGATATAAATCATACATTATAAAGATAAAGCAGACATTATAAAGAGACAATTGTATTGTAGGGTATCTATACCTGCTTAGAGAGACGCTGAGCCTCTTGAGTGACGTTAGCATCTGGCTCATAACCCTATAAAGATAAGAGGTTAATTCAGGAAAAATAATTTCAGAGTGGTGCGAGTTAAAATAAATAAAATACATTATATTGTATATTACATTATATACATTATACTATATATATATATATATATATATATATATATATATATAGAACCGTTCAAAAGTAGGTATGATTTTTTATGTTTTTGAAAGAAGAGTCTCTTATGCTCACCAAGTAAACTCTTTTCTATTTAATATATTGCAAAATGTAATTTATTGCTGTGATGGAAAAGTTGTTTTTTCTGTATTCCAGTGTCACTTGAAATCATTCTAATATGCTAATGCTTAAATACAATTTCTGATTATTATCAGTTGAAAACAGTTGTGCTGTTTAATATTTTTGTGGAAACTGTGATACATTTTTATCAATTTAATGTCTTCACTGAATAAAATAAAAGTATTAATTTCTTTCACAAAAAAAAAAGAAAAAAAAGATGGGACTGTATGTGTAACCCCCACGTCCTCTCAGAGATCAGGATCCATGTGCAGGGGAACTAAGGTGGAACTAAGGTAAACCAAAGGTAAACCAACACCAGACAAAGAAAATGAGAAACACTGGGGTATATACGTATACACAAGGGGAGATTGGCAAACAAGACACACCTGGGAACAATCAGGAACTAATCAACAAGAAAAACTACAAAGAACTAAAAAACATGGTACAGAACAGGAAATAGCATAAAAGTCCACACAAGACAAGGGGAACACAAGACAGGAATAGTGACAGCATGTGTATGACACAGTTCTGAAAGTGGCACAAACCTTGGGTGTGGCCACTTTTAGATTGACACCTAGTTTAGCCAATGACATCATGAAGGAGTGAAGAACATTGTTTCCATCACCTATCCAAGCCAGAGTGAGTCCTTTTAATGAGCCGTAGTGCTCCTGTAAGAGTGAAAAAGAACACATGAGTGAATGTACTTCAGTTTATGTATGTGTAAGTGTCAGTGAATTTGTACCTGCAGTGTCAGTAGGTCCGCCAGAATCTGTATAGGGTGGTAGAGGTCAGACAGGCCATTGATGATTGGTATAGAAGCGTCTTTATCCAGGAGCTCCAGAGATAAATGACTATACACCCGAGCTAACACGATATCTGCCAAACCAGAAAGCACCCTGCCATACATACACACCCACATTTAAGACCATGTGAATGCCTCACAGTATTGAGTCTAAGAAGTGTTTACAATGTGTTTAAATTCAGACCTGGCCGTGTCTGTGGTGCTTTCATTGATGCCTAGATGAATATCTTGGGGTGTGAGAAAACATGAATGGCCACCCAACAGAGAGAAGCCTAGTGAAAAAGAGAGAGAGAGAAACTGTCTATGTGTCAAATCCTTTGTTCTGTATCGTTCTATTCATTCATTTTGTTCAGAGACCGCACTGATAAATATAAGCCCTTTCACAAGCTCGAACACTGAATGGCACCTGTTTCAGTGGACATGCGGGTCCTAGTGCTCCTCTTTTCAAATATCATGGCAATAGATTTGCCTTGAAGTACTGGGACATACTGTGCATAAAAAGAGGAATAAATGAGCATTGTTTATAAGTCCTGAAATGGTGAGATTTCCAATCAGTAAGTTCAGCAGTTGCAGTATATTTTGCAGTACCTCGCCCCTGTGCTTTATTCGATGCTTTAGGTCAGCAGAAACCCACAGGATATGTTTAATTTCCTCTGCGTTAAAGTCCTTTAGTGTTAGAAAGCTGCTGCCCTTCAGATTAACACTCTCCAAAGTTGCTTTTCCCACTCTGTGGACATGAAATACGCATGATACAGACGGAAAACTGCTTGAATATAAGAAAAAAGAAGAGAAAAGAAAACTCAAACACATTTTATGAAAATAGTTAATGTAAAACAACATTTTAAATAACATTTTCAAATTATTATTTAGATTTCATGACGTCATATATTGAAAGAATAAATTGTATAGGTTATTTCTATAAATATATATAAAATATATATAAATGGTTAAAAACTTCAAAAGTGTCACAATCTAAAGAAAAGAATGTTCCTTTATGAAAATATATAAATTTAGCAAAAATGTTAAATGTTAATATTTAGTTAAAATATCAGTTTTATTGGCCAATTACTCATTAATTCAAATTTAAGTACCGGTACTTTTTTTTTTTTGCTTAACAGATCAGCGTGTTACTATACATTAAAACGAGAACATTATTCAAACTTTCACGACACTCATGATGACTTCTTAATATTTAAATTAATTGTCTGTTGAGAATTATGAAATTTAATAATATTTGTTAATATAAATGATGAATATTTGTTAAACAGCAACAAACCATATTTCTTGTTTAGCCTATGGCAAACTTTGCGACTCACCTTAAATTCCTGCTCTGGCAACATCTTGCAAATTTCAGACTGCAATATATTCTGTTTTTGAGAGCAAACATTTTACTGACATATGAAAACATAAAGCTCAAAGCTGGCACAACCAAATCAATGCATTTCCACATGCTCCCTGTCATACAGCATTGTGGGCGTGGCTAATGGGATGGAAAGGGGGCGGTACAAGTAACTGGGCGTGGTGAGTGACAGCTCTTGTGCCTTTTCTCATTTATCCCACACACTGCCATCGGATGCTAAATTCTCTCTCTCTCTCTCTCTCTCTCTCTGTTAAAATACTCAATGACTATAATGTTTCTTTTCTTAATTAAATAATTATATACAATTAAAAACTGTACAGTTACAACAAAGTGCGAACACTTTATTCGATTTTTTTGCATCGATGTCAAGGTAACGTATACTTCCGGTTCAACTTTATCTCTTCAGCAGGGAACAGCTGAAAGTTCAGGAATGTCATCTGAAGAACAGAGGTGTAGAAGGTGATGACAGGAGAAACAGACACAGAAATACCAGGTAAGATGTGTATTTTTACAGTGACACATCTATCTATCTATCTATCTATCTATCTATCTATCTATCTATCTATCTATCTATCTATCTATCTATCTATCTATCTATCTATCTATCTATCTATCTATCTATCTATCTATCTATCTATCTATCTATCTATCTGTCTGTCTGTCTTTTTATCTATATATCTGTCTATCTGTGTACGTGTATGTGTATTTTAGCATGTGCTTGTAAGACTCTCTTTGTGTGACACATAATCAAGCCTTTGAGCTCCTAGAGCATTATACCGACACAGGCTATTCTGGGAAGCTGGAAGCTTTCTAAGGATTTAAATGGACCTTGCTGAGCATGGGAAGGTTTGCTCTTTGCTCCGGATGTGAACAATTGTGAGATGTTGTCCTGAACATATGTTTCCTTATTGCAGATACAGGTGCTGTATTTACCTTCGGAAATAGTAAAATAGCAAACAATGTGCCCAGCAGGTTATGGTTAAAGAATGATATACCTGTGCACATCTCATGCGGACAGTCACACTCAGCCTTTGTAACAGGTTGTAATCTCTCTATATTATTCTTTTAATTTAGTAACTATAGCTATATTTTGTAAAATATACTATATTTTTTGTCTCTTTAATGATCTCTTTTCAGAGCAGGGCCGTTTGTTTGTGTTTGGAAGTAATAACAGCGGTCAGCTTGGTCTACAAGCCAAAGGACCAGTTAAAAGACCGATCTGTGTTAAAGGTTAGACATAAAGGTGTTTACAGTATACATTTATTTATATGTTTTATAATGATCTAGCTCTGTGTTATCTTATTTATCTTATTCGTCCACACAGTTCTTAAAGGGGAGAGAGTTCAGTTGGTTGCCTGTGGGACTGATCACACACTCGTAAGCACCTGTAAGCAAAGCCTTTTACTATAGTTTCATATAACGATATACACTATTGTTAAAAAGATTGGCATCAGTAAGATGCTTTAATGTTTTTGGAAGAAGTGTAGTATTAGTTCAATTTATACTGGTAATATTTTGAAATATAATAAAAATAAGTAAACATTTTTTGATTGCTGTTTTCTATTTTAATATGTTTTAATTTATTTCGGTGATGGCAAAGCTGAATTTTCAGAATCATTACTCCAGTCTTCAGTGTTACATGATCCTTCACTCTAATATTCTGATTTAATTAATATGCTTAATATTTTTTTGTGAAAACCATGATTCATGATTCTTTGATTAACAGGATGTTCAAAAGAACAGCATTTATTTGAAATAAAAATCTCTTGTAAAATGAATGGTCTTTACTGTCACTTTTGATCAATTTAATGTGTCCTTATTGAATAAAAGTATTCATTTTTTTTTTTTTATCTTACTGACCCCAAACTTTTAAACAGTAGTTTATATTTTAAAAAGAGAATTGTAAGTGAAAGTGTCTGTGGGTTTTTCCAGCACAAGGGGAGATTTTTGCGGCTGGAGGAAACAGTGATGGACAGTTGGGACTGGGCCACTGTAATGGCAGTGTCTCTTTCCAGCGCCTCCGCCCCTTTTGTGACTATGCTCCAATCAAATTGCTCTGTGCAGGTGACCACACCTCTGCTGCACTTACAGGTAACATTGATATGCAACAGAAATTCTCCTTCATAGTAGATATAAACCTACTATTATACATGCAAATGCATTTATATATTTAAATAATAAATCTGCATATTTCAGAGGATGGCAGGCTGTTTCTGTGGGGTGATAACTCTGTTGGTCAGCTTGGTTTGGGGAATGACAGTCATGCCTTGTTGCCTAAAGAGCTGAAATTGGGACAACCCGTTCAGTCGGCCTCATGTGGATACAGACACTCGGCTCTGGTCACAGGTGAGCGCCTGTCAATCAACACTATTCATAAGCATGAATGAGACCATGCTGTTATTTATTTTTTGAGGGTGCGCTGAATAAATTGTTGGGAATTTGGTATGTTTCAGATAATGGGGATGTTTTCACTTTTGGGGAAAGTGCAGATGGACGACTGGGTCTTTCTGCTCATCTGCTGGCCAATCACAGTTGTCCCCAGCGAGTAGAATCTCTGCACAGGGTTCTGCAGGTGGCATGTGGAGGCAAGCACACACTCGCCCTCACAGGTGATGGAGATGAACACATACAGTGCCTTAAAAACATTTGAATGAATGTATATTAAATATATTTTACTATCCATTAGATTTAGGTTTAAAATTGAAATGCCACTTGGTTTGATATGTTGTTATCTAATGCAGTGACATTAATACATTTTTCAAGTGTGGCTTAAAGGGTTAGTTCACCCAAAAATGAAAATTCTGTCAGTAATTACTCACCCCCATGTTGTTCCAACCCCGTACGACTTTCGTTCATCTTCGGAACACAAATTAAGATATTTTTGATTAAATCTGAGAGCTGGATCACTCCTCCATAGGCTTCTTAATGGATCGAAACTGGCCGGCCCAAAAGTTATGAAAGACATCGTTAAAATAGTCCAAGTGACTACAGTGGCTCAATCTTAAGTTTATCAAGCGACGAGAATACTTTTTGACCGCAAAAAACAAACAAAAATAACGACTTTATTCAACTAATCATTTCCTCTTCTCTTCGCTTGATAAACTTAAGATTGAGCCACTGTAGTCACTCGGACTATTTTAACGATGTCTTCCATAACATTTGGGCCGGCCAGTTTCGATCACTTAAGAAGCCTATGGAGGAGTGATCCAGCTCTCAGATTTAATCAAAAATATCTTAATTTGTGTTCCGAAGATGAACGAAAGTTTTACGGGGTTGGAACAACATGAGGGTGAGTAATTACTGACAGAATTTTCATTTTTGGGTGAACTAACCCTTTAATGTTACGTGACAGCAGGGACGAGGAGAGGCAAGAATCCAAGCGCAAGCACATGTTTATTCAAAATAACACAAACACAGGTAATCCAGACAGGTTAAAGAACATAATCCAAACAGGGAAACCAGAATGCAACAGCTTACACAGCTGTTAAACCCATGTTAAGACAATGACAGACAAAAGACAACTGAAACACAGGGCTATAAATACACAGGGAAATTAGGGCTAAGGGAACACAGGTGAGAGAACTAATCAAGGTGGACAAACAGGGGACAAACTATAGAAAGGGACATAGCAACAGAGGAAGAGAACACAGAAACAATGGAAACAAAAAACAAAACAAAAAAATCACCTTAAAAGTCCTAAACAAAACCAGGGAAACAAGACACGAATCATGACACTCAAGTGTCCAAATACTTCTTGAGACTTCTTGATACTTCCCTGAATGCTCACCATATGACAGGGTTCCCACGGGTCCTTGGAATCCTTGAAAGTTTGTGAATCTGGAAAAAAAAAAGTCAAGGCCCTGGAAAGTTTTTGAAAATAAACATAGCTACATAGATACAGGTCCTTGAAAGTGCTTGAATTTATTTTGTGCAAGAAGTAGGGGTGTGACGAGATCTCGTGCCACGAGATCTCGCGAGACTAAATATGACGAGATTTCTCGTCGAGTGAAAAAGCTGTCTCGCGATATCCCCATTAATATTCCACCGCTACACTCACATTCGCCTAAACTATCGTTTTGTTGTTTTTATAAAAAAATAAAAACCATTATAAACTAATGCAAAAGTCTGCTCTGCTCATCCAGCGCGAGTTGCCGTTGCAATCAGTGCAGCACGAATCACAGTTCACTGATCGCGTGACGATGGCGGAGGATTCGTTGCGCAACAGACTAAACGTCTGGTAAATGTCTTATCATTTAGAATGCGCGCTCAGCACCGCTGCTCAGAGCCGGATTATCCATAAGGGCACTTGGGCCAGTGCCCAGGGGCACCAACCATTCACAACCACTAGGGGGGCACCACATGAGTCAAGCTTTAAAAATATTTTTCGTAAATTGTTATATTATTAACTTGAAATTCTTGACAGACCATAAATAAATCGTTTATGAACACTAATTTAACAATAATAATAACAATAATGATTTAATAATAAATTATAAATAAATAAAGATTACATGACCACTATCACTCCCCCCTCCCCAATCTGTCAGAGTTGCGTTGGTCCACAACAAATACGTGCAAATGTGTCATTTTTTTAACGGCTACAAAAAAATGAATTAAAATCAAAACTGGACAGACGTCAATTGAGTGGTTTTGCAAAAAGAAAGTTAAAGAAAGACAAGGACGCTAGACGTAGCTACAATTCACAATGTTCCAGGTATCGAAAGATTTTTTGTGAGAACATCACGGGAATTGCGATCACTAGCAGCGCTGAGTCTGACGAAGCCGGTGTTCTGTCGATCTGTCCTACCTTGTCAGTTTTTCCTACCGTAGCGCAAAATTATAGCCATATCTATCGTTTCATCCTACCACATCGTAAAATCCTACTGCGCGTTTCTGCTTCGCGTCTGTGACTACATCAAATATTTCAGTGTAACTTTGCCGCATATTCTTATTAGGTGATTTTACAGTGCAAAGTAACGTTACCTCATCAGATTGTCCTATGAAATAATCGGGTAGGATGATTTTACAGTGCAAATACCTCATCAGATTGTCCTAGACAAATAAACAGATAGGATGATTTGACAGTCTAAGTTTTAATCTGTATAGTCCCTGGACAGATGTTACAAATTTACTCTAAACCAGATGATAATGTAAATTGAAATAAGATTAGTTATTGAGATAATTTATAATCAAGCAGATCAATTTAGAACGGAGATTATTAATCAAATTCATTTCAAAATTCAAAATCATGCAACAGAGATGCACAATACAAAACAAGTAAAACAATAAGTTATTAATATAAATATGAACTAAGACCACACTGTGCTGCAGACTGTTATCAATGCAAATGATAAAGGGACATACACTGAAACTATACTACACACTTTTTGCACATAAACACATTTAGGCTACTGAAGTTGCAACATTTAAAATGTGCCCATCTATTGCAGCTCTCACACTGTACCTGGAAATAAAGGAGATGAATATATATGTAAATTAGTACATTTAAAACAATATAGAATCTGAAAACATGAAAAGAAAAATGACCTTTTCATTTAAATAACAAAATTCTACAAAAAAAACATGGCACATAAAGTTAAACTATTGTTTTTTGGGTGTGTGTATTATAAGTTGTATACCATTTCAATCATGCTTTCGTTGGGGTCGTCTTCCACACAGTACTCCTCTGCATTACCTATACATTTGTTAACATTAAAAAAAAAGATAAATATGAATTCATTGGACAATCATATCATAGTGTACTAAATGTCAACATAAACGCCATGAAAAAAAAAATCTCAGACCTGTTCCGAAATTACATTAAATCAAATCATTCTTGCATTACTTTTTGCATCCTTCAAGTTATTTTCTATATAATTTTCTTCTCTATCCCCTCTGTATATTTGGATATTCTTACTTGATTAAATACATTTTTCAGAGTGAAGATAGCATCTACAGAGGTGTACTACATGACACACTGTACATTACAATACATACATTACTACGGTATTACAGAATTAAAACAGCACTCACCTCGACATCCAAGAAGTGTGCAGGCTACTGTCATGCGTGCTGAGCTGACCGCTTCAGGCGTAGTCTGAACATTGCTGATCGTTCCTGTCAGCAGGTATTGTTCAGCAAACTGAAACATTAATTGACAGATGACTTAATTAAATTCATTATAACATATCCAGACCTGAAGCCACTCTTGAAAATATATGAACACATACATTCAATACCACAACTGCTGGAATCCATCTGCAGGTCGTGCTTCAGGGTCCGTAATTGCCACTGGGCTGTTTGCTCAATTCCTAGATGTCGTCGAGACATTTGTACTGTTTAGAATCGAATAGCATTAAAAAAAATAGATGAAACAGTTCTAACAAGGTTACCTCCAGTTCCGCAGAATTTTATGTTCATAAGAACGTTCATTTCCCATTGGGTCAATCACAAGGAGTGTTTTTTCAGGCATGTTGATAATCTGGAATATAATGTCATGTAATCATAAATAAGGTTTTAAAAATATTTTTAGATCACTCTACTAACAACTACAGGAAGCTGCTTAAATAAACCTTTAAATTATTGACCTAAAGCATTAAAGAATGTCTGCAGATTATGGAGAAAGTGTCAACACAGTGATTTAGTTATTTGCAGGTGAATATAACACATAAGAATATAAGTGAATGGTGGCAATATACTGAGGGAAAATGCCAAACGGAAGTGAGCATCCCTATGCCCTACTCCCTTCGAAGGGCAGAGCCCTTGAAGTGGGGACTTTGGAGTGAGCAGTAGCCTACTCCTACTTCTCTGCTCACAACTTTAAAACTTGCAGTGTGTCATCTTTGACCCTGCATTACCTAACACATTTCGGTAACGCTTTAGATTACAGCCCGGAAAGTACTTAAAGCGATTTTACAGCGTAACCTTCGGTGATTATAGTGTACCTATAACGTACTTACAATATAAGTATAAGGGAACAATATTTTAAGTTTGGGGAATAAAGGGGTAACATATAAAAATATTTATACTGTAAGTATTATAGAACTAAGGGGAACTTATTCTACTTTTATGATATAACAATCTTACATTTGGGAGCAATTTAGCAAGAACATACCTTTTTGAAATAATGGTGAACCAGTACATACTTTATAGGCTTTTTAAAAATTACAGGGTACATATCTATGCATTTATAAAGTAATCTTTTTAACAAAAGTGCACTGAAAACAAAAACTATTGCAACTTTTGCTTAAATATTGGGGAAAGATACTCTTGTTTCATGCAGTGGCGCTTGTTACCCTCTTGTTCCATGTAGATACAGGGTAAGTGTGACATTGCGTTTCTAAGGGGTAAATTAAACATTGCGTTTCATTGGCTGTAAATTAAAGTGGTGCTTGTTACCCTCTTGTTCCATGTAGTTACAGGGTAAGTACAATAAAAATGCATACACAATTTTATATCACTGACTCGGAAACCTTTATTTATTATACAAGCACCACTTACCCTGTAACCACATGAAACAAGATATATTTCCCTGTATTTAAAAAACATTGCAATAGTCTTAGCTTTTCTTGCATTGAAACATGTAAGGCCAAACTTAAACATATGCACTTTTGCTATAAAAAAACAACAACTAGAAAATAGATATGTACCCTGTCATTTTAAAAAAGCCTATACAGTATGTATTGGTACACAATTATTACAAAAAGGTACGCAGTGTATGTTCTCGCTAAATTGCTCCCAAATGTAAGATTGCTGTATCATAATAGTAGAATAAGTACCCCTTAGTTCTATAATACTTACAGTATAAAGGCCAATTTATACTTCTGCGTCGAGTGTACGCCGTAGTGTACGGCGTACGCTACGCACGTAGGCGACGCCGTCATGAGCATTTATACTTCTGCGTTTAGGTCTGCGTTGCTCTGCAGTACAGCGCCGAAACGCTAGTTGGCGGCGGAGGGTTTTAATGTTCCACTGTGTTTAGATTCCTCGCGGCAAGAAGAAGAAGATTCCTCGCGGCTGTTTTGAGTTTAGGTTACTACAAGCAATGGCGACTGAAAGAGAGCAGATCATGTTGGAGTTGGAGCTTATCGAGGTGGAAAAGGTAAATTTTTAGTTTTTTAACAGTTTCGCTGTACTTAGAATTTAAAAATGGCGGGCGGTGCAGAAGAACACGCCGGAAATGCATAGGAGGAAACGCGATGCTACCAAGCCGACCAATCACAGATCTTGCGGTCCGCGTCGTCGCGACGTGTAGTTACATTTTTGAGGAGGTGCGCGTCAGGTTACGGCGAAGGGTACGGCGTATGGTACGCGTCTGTGCGTATGCTACGCCGTACCTACTGCGCGCACCCGACGCAGAAGTATAAATTGGCCTTAAATAAGTAGACATTCTATACATACCTGTTGTTTTTCAACGACCAGGTGCAGGTATGCATCAATAACCTAAATTAAGAAAAATAAACATGAATATAAATAAGATTATACAGTGCTTCCCACTTATCTTCCATAGCTGTCAAAAAATGCAAGAAAAAATATCACAAATATAGGGGGGTTAACTAGATTAATAAAAAAAATGATGTGCTTAATTGTAATTACAAACATATATACATTTATTGTATTTTATAATGTAATAATTTCACAGTTGATCTCCAAATTGATGCAAAAACAATATAGAGTATATATTTTAAATATTTGTTTAATCATATGGCGTATTTTTATGAATGAAAACAGCTGTCACTTTAAGACCTGCCGCTGCTGAGAGAGACGCGGATCTCACACGCCTCACACTCTTTACGATCATTTGATACTTTATTTAATTAATTTAAGACTGATCTTATGAGGACACTCGACAAAACGGACATTTTGACATAATTGTGTGTGTTTATATTTTACACCAAACAATCAAATCATATGCCCCGCCCATATCTAGCCTAATGTTTTCATGAAAAATGCTAATATGATCAATGGTGCTAGCTGGCTTTGTATGAATGTGACCGTAAACAGTTCTCTTCTCATTACTGCTATATATCTTTGTATAATAAAAATTAACATAAATAGTGAAAAACTTACCTCAGATGAAGAAGTTCTCACGCAAGTAGTAAAATATTATGGGCGTGTTGTTCAGCGTGACAAAAATGACGCAATATTGATGTGCGCATGCGCAGTAAGCCTTGGTAGGACAATCTGACGGGTAGGATGGAATGTCAGGACACCGGAGCTAACTGTGGAGACGGTAACAAAGAAATGGACTTTGGGGATGTAGTTGACACCTTTGCTTGCGCAAAATCAAGGAAGGAGCAGTTCTGCTAAACTTAATACATGAAAACGTTTTACCAGATTTAGTGCTACACTTATTGTCTCTTATTTGTTCCTCACTAAATAAGGTTTTTTTTTCACTAAATGTTCGATTTTATACAATTATTGTGCACTTGTGATTTTTCTAGACTAAATTTTACTGCTGAGTTACCCACTAATCTAGTTTATATAATAGAATTTTTGTCATAGGTTATGATCATATTTTTTTTTATTTGTTGTTTTTCTTTATAATGAAGTTGTCTGTATTAAGTAGATTATGTTTAACAGAAAATAGTGATTATCAGTTCAACACACAGAGTTATAGAAATTCTACTTGATTTTTTTTTTTTTTAACTGCGCTGGTATCGGATCGGTATAATTCAATACTAAGAATTTTTGGTATCGGATTGGATCGGTTCAGAAGAAATGGTATCGGGACATCCCTAATATTTTCTGGTAGGCTCTAAGTTACCCAGGAGCTCTGTTGACATAGGCTTAGCTAACGTTAGCTACAGCTTGATGAATTGAGTTGAACACAGCAGGAGAGAACGCAACATTAGCCAGCTAGCTAAAGCTCTGGTGGGAAATTATTAGCTAACGCTACGGAGGCCATAATATTTTTGACTCATGGCTGAAGTTAAGTTTCTCCAACTCTCCCCAGGTTGGCAAAAAAAAATGCATCTCAAAATGCATCAGATTGATGCTATAAAATATGGAATATTTAAAAAATTTCTTCCGGGGGGGCATGCCCCCGGACCCCCCTAGAGGGGTAATATCCTTCTCACCTTTTTCACCCCTGACCCCTTTTCATGCCTGTAGAGGTAAGAAACCTGATAGATTTATTATTATTTTTGGGCAAACGTGAATTGACGCTGTCAATTAATTTATGTACATTTTTAATTGACACATTTGAATATAGGGGGCCTTTTGAGGTATAGTGCCCAGGGGCACCACACTGTCTTAATACGGCCCTGCCGCTGCTCCCTATACGCGCGGTCACGAATTTGTAAGTGAAAGTAAAACACAAGCTCCCTGATGTGCATTGCGCACAAATTAGGCTGCATACATAAAATAATCCGTCTCCCAATACCCATCTCTGGACTGTTTATTTGCGGCTCTGGTCTCTGTTGGCACTGCGAATATTGAGAGAGCACTGTAACGTACAAAGGACAACAGACAAGGGAGGCTCCGTTTCTGAACTTATAATCGGAACGCAAGAACAACTGTAGAGACAAACAGCCTCGTTTCTCTCGGCCTTTTCCGAACTCACCGCATTAACCCTATAACTGCCGGTGCAAAATAAAACCGCAATTTCACAACAATTATAAAGAGTCTGTGTGCTAACTTTGATTATGGTTGCACTCGCACTTATTGTTTGCACTTAATAAGACTAAGAGAAAACAGTTATTTATTTTTGTTATTTATACGGTTTTTATTTCTCTGTTAAATGTATGTAAAGGAGTTCAGTTAGGAGGTCACACACAGCCTCAATCAGAAGTTCTGAAAGCTCTTAAATGTACAGTAAGGTCTGAAGAGACTAATGTGAAATTATACAGGAGAAAAGCCAGTCAATAAAAACCTTTTACAGTGCTTGAATATTGTTTTCTTTCAATGCATTTGATAATTCATACTCATAAAGTAGACCTGAAATGACATGCATTAGAAGATTATTAGTTAAAACATTGAAAAATGCACCTGCATACTATTTTTCCAGCCATGAATTTTGTCATTGAGGATTTCTGAAAAATTGTGCAAAAATCTCGTCTCGTCTCGTTCTCGTGAACCCAATCTCGTGTCTAGTCTCGTCTCGTGAGATAAGCGTCTCGTCACACCCCTAGCAAGAAGTTTTCTGGGAAAAATTCCATATTATTCCCTCCAGTCCGCTAATGTGTTATTTCGCCAACACTTCGTGACCTATGCATACTAGCTTGCTTGATTTACGTTAGTTTTGCGCGTTTACGCGTTACGTTAAGTGTTTCCCTCGTGAGGTGCTTTGTGTAGTACGTTGCCATGACGTTCACGAGCGCACAAAACTACTACGATGATACCTCAACGTTTCATGCATAAGTTAATATCAGATCATTTTAGAATACAGTATAGGATGTACCAAATATTCTTCAGTTTTATGCAAAACAGAAATGCGACAATATCAGATCTAGAACAGAGCTCTGTCATATGGCCCCAAAAAAAATGAAAAAAAGAAGCTTTTTTGCATAGTTGTGTTTGACACATGAAAACTGTAACACGATGTAACCTTGCTCTCACTTGAAATGTGTCCCCACATTAAGTCCTTGGTTTTTCAGGGTATTGGACCTGGAAAGTCCTTGGACGGTCTTTGAATTTGAAGTTAAAGGTTCTCTAAGCGATCCTGGGTGACGTCACTTCTTGTTGACGTTCGAACTATTGTCAAACAAAACGGAGGCTAGCTAGACCCTCCCTCCTCCTCATCCGCACACTAACCCCCCAAACCACACCCCCAAACCCTTCTTGTCAGTCATTGGCTGGAACAGTTTGTTATGTTTTGGGGAGCGGGTCGCTGCAGTTTGTTTTTGGTGCTGTTTGTGAAGCATGGGCTGTCTACAGAGATCGCGTTTCTTTACAGTGTGTTCAGGGGACAGGCAGCCAGCGGATAGTGAGGAGATGTTTGCTGTATGTGACAAAAAATGTTTTGGCCTAAAAAACACATGACATCGCTTAGAGCACCTTTAAACAAGGTGTGGGAACCCTGATATGAAATTATACACATACAATTATTCCTCTCTTTCCCCTTTTCTCTCATTTTTTTTTGTCTTAAACATTGAATGTTCATGATGTTTTTAAATGAATTTTATCTCTCCCTTTTCTGTAGAGGATGAGTTATATTCTTTTGGCCGTGGGGAGTTTGGGCAGTTGGGATTGGGGACGATGATGTTTGTAGCAGACGCACCTGTAGCTGTCGGCCACTTCAGGAAAGGCAGGGTCACCCATGTCACATGTGGCGAAAACCACACTGCGCTTATAACAGGTAAGATACACACACTGTTAAATGAGAGCTGTCAGAGGATTAAAATAAATTATTAAATAAATGATTCAAATAAATGATTCCTTTGTCATTCACTAACAAATTTATTGAACAACATGGGTAACATTACTTTTACACATTTGGCAGACATTTATTTTCTAAAGTGACTGGGAGTCGACCCCATAATCGTAGTGTTGCTAGTTCAATTCTTTACCAGACAAGCTCTTATTCTGATCAGTCTTTAACAGAATCAAACAGTTGTGTTGTGTAAATGTGTTGACTGGAATAATTACATATACATTAAACATTTGACTTCACATTTACCAGTTCCAAAAAACATGTATTTGTGGTTTATATAGTTACACATCTCATCTAAATGCACTCATTTCTCAGATAGTGGTCTTCTGTACACATTTGGAGATGGCCGTCATGGGAAGTTAGGCCTTGGAGACGAGAACTTCACCAATCAGTTCAGTCCAACTGTGTGCCAGAGGTTCTTTGATTACTCTGTCATGACTGTAAGTTTTTTTGATAGTTTCTTATCATGTTCTTGTTTTCTTATGTATGTATAACTAAGGAAATATCATTGTATTTGTTCATTGTATTTGTGCTTATGTGCTGTAGGTGGCATGTGGTTCCAGTCACATGCTGGTGTTCGCACGGCCACGGCAACAGGAAAGTGAAGAAGTTTGTTTAGAGGATGAAGATGTTACCTACTCTTACCTGGACAGGTGTTATACCTCAATGTTACAGGGGCAACCATTAGAACATATTCCAGACCCAGCTCTCGTCTCACAACTGACCTTTCTCCCCTCATCTCTTCCAACCTCTCACCGCTGGAGACTATCAACACGGGCCAGACGGAGACAGAGGGTAAGCAACTGATCACTTGGGTTACACCAATTTGATGTTAGACTGTTCTATGAAGGTTCTATGGCGATCTTTACACTGCAAAAAAGAGATGTATGGAGGCGTTTTTTCAGCTAAGCACTTAATGAACCAGGAGTTGATTTTTATTTGAGATAACAAAGTTAACTCTTTTTTATAATATGAAGGTCACATTAAAACGTGTAAACCGGTTTCTGTGCCTTTAATGAATAGATTTTTTTTTACTTGTCCCTGGCCTATATTTTCGAACTTAAAATAAGACAATCGATAATAAAAATATGAATTATATTTACAACTATGAGCATCCAAACAAAGAGTGAATATATATATATATATATATATAATTATAGCTGTCCCATATTTTGACCACACCAAACAATATTTTGAAAGTTTTTTCAAAAGGTTAGTGTACTTACCAAGTGAAATATGAGACATGTAATGTGTTAAGAAAACAAAGAAAAATCAAGGTAAATATTACAGAATTTTTTAACTGTGCGAAAAATGTGTGAAAATATTATTTAATTGTGTGTGACATTCTTAATGGAAAAAATAATGTAGGGAGACTGTGAAAATATTTGTGTTCGTGTTTATATGATTTATGAGGACACAAATTTGTATAACGACATGGGTATTACACTGTAATTACAACATAAACGTGTTTTTTATTAATATAAAAAAATTATATATAAATATTAATTAATATAAAAAACATACTAAACAATGTTTTAATAAAAATGCAGAAGGTTTTCTGTGATGGGTAGGTTTAGGGGTAGGGTTAGGGGATAGAATATACAGTTTGTACAGTATAAAAACCCTTACACCTATGGAATGTCTTCAAAATGATAGATGCACCAACATGGTTGTGTGTTTGTGTGTTTCAGAAGAGCTCATCTGCACAGTTTGGTCCAGAATTTTGCAATCTTCCTCCCCTTACAACTGGCTTTACTGCACTAGCCCTGACAGGCAACATCCTTCAACCCAGATCTCCAACAGACACTCCTAAACGCTTCAGAACTGATGCCCCTGTGGAATCTTCTTCTACCTCAATCACACTGCCTGTCAGGACACTTCCACGTAAATATTTTTCAATTTTTCTATGTTCTCCCAAGACCTCTCTTTCTAGCCATCCATCTACCATCTATCCAACTGTGATGCTAATATCTCTTACCACAATTATATAATCACTAAATATAGTCATTCTAAATTAATAAAAAAACACTAGCAAGAACCAAACACTTGATTATCAGTATTGACCAGCTTTTTTGTGAATACAGTCACACCCATCACTAAGAGCACAGAGGACTGCCATAGTGTTGGAACATCTGAAAACAGCGTGTCAGACAAGGTGAGCAAAAGCTGTGTCACTGTGCTCAAGATGATGAAATTATTTATTAGAAAACTGTTTATTTAACTGAAGAATGTAATGTTTGATTTGACAGACACGTGAACAGCATAAGCACAAGATGGCAAGAGCCTCTTCTATTGGGAAGGAAGAGAATGTTCCTCAGGCTCTGCCCACTGAAGTACAGGCTGGTTCTGTTTCTCATCCATCAATGACAGAATCTCCACCACCAAGCAATCTTAAACAGAAGAAGCCCAGGTCTGGAGATCCAAAGAACGCTGCTACGCAGGAGGAACGTTTTTATGCTACAGCATCACAAAGCAAAATGCAATCCAAAACATACAAAAAACCTATCCAGAGTACAAATAATAAATCTAAAGGTGAAGCAGTAGAGGTCAGATCATCTCCAGAGAGAATGTCAGCTAAAGAAAGGGAGGGATGCAGTGAAACATGCAGTATTAGTATTGATTCAAGGCACAAAGTTTCAAAAGCAGGTCAAGGTCAAGAGGTCACTACTCTTGCTGAGATGGAGCACGAGACCAAGTCGAAAATTCAAAATACAACTTCTCCAGTTCACGAAGTCAAGGAAGTTAGAACAATGCCTACAAAAGTTTTAGAGGTCAAATCACATAAAATTAAAGAGGAGGGTATTCCAGTAAGAGCTACAAAAAGGGCCAAGTCTCCAGTCAAGGATCAAGACGTGCCCTCTGGAAGTATGGAAGTTAGTGTGGTTGAATCAATACTTCAGGCAGGTCCTGCTCAAAAAGACATCAAGCCATCCCTTGGAAAGGCTCAAGAGGTCATATCAACACTGATCGACACACAAGAACAGGGAAACCCATCAGTCAAAATTCCAGCCAAATTGCAAAACACTCCCAAAAAAGGAAATCATGTTGACACAGAAGAAAACCCTGGTGAACTTACACCAAAGAAAGCTAAGAAGAAGAGATCAGATGTGGAAAGAGCCCCAAAGAAAGAAATAGCACCCAAAACACCCAGCTCTCTATCAGTTTCCATACCCACACGAATGTCTAAAGCAAAAAAGGGGAAACCCGTGGAGGCTGAAAACTCAAACGTCCAGCTTAGAACTGAGATGCTAGCACAAGTCAAAAGGGAAAATGATAGTAAAACACCTCAGAACTCCAATATGTCATTCCCCCCTATAGAGAACAGAAAATCAGGAGGAGCTTCTGAAATAAGCCAATCCGCTTCCAACCTGCAGTCTGAGCATACAAATAGCCAGTCGCCCACTGATAAACTGCTTACTGAACAGAAATATGAATTTCCATCAATTAAAAGCTTAACTCCAGAAAGAGGCCACTCATTTTCCAGTTTATGGTCCAATAATGAATCAGCAACTAGTAAATCTTCCACCATAAAAGAAAATGAATCACCATCTGGTAATTTGTTAAGTCTATCACCACAATACAGGCAGTCACCACTAAATGAAATTAAATTAGATGGCAAATCAGTTGAACCTGAAGAGCCAGACAGGAAGCCACAGGCTGAGCAGAGCATTATGGGTAGTGTAGTTTCACCACTAGCAGCCATGGCTATAATTAGTGCTGCACCACTACTTATAACAGCTGCTGAAGTTTTTTCTGAAACTTCACCAGAACAAAGTAATACGATGTCCTTGTGTGCATCAATGTCCCAAGAAGTAGCAGGAAACAATTTCCTGCCAGAACACGAAGTGGACCTGGGCAGCACAGTTCAGGATGTATCAGCACAATACGTACAAAACAAGCTTGTTTCAGATGAAAACAGAAAAATGGAGAAAGAAATAGATGTGAAGGATAGCGAAACAGAGAGAGCGGAAGAAAGAGGTGAAGAAGAGACTCTCGCTGAGGATGAAGAGGAAAGTGAGGGGGTTGGGCAGAAAAAAGAGAACAGTGTTGTTGAAGATGAAGAAGAAAGAGAAATCGATAATGATAAAGACAGTGAGAGTGCTCAAAAAGGAGATGAGGACGGTGAGGGAGAGGAAGATGAAAGTGAGGGGGTTGGGCAGAAAGAAGAGAACGATGTTGTTGAAGATGAAGAAGAAAGAGAGAGCGATAATGATGAAGACAGTGAAAGAGCTCAAAAAGGAGAGGAGGACGGTGTGGAAGAGGAGGGAGAGGAAGATGAAAGTGAGGGGGTTGGGCAGAAAGAAGAGAATGATGTTATTGAAGATGAAGAAGAAGAAAGAAAGAGCGATAATGATGAAGACAGTGAAAGAGCTCAAATAGGAGAGGAGGACGGTGAGGAAGAGGAGGGAGAAGAAGAGGAAAGTGAGGGGGTTGGGCAGAAAGAAGAGAACGATGTTGTTGAAGATGAAGAAGAAAGAGAGAGCGATAATGATGAAGACAGTGAAAGAGCTCAAAAAGGAGAGGAGGATGGTGAGGGAGAGGAAGAGGAGGGAGAGGAAGATGAAAGTGAGGGGGTTGGGCAGAAAGAAGAGAACAGTGTTGTTGAAGATGAAGAAGAAAGAGAGAGCGATAATGATGAAGACAGTGAAAGAGCTCAAAAAGGAGAGGAGGACGGTGAGGAAGAGGAGGGAGAGGAAGATGAAAGTGAGGGGGTTGGGCAGAAAGAAGAGAACAGTGTTGTTGAAGATGAAGAAGAAAGAGAGAGCGATAATGATGAAGACAGTGCAAGTGCTCAAAAGGGAGAGGAGGACTGTGAGGTAGAGGAGGGAGAGGAAGAGGAAAGTGAGGCAGCAGGGGAGGAAGAGGATGACAGCAATAGTGGACAGAGCAGTAAAAGTGAGGGGGAGAAGAGTGAAGAAGGAGGATGTGAAGATGTGACTGAAAGAGAAGAAGAGGAGAATGAGGGTGAGGATGGAGAAATGGAAGAAGAGAATAAAGATGAAGAGAGTGGTGGTGAAGATGAGGAAGAAGAGAGGGAGAGCTGGGATGGAGGGAGTGAGGGAGAGATGAAAACCGATCCAGAGGAGGAGCAGGAAGGAGAGAACAGTAATGATGAGAAAACGGAAGTAGGTGAACAATCTGACAGTGAGGATGAAAATAAAAATGTGAGATCAGATGAAGACGAAGGAGAGAGCGAAGAAAATGATGGGCGTGAAGAAGAAGAGAATGAAATAGAGGAAGGAGAGGGAGAGCAGGAAGAAAAGGGAGACGAAAAGTGTGAGGAAGAAGATGAGGAAGGAAATGAAGATGAGGAGGAAAATCAAGAAGAAGAGACTGATCATGAAGAGGAGGAGGAGGGAAACAGAGACCAGGCAAAAGAGGAGGAAGAAGAAGAGAATGGCGAAGAGGGTGAAGAAGATGAGGAAATGCAAAATAATGAAGAATTGAAAGACAAAAAAGATGGAGTAACAAACAGTGAAGAAGAGGAGGGAGAGGAGAGTGCGAGAGAGAAAGAAGAACGACAGAATGAGGTGGAAGCTAAAGACGAAGAAAAGGTTTCCGAGAAAGATGGAGATGAAGAAAGACAGGAAGGGAGTGAACAGGTGGAGGAAGATGATGGAGACAAAGAAGAGGAAATGGATACAAGTGAAGTGAAATTTAGAGAAGAAGAGAATCTGGATCTCTCAGAGACACCGGACGTGGACAGAGAAGATGAAGATGATGAGGTAGACAAGCTGAATGAAATGATGGAAGAAAATAATGAGGAAGAGAAAGGAAGTGAAGAAGAAACAGAAGAGGAGGAGAAAGAAACAGACAAGAAGGAAGAGAATACAAAAACAGACAGAAGTGGCAGGAAACAGAAAGAATCTACTGAAGAGGAAGAAGAACATGAAGAAGAGAGTGAGGAAGAGGAGGAGGAGGAGGAAGAAGAAGTAGAGCAGAAAGAAATGAAAATAAAAACTGAAAAAAACAGGAGGAAACTGAGAGAAACTAGTGAAGAAGAAGAGAGTGAGGAGGAGGAGGAAGAAGAAAGGGAGAGGAAAAAAATTAATATAAAAACTGAGAGAAAAGGGATGAAACAGAGAGAAATTAGCGAAGAAGAAGAACAGGAAGAAGAGAGTGAGGAAGATGAGGAGGAGGAAGAAGCAGAACGGAAAGAAATGAATATAAAAACTGAGAAAAACAGGAGGAAACAGAGAGAAACCAGTGAAGAGGAAGAATGGGAAGAAGGTGATGAAGAGGAGGAAGAAACAGAGAAGAAAGATAAAAATATGAATAAAGATAAACATGAGAACAAGCAAAGAGGAAATACTGATGAGGAAGAAGAACAGGCGGAAGAGGGCGAGGAAGAGGAGGAAATGGAGGAGGAAGAAACAAAGCAGAAAGAAAAGGATATAAAAACTGAGAAAAACAGGAGGAAACAGAGAGAAACTAGTGAAGAGGAAGAAGAACACGAAGGAGAGAGTGAGGAAGAGGAGGAGGAAATAGCAGAGCAGAAAGAAATGAATATAAAAACTGAGAAAATTGGGAGGATACAGACAGAAACTACTGGAGAAGAAGAGGAGGAAGAAGAAGAAGCTGAAGAGGAGGAAGAAGAAGAAGCTGAAGAGGAAGAAGGTGAGGAAGAGGAGGAAGAAGAAAGTGAGGAAGAGGAAGAAAAGACCAAAAAAGTACCAAAACAGAGAGACAAACCAAATGTGTTACCTGCGCGCAGACAGGCAAGTGCACAGAGAGACAGACAGAAGACTAGACAAAGAGATCACCAGAATATTAAAGGGAAGAAGCAAACAGGTGGTGCTCAGGACCCTCAGTTCTGGAACAGTGTCCTACCACAGTATCTGAACCTTAAATGACCCCAAATCTGCACACTACAAGCACAGACACCCTGAACATCTGCAATTACAGTTCACAGGACATTTCAAAAGGGCTGTGAATCACAGTTCTTTAAACGGCGAAACTTAAAATGGTGAATGGGTGTTGGCGATGGAGCTAAACATGATACATAAACATAAAATATGGTTTGTGTTATGGTTTGTATTCTGCTTTAGTATGACGTATGGCTCTAAAAGAGCTGATTGTTTCTCACTTCTATACAAGGATTCTTGATTATCAAGTGCCTTGACTAAATTATTCCATACATATTCTGTTACAGTATACTATATTGTTATAGTGAATGTTATTTTTTAAGCACAGATGTGTAAAGTATTTATTTCTGTACAGTGAATATTTTCGTGTTCTGTTCTATTGACATTCCTTTTCCGAGACCTGGTCTGTTATTAGCAGCATACCAGACTACTGTAAATGATAACTGCAATTTAAAAGTGCTAGAGAACAGACATCACGCACCTACATATGATTTGACTGTAAAGTTGATAAGATTTTGCTGTGAGTGTGTGTGAAATGTGTTTTTCTGTTTGTTAAGAAACTATGAAATACAATGTTCTATCTTTGAGATGTTTATCTGTTCACTATAAAAAAAAAAAATCAATAAGTCATGACAACATATGTTTTTGCTTTAACTCATCAAAATAAGTTAAGCAATTTTCAACTTGTTTTTACAAATTATACAAGATTTAACTCATTTTTTAAGTCAGTTTAGTGTAATTTAAGTTAAAATGACTTAAACAACCAAGGGGATTGTACTTAAATATAAGGCAGCAACTAATTTATTATTTTTTTAATGTTTTTTTTAGTTATTTTTTACAGTGTATATCTACAAGGAGTCTGGCAACTGAATTTCCGTTTTAAGATGGTTTAGAGTCAGACTAACACAAACTCCACTTTTACTTTTGAGGACATTCCCTGTATTTCAGTATTCTGTCGTCTGAAATCCTACAATGCTAATGGTGATGGGTGAAATGTCTATGTAGACCAAAAATTATTTGAACTAAATCATTTCCCCCTCATAAGGCTACAATACAATAAGTGTTCTAAAAAAAGTTAAATAGGACTCCAATAATAAATGTTACAAATAATAATAATTTAACGATTACTTAAGTGTCCCAATGGCCTACTTTTTAGGGTCACTGTAAGCATCACTAATAACAATACACATTTTATACATGTATACCAAAAGTCCTCGCGCCGCTCTGTGCGCGCGCTCGCGCTGGATGAAGAGCTCTCGTATTTCTATTGAGGAGGCGGGCTCGGGCTTGTGCTCTGGTTCTATCGTAGGAATGTACCCGAGGTCTCCCAGCAGCTCCTGGACTTCCTAAAGATGGACACCTGGATGTGTGTGTATGTGATAGTGGGACTGCAGCTGTCCGGAAGCTTTGCGTATGACGGTAAGAGACCCATACAAACGGATCCTGTTGAGTCTCGCGCTCTGACCTTTAATCAATCAAAATGTGTTGAGCAGTACTTATCAAACTAATGCAAAGTTGTGCAAAAATCAGTGGAAATAGAGTATTTGTGCATCTGAGAGTTTGCCCGTGCTGTTTCTTCTTGCTTTTCTGTATTAGGTACAGTATATTTCAAAAGAGCTCAGAGTGTTTACGTGGACGCTTTTGGGGCTGTTTGGGGGGAAAGAAGGGGGCAAGTTTCTTAAATCCAGGGAAAAGACACTGAACTCTTTCATATGAAAATGCACTGATGACTTGTCACCAGTAGGACACTGCGCGCCCGGTCGAACTGCTCAATACTGATGGGACATATCTTTTGAATGCATCGTCTTTAAAATATCTGTGATTAGTGACACACAGTAATGTAATAATGTCTTCTGGACAGTAGGTCAGCAGTGTGCCCGAGGAGTCAGCAAATGTTTAATGGGATCATTTACAAAATTTCCAAGCATATAGAGCAGACATGTTCAACAGTCTTTTGTCTCAAGTCCTATAGTCTCAAAATCCCTTTTGGACTTCTAGCAGGACAATTAATATTAATTCCATGCACTTTTAATATTAAGTTTGTTCATTATCCTTCATTATCTATTTACTGCTATTTTTAGGCAGATTTTCAAGTGCCTACCCAATAGGGTCTTGCAGATCTAAAGATTGTGTTATTCATCATGAGTCATTTCCTTGGTTAAGTCTCAAGTCAATAGAATAAAATAGTAATCATATGATACAATGACATTGAATTTAGATAAGAAGTTATACATGCAAAATATGGAACAAGTAATAAAGCATCACTGAAGGTGTGTATTAATATGCTGGCGGTGTTATGCTACTCACTGTCCCTCAGGCTATGCTAAGGGGGCTATGGAGTCTGGGACTGTTATTTGGAAATGTGTCTGATGTTTTGATATGTTATTCACATTTCAGGAAAAAAATCTAGGATTTTTGTGTATCCAGAGCTAGAGACTGTCTACTTTTCCATGACTAGATTATGGTTGCTAAGCCTGTACCTGATGTCACTAATATATTCAACCAATTTGTATGATAATTTTAGGAATCTGTATAACATTTTAATCTACTTTGTGCTTTGGTTTATGTTTGATTCATCAGTATTGTTGTTTGTATCAGGCTGGTTGACTAAGGAGACTCTTTTGAAGTATTTGCTGTATATTAGTGAGAGCAAAAATGCATTTTACTTCCAGAAAACATTGTGATGAAGTAATGCGTTTATATTCCAGCAGAAGCAGTTCACACTTGCTTACATTCACCGTGTGCACCTTGGTCCCTTCAAACCTTGATGGTTTCTCACTCCAAGATTTTATTTGTTTAGAGAATTAATGAAAACAGAGTCTTGCCTGGACTCGCTTAGACATGCAATGTCTTGTTCTGCTGGAAACACAATTGAAAAAGCTGAAGAGATGCATGTGTTGTGGTGGTAGAACTAATTGCTCTAAATTACCAATCTCCATTTCGAGCACTGTTAGAGTGAGACCACGGCTGGGAATGTAATTCAATGCGGAATGACTGTGTGAGGTTGTCGTCCTGTCTTCGGGTTTTAGGTTGTGGTTGTGGTCCAGGCTACAGTTTGTAAATGCATGAGAGGTCCAATTTTCAAATACAACAGACCATCAGACTCACATACTGGCTTTATTTGCATGTGCAAAGTAAACGCCAGTAAAATAAATTATGCATTTTGGTAAATGACTTCAAACGATGTACATTGTTTATTCACAAAGACTGGGTGGCTATTTGTGTTTGTGTATTTTATGGCCTTGTGAACACAAACACAGACTCATGCTGGCTAAAACTTGAAGACATGTTACAAGATTAAGATTGAACAGACACAGACTGTCCACATAACACTGTCCTGACTCGAACTAGTATGAGTGAATGCATGTAGTTGTAAAACAGCCACATGTCCAAACTCGAATGAATTGAACATTCTGAGCTAGTATTTTTTGTCTAATGTGAATCAGTAGCTTTCAGAGATGAACTCTTTTGGATGTTGCATATGAGAGAGAGAAAAAATCATTAGTTGAGAATTTTTGACACTGTTGATGTTGCTTTATACACACATTGATGTGAGGGGACAATAGTTTCAAACTAAAATGTAAAAAAAAAAAAAATAGAATGAAGACAAAACTTGACAATAAAAGATTTTAAAAAGTCTAAAGGCTGTTTAGAGAGTGTAGTTTGAATATGTGGGCAGTTTTTGAAATATATTTAAGTATAAGCGTTTTAATACAGTTTATAGAGAGATTTGAAGGTTAAAGTGTGTGCTGAGTGGTTGTTAGCCAGTTGTTAAGTTGCTCTGGGTGGCTGCTAGGGTGTTGCTAAGGTTTTCTTTTTTTGTGGCTACAAGCATTTTTTCAGTGGTTGCTAAGGTGTTTTGGATGGTGGCTACTAGGTCAATGTGTGGTGGCAGATGGATTGATATAAACATAATTAGTCTGTAATTCCCCGTCAGTCTGTAGAATAAGGTTAACTAAACTCCACACACATAAGAGCTGTGAATCTGTGAGGCTGGAACTGTTGCAGACACTGAACATGGGGAGCCTGAGGGATCTTGCTTTCTTATGACTAATGTCTGCAAAACGTTCATCCAAATCCAGTTTTAAGCTAAACATTGTATAAATTGTGAAATCTTTTCAACAGAAGCTATATGTTTTAGTTGACAAAGTTTTCTGTAAGTGGAAACTCCCTTTGTTTGAAGTATATATAAAGCCTACATGTGTGTGTGTGTGTGTGTGTGTGAGAGAGAGAGAGAGAGAGAGAGAGAGAGAGAGAGAGAGAGAGAGAGAGAGAGAGAGAGAGAGAGAGAGAGAGAGAGAGAGAGAGAGAGAGAGAGAGAGAGAGAGAGAGAGAGAGAGAGAGAGAGAGAGAAAGAGAGCAATTCTAAGCCAAGTCAGTGAGTATTCTGGGTTACACAACGTTCTGCTGAGCTTAACAGAATGGAACAGGAAAACTCATCTGCCAAATGGAGCACACACACACCTACACACATGATCCCTGTGGAGTGTTTTCCATGATAGAAGTTGGAAAACTGTGGTCCTGTCTTGATTCACCTCTAGCTCTGCATTAACATTGTCTGTGTATGTAGGCTATGTGTTTGCTGCTCTGTCTCTCTCCCAAGTTCTTGTTACTGCATCAGAGGGAGCTTTGATCTAATTTGCTGTGTGATCAGCCATCCACTCACTTACACACACACACACACACACACACACACACACACACATGAGCCAAGAGAACAGAACTAGAGGGAATAAAAATGCGAATCAGCGTGAATGCAGCCTCTAGTTTTTTTTGTGTTTGATTCCAATCTAAGAGGGCAAAATGTGGGTAATGGAGTTTTCCATGATTTCTTGAAGCAGGTCTTGTTTTAAGTTTCATTGGAGTATGGATCACTTACTTTCATAATACAGTAAGTACAAGTCACCGAATTAGATGGAATAGAACACTGAAACCTGTTTCTGTTGGAGAACATTACTGTTTTTCCTGCAGCATGGTGGAGGATGAAATTACACATTGACTGTTGTGAAGGAGCTTCTGTTATGACACTGAATGTAAATAAGCAAGAAAAATTGGCAGCTACTAGTCTGACCTCTGAATAAAGCCATGCCAGCATCTATTCCATCTTGTCATGTTCCCCGTAGAGCATGTTATCCTAATATAGTGTCGTATGTTATTTTGTGTGGCTGCCATTTTCACTGCATCGCAACATGACACACTGTAATTCACTTCATTACCCGCAGGGGTCATTGTTGCATTTCATGCCATGTCAATAAATACAACAAACCCATTTCAGTGACAGCCTAGCTATGAAAGCCTGTTTAAAAATATAAATGTAAGAATAAAAAAAAGAAAAAAAAACAGTCACATGATAAAGATAAAGTAAAAAAAGTAGTGCAGTAGGCTACCATTGATCAAACGTTTGGGGTCAAGATAGATACGATTTTTTTTAGTGTTTTTGTCTTTTAACATACTGTTTTTGTCTCATATGCTCACCAAGACTGCAATTATTCGATACAGTAAAAAATAAATAAAAATAAATATAACTTCTATTTTAAAATGTAATGTATTCCTGTGATGGCAAAGCTGAATTTTCAGCATCATTACTCCAGTCTTCAGTGTCACGTGGTCCTTCAGAAATCATTCTAAAATGCTGATTTGGTGCTCAAAAATATTACTTATTATCAATGTTGAAAACAGTTGTGCTGCTTAATAATTTTCTGGAAACCGTGATACTATTTTTCCAGGATTTTTTGATTAATAGAAAGTTCATAAAGACAGTACTTTTTTTCATTATAAATGTTGTTACTGTCAATTTTTTAATCAATTTAATGAGTCCATGCTGAATAAAAATATGAATCCCTTAAAAGAATCGTACATTTTTGAACATTAGTGTACACAAATACCTTTTTTATTCTGAGGCTTCCATAGTTAGCAGACTGAACATAAAAATATTACAACAAGATATTACAACAAAAACCAAACTGTGGTTTGTTTTGTTCTAATATAGTCACACAGAATACAAATGATTCTAGTTGAACTGAATCTGAAATTCTGCGGTCATGCCAACTCTTCTTGCTTGTGCTGTCCTAAACTGTTTTGCAGGCTCTGGATACTGGCCATACACTGATGATGAAGATGTGCGACACACAGGTGAAAACATGCAAGGACATACTACATTAAATGCACATGTTGATCCCAAAAACCCATTACACAGAACTTAAACCTATCTTCTCTCAGTGAAACACTCTTACCACATCTTAACACACGAGCGCTGCTGTCAGAACACATACACTCACAACACAGAAGACACTACATCTCTGACTGCCTGCTTAGGCTTCAGGCCTCTGATTGCTTCCTCTTCTTCTGTGGCTGTGCTACTTTATCTTTGTTCACGTTTTCTCCATTCATGTCTGGATTATGCCAGTTGTCAAGGTAAGCTTTGAAGGCCGTGTTTTGTTATGACTCAGCGTCTTTCTTCAGTGCATTTGCGTACATGTGTGATAACGTATGTCTCATTCTAGGCGTGCCGTGGTGCGCCCCAGTGAAAGTCAAACATGGTCAAGTCAGCTGCCAGACACCACGCGGAGAGCGTTATAAGAACGTTCTGGGAACTCGCTGCAAGATCCGCTGTAAGACGGGCTATGAGATGCACGGCAGCAGCGAGATTCTCTGTATGGCCAGCAAACAGTGGTCAGGAAACTACGCCTGCAGAGGTCAACATTTACTGAACTCAATTATAAGATCATATTGCCTATAAATGCTGACGTGTTAACTCACTTGAATGATTCTATATTCTTGAATGGTTCTATATTTTAACACAACAATTTTACATCATGCATTCATCAATCAACTCATAATCACTAATTATTTGTTTACTTTTTTTTGTTTATTTACACTACCGTTCAAAAAGTTTGGAGTCAGTAAGATTAGGAAGTCTCCTATGCTCTCCAAGGCTGCATTTATATGATCAAAACTACAGTAAAAAAAAACCCAGTAAAACAGCAACCATGCATTGAGGCAATATTGTGAAATATTATTACAATTTAAAATAACTTGAATATATTTTAAAATGCAATTTATTCCAGTGATGGCAAAGCTGAATTTTCAGCAAAAATTCAGCAATAATAAAGCACTGTGAAATATTAGTTAAATGTTTTCTATTAATATATTTAAAAATGTAATTATTCTTATAGCATAATTACTCCTCTCTTTAGTGTCACATGATCCTTCAGAAATCATTCTAATATGCTGATTTGCTGCTCAAGAAACATTTCTTATTATTATCAATGTTGAAAACGGTTGTGCTGATTAATATATTTTTTTAGGATTTGTTTGATGAATAGAAAGTGCAAAAGAACAGCATTTATTTGAAATATCAATATTTTGTAAATGTCTTTACTTTCACTGTTGATCAATTTAATGCATCCTTGCTGAATAAAGGTATTAACTTCTTTTAAAAAATCTTACTGACCCCAAACTTGACTTTGAATGGTAGTGTCTTTTTTATGTTTTTATTAATTGATTATTTTTGATGACCAAACTTTAAATTCATTCATCTTTTTTGCCACATGCTGAAAGTTTGATTGTTGATTGTATCTATTTTAATTCATTTATTGATTTCCCAGTTGTTGCTTTTTATAATTCAATTGATCAGTTTCTCAAATGACTGATTCCTGAAGAAATCTCTAGTACTAGCCACAACCAGCCACATGTCAGTCAGCAGCTGAATGCCACATGGATTTATTTGGATTGACAGCAGTGATTGTCCATTGAAAATCCATTTTCACCAGGGTATGAATTATGTTTACAGAAGTCCGCTGTCCTAAACTGACCATGCCATCAAACGGAGGTTTTAAGTGTTCAGACGGGTCTTACTTCAACTCCCGCTGCCAGTTTTTCTGCTCACCAGGATACACACTCCGTGGAGTCCACAGCGCCACCTGCCAAAGCAGCAGAACGTGGAGCGGGGGCAACAGTGTGTGCCTGGGTGAGTGAAACAGTCATTGAGCACTCACTAATATTCATTTACAGATTTGGATTGATGACATAGGCCTAGTATTTAGGTGGTGAGGCATGTAAAGGTGCTTTCTGTCTCAGATGTGGATCCCCCAGTTATTAAGTGTCCTAATATAAAGGAGAAGACAGCTGAACCAGGAAAACTCACTGCCAAAGTGACGTGGGACACGCCAGAGGGCAAAGACACAGCGGACGGCATCCTAACAGAGTCAGTGAATCAGTTTTATGCTCACTCAGTTCAGTGGTCTTTATTCAAAAATATTTGACCCCTCAATGCCAAGATTGACCAAAGAGAATCAATGAATTCACATTTAATTCACATCTAATCACTGTCTAGATTCTTGTTGTGAGAAACCATTGTTGTTGTTGTAGTGTTATACTGAAAGGAAAGCCACCAGGCTCGCACTTCCCAGAAGGGAATCATAAATTATCATACACTGTGTTTGACCGTGCTGAGAACAAGGCGACCTGCAGGTTCAATGTTCGAGTGAGAGGTAAGTTCTTTAGTGAAATATTTAATGTTTGAAATCTTGAACCATTTACTCATGATTTAAGTCAAGTTATTATTTGAAATTGCTTAGCTAAACTAAGAGCAACTAAAAATGTTAGCTACAAAATATACATTTAAGCTCTTTAAGAAGGCAACATATATTTAAATATGTACAGCTGTGGTCAGAATTATTGGCACCCCTGGTAAATATGATCAAAGATGGCTGTAAAAATAAATCTGCATTGTTTATCCTTTTGATCTTTCATTCAAAAAATGAGCAAAGCTCCAACCTTTTATTGAAGTAAATGAATTGAAAGTGGGGGGGAAAATCACATTATGAAATAAATGTTTTTCTCCAAAACACGTTGGTCATAATTATTGGCACCCTTTTAATAATTACTGCCTTTTTTAACCTCTTTTTGCCAAGATAACAGCTCTGAGTTTTCTCCTATGCCTGATAAGTTTGGAGAACACCTGACAAGAGATCAGAGACCATTCCTCCATACAGAATCTCTCCAGATCCTTCAGATTCCCAGATCCATGTTGGCGCTTCTTCTCTTCAGTTCAGCCCACTCATCTTCTACAGGGTTCAGGTCAGGGACTGGGATGGTCACTCAGTGACACATTTTTGTGTTGATTTTGATGTTTGTTTTGGATTTTTGTCCTGATGGAAGATCCACGGCCCATTATCAGATTTCTAGCAGAGGCCATCAGGTTTTGATTTTTTATCTGTTGGTATTTGCTAGAATCCATGATACTATGTATCTGAACAAGATGTCCAGGACCTCAAGCTAAAAAAAAGGCCCACAACATTAAAGATCGAGCAGTATATTTAACCGTGGGCATGGGGTACTTTTTTATCCCTGTGTGCACCAAACCCATCTGGTGGGTTTGCTGCCAAAAAGCTCTTTTTTTAGTTTCATCTGACCATAGAACCTCATCCCATTTGAAATTCCAGTCGTGTCTGACAACTGAATATGCTGGAGTTTGTTTTTGGATGAGCAAGGAGGATTTTTCTTGAAACCCTCCCAAACAACATGTGGTGATGTAGGGGTTGTTTGATTTTTTTTAAGGCTTTTTGACCCCAAGGCTCAACTAATCTCTGCAATTCTCCATCTGTGATCCTTGGAGAGTCTTTGGCCACTCAAGCTCCCCCCCTCACCATGCATTAAAGGGATACTCCACTTTTTTTGGAAATAGGCTCATTTTACAACTCCCCCAGAGTTAAACTGTTCAGTTTTACCGTTTTTGAATCCATTCAGCCAAACTCCGGTTCTGGCGGTACCACTTTTAGCATAGCTTAGGATACATCATTGGAGTGGACAAGACCATTAGCATTTCTAAAAAAAAAATGACCAAAGAGTTTCGATATTTTTCCTATTTAAAACTTGACTCTTCTGTAGTTACATCGTGAACTAAGACCGACGGAAAATGTAAAGTTGCGATTTTCTAGGCTGATATGGCTAGGAACTATACTCTCATTCCTGCGTAATAATCAAGAAACTTCACTGCCGTACCATGAGTGCAGCAGGCGTAATGATATGACGCAGCGCCTGAAAATAGGCCACCTTCCGTCAATACAACGGAACTATTTTCAGGCGCTGCGTCATATCACTACGCCTGCTGCTCTCATGGTACGGCAGTGAAGTTTCTTGATTACTACGCAGGAATGAGAGTATAGTTCCTAGCCATATCAGCCTAGAAAATCGCAACTTTACATTTTCCGTCGGTCTTAGTGCACGATGTAACTACAGAAGAGTCAAGTTTTAAATAGGAAAAATATCGAAACTCTTTGGTCATTTTTTTTTTAGAAATGCTAATGGTCTTGTCCACTTCAATGATGTATGCTAAGCTATGCTAAAAGTGGTACCGCCAGAACCGGAGATCGGCTGAATGGATTAAAAAACGGTAAAACTCAACAGTTTAACTCTGGGGGAGTTGTAAAATGAGCCTATTTCCAAAAAAAGTGGAGTATCCCTTCAAGACAATATAGACACACGTCCTCTTCCTGGCAGATTCATAACATCTTTAGTTGATTGGAACCTCTTAATTTTTGCCCTGATGGTGGAAATGGGGATTTTCAACGCTTTAGCTATTTTCTTACAGCCACTTTCTATTTTGTGGAGCTCAACAATCTTTTGCTGCACATCAGAACTATATTCTTTGGTTTTACTCATTGTGATGGATGATTAAGGGAATTTAGCCTTTGTGTTTCCTCATATTTAAACTCCTGTGATACAAACAAGTCATAGCTAGACAATTTCATGTTTAGTCACCCTGTTGTGATAAAAAATGTAAATATTCTTGAAAATATACTTCAGAGATATTTTACTCATAAAAAATTCTAGGGGTGCCAATAATTGTGGCCAACGTGTTTTGGAGAAAAACATTTATTTAATTATGTGATTTCCCCCCCACTTTCAATTATTTTACTTCAATGAAAGTTTTGTGAATTTTTTGAAAGAAAGATCAAAAGGATAAATAATGTAGATTTATTTTTACAGCCATATATGAATGCGTGTAAGGTAATAAGTGTGTGTTATGTACACATTGTAGTGCGTCGCTGTACTCCTCTCTCTGTCCCTGACAATGGCTGGATGAAATGTGACAGTGCGGGTGATAATTACGGGGCCACTTGTGAATTCCGCTGTCTGGGTGGCTACGAGCTGAAGGGCAGCGCCGCCAGAGTCTGCCAGTTTAACATGGAATGGTCTGGCCTGGAGACTTCCTGTGCCCGTACGTAACACACATTAACATCTCACAAACAGTTTAGCCAGAGATATTCCTTGCATTAAACATTATACGCCCTTAAATGCAAGATTGCATAGCATTCCTAAATAAGAATGATGCTGCTTATTCTGGCAGAATATTTATATTTAATATTGTGAGGCAAAATGCTAGAGTAAACGATGACAATTTTCATGACAGAATTATTCACGTTATTCTTATGCGATTAAACCTCACAGTTTATGTAAAATTCATGATCTTACTCCTACTTTCCTGCCCTCTGGTGAATAACATCCAAATGATTTGTTTTATTAAAAGCCATGAATATTAATGTCGGTGTGCGGTCCGCTGCTGCGTTGTTGGACCAGTTCTATGAGAAACGGCGCATTTTGATCATCTCAGCCCCCTCGGCTGCCAATCACTACTACAGATTCCAGATGACTAATTTACAGGTACAAGATTAATATCTGCCTCTTTATTCTATTTGTTCTACAAAATAAAGCATATAAAGCTTAGTCGGAATGTTTTAAAGGAGTCATAATGTAGTATTAACTTTGATACCCACGCTCTATTACAGTCATTTCATGCCCTTCTAAAAAATAAAAATTGGAAAAAAATAAACACAGAGCTCGTTTGACCCTTATTTCTGAATGAATTATTGTCTCGCGAGATCTGATGCGAGGTTTTGGCTGTCGTGGACGGTCATTTTAATAATGCAAATGAGGGGCGCGTTGATTGGTGGCAGGAAGGAGGGGGCTTGACACCGCAGGTAACTTCAGCATATCATTCCAAAAAGAGATCATGGCGCAAGTTGTTAATGAACCCGACCTGGTCGCGACCTACGGGATTCAACCGTATATGTTTGAGCCAGACTCTGAACCAGAGCTGGAAACGGAAGAGGAACAACAGTCAATTGAAGGACGTCTACATCAACATGTCTCTGAATGGTAAAGACAATTTTTTTGACTGAGACATACATTAACATCAGTAACGAGCTAAAACGTTTTTTTTTTTGCTATTTTCTCCCACATAATTTTAGCTTTAATTTAATGTAGATTACATTAACGGAGATGTAGTCTACAGTGGTTATAGATTAACGTTTGCTATGTGTTGTTTTTGCCTTTTTTGACGTTGTGGTTTTTTAGATATTTAATAATTTTCATCTGCAGACATGTAACGTTATGCTTTTCTTTTATGTTTATTAATTCTTGACTGTTAAATTTATCTATCCTTATCACATACATTAACCGCATTAGTAGTTAGCTGCTGTTTGTTACACAAAATATAGTAATAAAAACACAGTCTTACCGTTTCAAATTCAGGCAAGTCCCTGATTGTTGGAATGACACCTTTTCCCAAACGTAGCTTCGATACCAACTTCGCCTGATATTGCCCCAAATTTGTAAAAGATTATTTTGTGAAATGTTTAGCGCAGACACCTAACGTTGAGCAAGTTGAGATGGTTGTTGGAACAGCGTAATTAAAAATAAATTTCATCCACTTGTCCCTTGTAGTTTGGTCAGTTTTGGGTAAAGAAAAAAGATTAGAATGTGGATTATGACAGTCAACCACAGAGCAACTCACGTGTGCACTACGTTTCTGCATCTTTCTTGACTGAATATGATGGGGAGAGGGGCAGGGCGGGCCTCCTCTGCGGTGTCCATATATGGTATATCCGGCCCCGTCTTGACGTCAAGTCGGGGGAGAAATTGAAATCTCGTATTTGAGTGCGCGTCCACGTTGGCTAGTTTAAGAACCCTGGGGTAAACAAACGCTTCACTTTTGAATATCGGCATCCCGGCCAATGTATAATCGTTAGTCAATCATAACATACATTGATTCTCATGGAAAAGTGAAAATTGCACATTATGACTCCTTTAAGGAGTTTTAAAAGCTTGACGTTTTAAATAGTTTTAAATTTGGAGAAGTTTTAAAAGCTTGAAGTTTTAAGTTTAAAGCAGAGCTGTAAAGTATTTTGTTCCAATCACCTGGATTTGCTAATTAGCACAGTTTTTCAGCCAGGAGATTAGTAAATTAGTGAAATCTGCTGGCTGAGTTCATGGGTGGAATAAACATATGGCAGGACCTTTACTTCTGACCCCTGGACTTTACACCTCTGGTTTAAAGTAGTTAGCTCAAAGTGTGTGTGAGTGTTTGTGTGTGTACTTGTACAACTATCTTTGTGATGAAGTTTGAGTTTTAAGGCTGGGACACACCAAGCCGACTGTCGGCTTTCGGGCAATGTTGGGCCGTTTTTGAGTGTCTGTCGGGATAGTTTTTTCGCTGTGTTCCGCTCCGTTGGCTGGCTCTATAGTCGGACGCCATCAGGATTTTTTGGGCTGATTCAGCATGTGGAATTGGCGTTGGGCCGCCGGTGAGAGAGAGAACTCTGATTGGCTGTTCAGCTTAGTGAACAGAATAAAAGCGAAAGTGATGAAAGCGAGCAAAAAAGTCAAGACAGTACAGACAGAAGGCTGTTATAATTTTAAGTCATCTTACCCGAGCATTCGAATGCACTAATATTTTCATAATAACATGAGGCGACTGGAATGAAAAACTGATTAGCTTGATTGATATTCAAAATAGTAAGCAAGCGCTGCTTTATTTACGGTTTGTATATCTGCAGTCCTAGTTTCGGTTTTCCTTTTTGAATGATGAGAATATACTATTGATACCTGCTGATATAGACAGTTATTTACTTATACGCAGGCACAGAACACACATGCTAGTTGACAGCCGCCTTTAAGTCCTTTTGGTGTGTTCAAGCGCAACTTTTTGGCCGAGACGCAGCCGACGAGAGGCGGCAACACAGTCAGCTTTCGTCGCCACTAGTTCTTTGACTTCGGCTTGGTGTGTCCCGGCCTTTAGACCATCGGAGGGGGGACAAAGAGAGTAAAGTGAGAACATTTTGACTGGTCTATACTTTCTGAGACCCCTTTAAAGGCCTGTTTGGGGGTCAAGACTTGGTTTTACAGTTAGGCACTTAGTTGTGATGTGTAGTGTTAGGGTAAGGAGCTAGAGATTGCATTGTGTCAATGAATGTCCTCACAAAGATAGATGTACAACAATGTAAATGTAAAAATGATGGTATAATAAATACATACACACATATTGCAAGTAAACTGGATGATCTGTATTGTGCAGCATGCTCAGTGTGGTCTGGACTTAAGGCATGTGACGGTGATTGAGCTGGTGGGGGTGTATCCAGTTCAGATCGGCCGCATCAGACACAGACTCATCCCTCCAGGGCTGGCTCTACAACTCAGGTACTTAATTACTCTATTTCAGTTACTTGATTACAGTGCTTGAAAGAAAGCTCTTAATGAATATTCTTTAAACAATGTTTTGTAGATAAGAACTTGTGAATTGCTCCCACTGGAAAGTACATCCTGATTCGCATCATTCTACTGAATGTGCAGTAAATGTGTGTGTGTGTGTGTGTTTTGTTTGTGTGGGGCAGGTTGCTGCTGCAGCTGTCTCAGAATTCCTTTAGCATGGTGCTGCTGGACAAACAGGGTGTAGATAAGCAACGCTACACGTTCCCCATCACAGCAGCAGAGATCTTTACCACCATTGACACGTTTCCCCTCCGCACTGAGGAGGCCATACTACAGAAAGAGGCTGGACAGAGCTGCTAGATGTATATATACAGTGCACATCATTTTCTACTGGGTATAAAGCAAACCACACTACAAGAGAGAGTCTGGATAGAGCTGCTACATCTTATATTGTAACATATATTGTAAACATACACACACGCACACACATCTCTCAATATGAATGCATGAGTGAGTCTTTGTTGTTTGTCTTTTTATGAGGTTCTGCTCTATTTGATTTGTCTGTTGTCTCTATTTATGTCAGAGTGGACGGTCTACTTTTCTTAAGAAATACTACCAAAGCAATATTAATGTAATAAAAGCCTGTTTGATGATTGAAATTTGAGAGCATTGAGACTGCTTTTTTAAAAGGCCAGTTGGGTTTGTCTGGGTTCTTTGGTTTGGTAAATAAATAAGGTCAAATTGAACTGAGTACATTAGAGTTATGATTAATATGTTTTCAATTTCTGAATTAAAATTAAGTGAAGTTCACAATGTAATTTCGGGAGGAGTGAACCCATCTAATCTTTCAATTAACTGCCGGAGCATATAAGCAGCCGCTCACCTTGCTCTGGCATCAGCGGTTTTGCCATCCCTCCACCTCCGCAACTACACAAATATAATTTAGGCATCCTGCTACCATACTCATCATCCAAGCATTAGTAGTCCCACTGGGGGGTATATCTAAGCTCAAGTTGAAGCTGCTTCCTCGAGCCACTCCACTGCGGATAGCAAGCCCAATACGCTTAACCTTATTAGCTTAAAGATTATATGGGCAAAGGAACTCGTGAATTTATTTTGTAGGGAGTAATGTTTTCAATGTCACAGTGAGGAGAAAGAAAGTCTCAGTATAAGGCTAAAATTATTGAAAGTATTTTGGCGTAGTGTTATATTATGATTTCTTACAAGTAGTGAATCAGCTTTGCTTTAAAATATATCTAAAGTATATTTGTAATGTTTGAAAAGCTATTGTAAAAGTCAGTGGAAGCCATTTTGTTGCCATGTAAAAAATAAATAAAATAAAAATTGATCACAAAGAAATTATTAGACTCGTGACCAGTCAAGAGAGCAATAATGTGATCTTTTTAACCAGCTAGTTTAGCCACTTTATCAAAAAATTATTTAAAAAAACAAATGTGAGAGTAAAGAGAAAGACACTGTTACAAAAGATTTCTATTTAAAATAAATGCTGTTCTTTTGAACTTTCTTTTCATCAGAGAATCCTGAAAAAATGTATAACATTTTTCCACAAATATTTAAGTAGCACAACTGTTTTCAACATTGATAACAAGAAGAAATATTTGACTGCAAATCAGAATATTAGAATGATTTCTGAAGGATCATGTGACACTGAAGACTGGAGTAATGGCAGCTTTGCCATCACAGGAATAAATTACATTTTAAAATATATTATATTGCAATAGCTCACAATGTTACTGTTTTTACTGAATGTTTGATCAAATAAATACAGCCTTGGTGAGCAGAAAACTTCTTTCAGATAATATATCAATACAGCTAAGTATGTATTTAGAGAGAAAGAGAGAATGGTTGAGAATAATAATTAAGATGTGGAAAAAGGAGAAATGAAGCAGCAGGAGTGGTTAAATAATAGTTTATTCTTTTTCTGAAGATGATAAAGTACAGTACAGAACAGTCCTAAACACTGTCTTCCTGATGAGAGAGTGGAAACAGCACACATACACTGAACATGCTGTGAATCAAACAGCTTTAGACAATATCAGACATGGGAACACTTGGATGTCAAACATCGACATTGATAAAGCCTTACATATGCCACAAAATCTCTCAATTTATTATACAGTGTGATATAAGGTCTATTCACTTGACTGATTCTAACAAGAGTATTAGGTGTAAAAGGGGGTGCACACATTATTCATGGAGACCTCACAGTGACATGACGGCTCAAATGAATCAACTGGGGAATTAACTATTAAACTAACCTCAAAAATCAATATAGGGGCTGTAGGCATTGTGCTTATACAATATGTGTGCCTATGTATGTTTTTTGTGACAATTTGTGTATTTCAAATCGGTCTTTTTTCTTTTTATATCCAAATAGAACCTTAAACCACTTATATTTTTATAGATCATTTTATTCTTAGTTTTTTTTTTTTTTTTTTTGGGTTATGGTAAACATCATGCATTTGTGCAGAGTGTACCTTCTTCGATGCTGAGGCTTTCTGTGTGATAGAACAGTGGGGGGTGGGGGGTGGCGGGGTCTACCTGACAACAATCATGTCATTGTAATATTTGCATGCTGAATTGTGACTAGTCTTTAGAAAACAGGCTTAAAGATGTCTTAATAGAAATGTAATCTACTTTATCCACTTTACATTTGGGGCTATAACTATCATTTTACCAAAAACACTGGATTTTCTTCGAGGAACTGTAAACCTAGGTAAAGGTAATGAACCACATTGTTCCCAGATAATCTTTTGTATGCCACACACCATTCTAACTGTGGTAAAACTAGCTATGAAATTACAGTACATTGTTCTCAGTTAGTCTGCCATTTGTACAAGTGTTATGTGCAGGTGGTATTTGTGCAAATTGGATAAAAAAAATTCTCTCTTGTGTGTGTGTGTGTGTGTATGGAGGAAGTGCTTTGTGCTTTTTCTGGACAACTGTGACCTTTGATTGTTCATAATGCTCACTATGCTCTTTTTAAATAGTACTCATGTGCTATTCACAGTTATGACCAATGTGTGTGATTGTTTTAAAATATAAGGTTACACTTTATTTCAAGGTGTCCTTGTTACAATGTAAATATAAAGTACCGAGTAATATTCTTTCTTCAGTAAGCCTGATATCAACTACATTTGAAGCACACTATTCCGAGGACTGCTTAATACAGGTACTCAACTAATGTGAATGCGTAAGTAAATAATAAAAAAAATTATATTAAATATTTAAATATATTTGGGAGAGACTGTGTACCATTTTTTGCTCTTCCCGTGTGCTTTATCAACATGAAGTACCGCACTGATATAAGTGATATATCTATGATATACAGTATATATGTATATCTATATGATATATGATAGTGATTGAAATCCAAATCCTTGTGGTCACAATTGAGACATGTTAATACCAGGTGTAAATGGGAAATTATAGGCCCATATGTGTATACCACAGATGTGTTTTGAGAATTTAGTGAGCATATGCACGTTGGAATGAGAATCTGGGTAGTGTGAGTACTGCCAAAGAACATAAAGAGCACTTTAAAGTGTCTAGAGGTGATCAGATTTGATGCGTATTGCCAGGGAAACTGTCCTTCCTCTTCTCTCTATGTCTTCCTCTTGGCCATGCTGGATCGCAGCATCAGTGTGCACTCTAGTGGGACTTCAGGGTTGTCAATCATGCGTTGCCATAGCCGCTGCTCCTCGCCGCAGGAATCGTTCCAATCTACTTCTTTCCCATAACTCAGACCTGCAGGACACAAGCAGGTCATTTGATTGCTCTGTATGTAAGATCTAAACACAGAGATCTTAGCTGTACTGCTCAACTCTCAGACACCCACAGTGGAGTCATTTCAAAGATTGTTTAAAGAAATAAAATAAACTTATGTTAGCTAGCTAGGTGACAGTTTTTTGGCTGTTAGTGTTCAACCATTTTTTAAGCAATTCACACCAAAAAGCCCATTTAGTATATCACAGAGAAATGATCTAAATTAAAATTGCAACAATGGATTGTCATAAGGCTATTTTGAAACATTTTATAAAACAAAATATCTCGTCAAAATCAAAATGAATGAATTTACAATAGATGGTAAGTTTTTTAGTGTTTGAAAATAAGTCTCTTATGCTCAACCAAAGCCTGCATTTATTTCAACTAAAATAAAGGAGAAAACTGTAATATTGTGAAATATTTTGTATATTGGAATATATTTTTTAAATAAATGTATTTCTTTGAAGCTAAAGCTGAATTTTCAGCATCATTACTCCAGTCTTCAGTGTCAGGAAAACGTCATGGTTATGTTTGAACTATCAGCACATAAATATATCACTGTCCACATTAACTTTGTCAGCAATTTAATAGGGGTGTGATAGTCATTTCATTTTACACGTGAAGAGGTTAGCCAATCCTAATAGGGGTCATTTATTTATAGGAGTCTTAAAGGTATAGTAGAAAAATATTAAAAGGGCTAGAGAGGGTGGAAATTAGTCATGTAAACTGATTTTAGTGCAAGAAACTTTGAGTAATATTTGTAATTATAAACACTGTAAAAGGCCCCTTTAACACAACCATCAAAGAGAATCAAATGACTCGATCATGAGTGAGTGAAGATCTTAATAAAACATATTTGTAACAGTAAATTAGTTTAGCATGAATACAAAATGTGTTGCAGAAACTAATCCTTCATGCATCATTGATGATGGATTTAAGAGACGTTTAGAAAGAACATTACAGTGGAAATTATATTCAAGAACATGTGGGACTGAATGATTATCTTAATTTGAGTTAGAGAACATTGCACAGTAACGCACAATATCAAATCTGAACAAATCTGTCCTACTAATGTGGGAAATATAATTTGATGCTATGGTAAAGAAGTAAATGAAATGGACTTCCATTAGTGAATGAAAAACTATGTTTCAGGTTGTGCTTTGAACAGTTTGGCTCTTATTCCTGACAGAACTTGAGTATTTTGTGATTGACTTTCAAGTGTTGTTATTGTTAATTAAAACTATTTTTAAAAATCAGATATTAAAACATAGATATTAGATGAAAAACTATGTATAAGTTGAAGTATTAAAATTACTAAAACTAAAATCGAAATGAAAATAAATTAAAGCTATATTTTTTTTCTTCTAAACTTAAAACAGAAAAGCACAACAAAATGACAAACTTTTATTAGAATGAAATTAGAAAATATAAAAATAAAAGGCTAATTCAAAATATTACGAATTCAAAATACTATAATATACCCATTGTTTGCGTAAAACGCTGAATTTAGCATGTATGCAGATTTTGAAATACATACTGTGGATTTTTGATACAAAAATAGAGATTGACCTGAAAAAGGCTAAGCTAAAGAAAGACTGACCTGTCCCTCCCCCGAGCCGCACACCCCCCAGGAAGACGTTGCTGGCAAGCGGTTCCCTGTCCCACACTGTCAGCTCCAGACACACGCTGTCCAGATCACTGTGCTGCAGGCCGCAGTATGTGAAGGTGTGATTCCAGCGTGGGTTTACGGTACGCTTCACCACCGCGGTCTTGTGCTTTGTGCTTTTCTTGTCATCAGGCAGTAGGTATCTGATACACAAGCAGAAAACCAGGAGTGTGAGTTTGCGAAATGTATATGAAGAAATCAGAGGAATTCAGCTCACCCTTTGACGAATGGGTCAGAGGACCCTCCTTTAACAGCCGTTAGGTTTTTTGCCTCTTTAACCAGCAGCTCCACCATTCCTCCTTTAGGAAGTGTGATGGTCTTCTTCTTTCCCTTCAGAAATCCCCTTTTCACTGAGAAACAGAAGAGAGCTTGATTATACACTCCAGTATTATAAACAGAGAGCTTCTAGGAGCTCAAATAGAAGCTTTGTCGATGACACGTTAAACATATAGTGTCCCGTTACAATGTTTAAATCATTAGACCAGTAGTTCCTAAACTGGGGCGTCACAGAGGGTGTATGCGAACAAAATGCAGAGTTTTTGCCGTTTAATTTAATTCTACCCCACCTTAAAATTACATTAAAACCGAGCATGTATTTCTAACAGGCAAAATGCCGTAAAAGGTCAAATACATGGCATCCAATCAAATTACCTGACTGCATCCACACAAGCACTGAGCATGCTCCCTCAGCAAATCGAGCTACATCACTGTCATTCTCCGCATTGTACCTTTGTAAATGTACGGATTTAGCACTTACTAGCATGAAGAACAAATAATGTTGAATATTATCATTATCAATATTATACGAGCAAGAATGCAACTTTTCCAGTTCAAAAACAAAATGGTAATATTAAGTGATGTTAATTTTAAACACAGTATTGATTAATCTATTCTGCAACAAAATAATAGTTCCAACGAAATCCACAGCAGAACTGCAACACACAGGGGTGTTTCGTGAATGAATCTGAGGCTTTGAACGAATCCTGAGAGTCAATGTTTCATTCATAAATACAGTCACTTGCTTTGTAACTGAATGAATGGCTCAGGCATTAAGACACTTACAGCCACCTATTGCCGGTTTTAGTTTAATATTTAAAGGACAATTCTTTATTTATTCACCCTCAAGTTGCTCCAAACCTGTACCAGTTTGTGGATCCCATTGACTTTCACATTATGGCAAAAATACTATATACTAAAAACTATGGAAATCAATGGGGTCCCATCAACTGTTTGATTACCAACATTCTTCAAAATATTCTATATAAAATTCATACAGGTTTGGAACAACTTGAGGATGAGCAAATTATGACAGAATTTTCATTTTTTGGGTATACCATCCTTTAAAAGTATCACTTTGTATTAACCACCATTGCATAATCCTCTATTGAACATATCTTATTTAAAACATCTGCAGTAGAGTTTTTTTTTTTTTTTTTTTTGCTGTGTAAACTATTAGATATGTTAGATTAACGTACCTATCATAAAATTAACCTAGCATGAAAAGTACCTAGTTTTTAAAACAAAAATGTTTGTAAATTTACTTTATCCTTTTATCCTTTTTTTATTTTATTTTATATTTTTACCTTCTTTTTATAATATTTAAAATATGACACAAAGTGTTTATCAGGCAGCAAAGCGGCATGATATAAGACACAAATTTTCAAAAAATAATTAAATATAATACTACTAATAATCACAATAAACAATTCTTCCACTTAGTAATATAGTTAATTGTAACCTAACTCTAGGCTGTTTATGGCTTCGAGGCAACATCATAATTCACGATCAATCCATAAAGAAATTATTGCCACATTAATATTAAAATCATAAGTGATGTTCAGCCAAGGAAAATTTATAAGGAATATTTATTCAAATACTATTAAAAATGTGTTAAAGATTTTGTAAGCATATCATGTAGTTGTGCTTGGACATTTTTTTTTGCAATTTTTGGCCAGGCTGTCATACAAAGAAATTATGAACACATGCAAAACCCAGAGAAAGCCAACAAACTTTATTTTGCACAGTAAAATAAAACCTTTAGCTGTAGTTTGTCTTTTTTAGCCATATAATTTTTGTCAAAAAAAAAATACCTTAAGCAAGTTTAGTGTTTTGTTCCTCCCTCATATTTAAAATACAATTTAATATTTTTTGATGGTTTAATCAAACTTTAGGTTAATTAAAAAAAAAAATCCCCACTTTTTGCCACTACTTTAGGTCATAGGTTTTATCAACAATGAAAAGGTGAAAGAAATGAAATAGAAATTATTTCTAAGTCATACCTTGCACTTGGTCCAGAGGCAGGGAGACATTTCTCTCTGCAGGAATGTACTTCAAAACCACTGTAAGTTCCCCTTTATAGTGCATCACTGAGTCCACATAAGACTCATTCTGACACAGACACACACACATTTCAGTATCACACTTATCCATGTCAACATTTCTTTTTATCTCTCGCTGTTTCTGTTTGTGTATGTTCAGCTCACCCTAGGCTGTAGAGAGAACCATTCCTCTATCTTCGTGTCAAACTCCCAGGAGTCAAAGGTCAGCTCCGTCTCCCCCAGGAAGTTGTTGTGTCCAAAACGATCATGATGCCACACAGAAACCTGCAGTGTGCGCGTCTCCAGCTGAGAGTGACTGACTACATACTACTCAAAGGGACAGACAGATAAGAGCCTTTAAATCAATATCTCATTTACAATATCTCATCAATCTCAATAGAAAACCCTGTAAGGCAGGATTGAACCCTCTCTTACCCTCAGGTTTTCGTTGAAGACTGGGTTAGTGGTGTTGCTTTTGATGCTGGTTTTTCGCTTGCTTTGACGGGACTTGTCTGGCAGGAGATATGTTTTAATATAGCTGTAAACACACACACACACACCGATTTTTTTGCTTCTGTACAATATCGGTCTCTGATGCATCAGTATTAAATTGATATCTTAGACAACAAATAATAATTTGTTGATAATAAACAATACACATATAAGAATATATGTGAATACTGGACAGAGTTAGATTTCTTTACCTTTCAACACATACTGTATTTAATTATTAATATTTCAGCAAATATTTCAGAACATTTTCAGGAAATGTCAGCTAAATCAAAACTGAAAATGACTGCATTATGAAAAGGTCACCCATTTAAAAAAAAAAAAAAAAAGTCTTTCGAACTCTAAAAATGACAACAAAAAAAGTCCTTCCATGCACATTTTCTAAAGCCATAGACTAAAAATGAAATCATTAAATTACTGAAAATCAACTATTAACAATTGTTTCCGATAATTGAAATACAAGTTGAAATAAAATAAATATGATGAAAGACAATTAAACTGAAATAAAATATATGTTTAAGTTGAAGTACTAAAATGACTAAAACAAAAATAAATTATAGCTAAATATTTATAAAACTAGTGAAAAATTACAAAAGCACATAAAATTATTAAAACAAACTAAAATGAAAACAAAATATAAAAATAATAGCTTTAATAAATTTTTCAAGTGTATAAACAATACTAATGTAAAGAATTATAGAATTTACATTTAACATTATTACATTGAACTATCCTTTTAAATACAGTAATAGAAAAATATACTAATTGTAAATCTAAATGTTAATATATGGACACCCCAAATACATGCAGTGCAGGGATGCTCTGCCAGGGCTCAAAGTGAAGTGTATAGCTGTCTCTCTCTCTGTGTGTGTGGCCTTACGCATCCGTGCGCTGTCTCCTCTCATCCCCGGTTGCTAGGCAGCGGCACTCGCGGACGAGCACGTTTAGTGCCCCTGTTTTATAGCTGTAAGAGATGTTGAGCAGGATCTCCCCGGAAACCCGCACGTTGCCATAGTCCCCCGTCTCACTGTACACGCTCATCATACTGTTAATGCTGGTCTGGAGAGAATATAGGGAGGGTCTTTGGCTGTGCATCTTTCACAAGCTTGTGTTTAAATGTATGTGTGTATGTATGTGTAATACAGAAAGGCAAGAGAGAGAAACTGAAGCGAACACAGCAACAGACAGACAGACACACACACACAGCTGTACTCAAACACACACTGAACACTCACAGTGTCAGCATCTGAGTCAGGTACATTAAGGAAACCCCACTTTCTCTCCGAGGCAGGTGTGGAAGACTGGAATAAGACAGGAGAAAGACAGAGTAGAGAAGATTGACAGCATGAAGGCAAGCCAGGAAAAAAAACAGAGAGCAGAGAAGTAGAATAAGAAAACCTATTTAAATGTGACAGAACACAGATTGCTAGAGCCAAGAAGGAACTTTTTCACATTTGATTATTGATTATTAGCTGTTTAAAGTGACAGCTCACCTAAAAATGAACATTGTGTCCTATTTACTAACCCTGATGTAAATTTATACCCATTTGTACTTCTTTCTTCCATAAAAAGAGATTTTATTTTCTAGTAATGCACATTTCAGCAACCAAAAATATTCAGCTGAATTTTTGGTATTGGCGGTAGTAGTTTTGAGGGGACGAAACCATTGACCAAAAAACACCATTTAATTAGCATTTCTCAGTAGCCGAACTGGGTGACTAAAATATTGAGAAGTTTACTACGACTATGCCTAATTTATCACCTGAGAACACAAATCCCCAAACAGCATACCAAATTCAATGACCAAAATTAATTTACCCATACATACATTTTAGTTTGGGTTTCGGGCTAAATGAAAAATGTATTTTTGGTTTAGTTTTGTAAAAAAATTCATTCAGTGCATCGTTACTCTTTTCCATATAATGACATTGAATGGGAACTGGGGCTTTTGGGCACCAAAAATGACAGAAAAACCCAATGAAAATAGTATATAGGTTTTTTGAAGCCATACATTTTATGTAAAATGTAGCACAAGGCATATGCATTTACATGAAGACTAATACGATTTAAGAGCTATGGCAGAAAGCAAGATTTTCAACAAGTAATAAATATTGTATCATTTCTGTCTATTCTTTGGAATATTTTATATTTATACTTGGACTTTATCACACAAATTGAATGGAAGTGGTCCATTGGTGCTTTCGGTCATTCACTTTCACACTATGTCAAAGAGTAGCATGCACATTCTTCAAAACATCTTCTTTTGTGTTCCACAGAAGAACATCATTTAGATTTTGAATGACATAAGGGTGAGTAAATGATGGCAACTTTAATTCTGTGAAAACATGACTGTTTTGTTGTCAGTAAAAGCCTGTCTCTTTTCTTGTGAAGAGTGCTAAATGAAGAGGAAACACATCTGACTCATCTAGCTATTAGAGACTGCGTGTGAGCTACGAGTTATGTCAGCTGTTTTGAAAGAGGCCACTTGTCTTCATGTTTGCCTGAATTATTTCTCTTTGTTGTGTCTTAATGCACCACCTGCACCTGTATGTGTGGCCAATAACCGGGAACTATGACAATGATGCACTTTCAGTAGTTATTGCAAGTTTTATCTATGCTAAATTGTGTGTATATGAGATAGTGCGATAAAAAAATGCATGCGTGGGTCTACCAGGTGAGTCAACAAATTAAGTGATCTCATGTAACTGGATATTTTGCCAGGAGGAGGAAATGCTAATATTCACAAGGAGGATATATATTTATATTCAAAAGAATAGCTGGAGTTGGATAATGGAGAATAGCTGAAGTGGAACGAGTTTTATAGGGTAGGGTATACTTAATATCTGAAAAAAGAGGGTAAAAGCATTGGGTTTCTGGCTCCCCTTATATAAGGCACACAAATATAAGTCTAAACATACAGTACACAGAAAAGGGAACAAATATATTTTGTTTCAGTCAGACATTTGCACAAAGCCAGCAAACACACACTGCAGCAAAGCGCCTGTGATTATGTTGTTTTTTGTGTGCGTGTGTCTGTGTAAAACATTATACCATTGATTGCGCACTGCAGACGCTCCGGTTGGTTTTATAGTGTGCTGATAACACCGCATCAATGTCCTCATCCGAGTCCTAGAGCACAAACACTGCCATCAACGAATATCACATTGAAACAGCACTGCTTTTCTTTATGCAATCACTTCACTCAGTGATATGATATCATAAAAATCACATTACAGAAGGCTGTCTCTTATCATTTTAACTCCCTATCCGGAAATATATCTCATATCCTGCACACAGAAAAAAATGATGAACAAGATTGCAAGTGAGAAGTGGTTTAAGAGACTGTGGCTGAAATATACCCCATCGTTCAGTCCTGGAACTGAGCGGCATCGACTTATCAGAGGATCTTCACTGAAGCCCTCACCAGGATTACTGAGGTCCACCTCAGAGCGACTGCGATCTGTGAAGAACAGAAAATGAGATGTTCTGACTATTTTATATTATCTAATACTTAGGACATAGAGCGAGCCTAAGACCACAAGTGAAAATGCATTTATTTAGCAATTTTCGGAATATAATATTTACTTTTTTCATTACGAATTACATCATTCCCATAATTTAAGCAAAAGGTTGAACTGAAACACTAACACAAATTTTTATAATGTTTTAGTATTTGGCATGTTTGTGTAAACCCTGATGATCAGGTTCTCCAGCATGATATGAGAAAGATCCAAAAAGCATCTTGTGCTTTAATGGAAGCAACAACATCTGACAGTCTGTACAACAATGTTGTTCTCAACCGTTCTCAACAGTTGTTCTCAACCAGGGTGGGGCCCTCTAAGATGACTTAAAATTATTTTAAATAAGACTAAACAAACATAATAAGCTAAAGCAAGTAAAGGCAAACATATCAATATATTTTATTATATTTTAATTCACTGCTTCAAAAAAAAAAGTAATGTCAATTAGCACTGGTCTAAAAATGCTTATTTTAATTAGTGTCCTAGAAATAGAGCAGAATCTTGAATATTTCTACATAGATTTGTTTTACGTTCTTTTTTATTGATTTTTCAAGAAAATGTTTTACATAGTATAACAAAGAAAAAAAACATTAGAAAAAGGGTTAGGCATTCTGTTTTTGAGGTAAGTATTGGTTTACAAATTCAAAGACACTGACACTGTTTGTTTACATGACAGTATTTCCATTTCTTCTACATATATTTCTATTTTACATGTTGTAACTGTTCATTTCCATGTTTAAATGAGATTTTCAGTGTGGTCTCAGACTTTTGAATCCCACTTATTGCTTTTATATTTTTTTTATTAGAGTGAACTGATATAAGGACAGTTTCACATGCAAATGTTGTTACTGGTGTCATTGGCAGCAATAGATTATATCAAGTTGTTGCCATGGTGATACCTGATGAGAGGGAGGCTCTGGATATGGCGATAGAGGGAGTGCTGGAATCTTTTTGTCTCCGCCCATCCGCCATCTTTTCAGAAGCGCTGTCACTGCTTTGTATACTAGACACGCTCTCTGCTCCATCCGGCTGAACAAACACACGGACACGCACAGACAGTAAACACTGCTTTCTTGTCATGCACACAAGTCTGTATATAGGAATGCATATGTGTTATCGTGTGTTACCCTGTTTCTTGCCTCTGTCTGGGTTGGTGTTTTGACCATTTGTGCTCTCATGTTATTGGGTACCGTTGGTAACCCTGATGGCTCCACTGCAACCGCTCTCTTCCTAAAACACAGACACTTAATGAGAGTGAAACACAGACAGTCTTAATGAGAAGACACAGGCTTGAGTAAAACGAAATGCTAGCTTATTGCACTAAAGTATATACTGCCTATTATTTTGTGAAACAGTATGCAATATGCAATCATTTCAAACAGCGATATGCTACATTGTTGTCACATGACCAATACAATGCATGCTTAATGTTTAAACCATTGGTGATATTACTGGTTAATTTGTCACATTGCTAATGGTCGATTGTGTTACATTTAAGCAACTGTAGTAGGTCTTCCTGTTTTTCCATGCTTAAAGAAAAAGGCATACGCTGCACTGCATAATTACTATTAACTGCAGGAATTGTATCAAAGTAAGTGATTCCAAGCATAGCAAAGTCAAGCTCAATGGACTGTAAATCATGCCCCTCACCCTTTCCTGTTCTTCCCTGTCCTTATCTGGAATTGGGACGTAGGCGATCTCTCGTACTGTGGTGTGGATGATCTCTCCCTCTCTGATGGTCTGGGAGAAGAGCCTCCATCTCCATAAACAAAAACAAATATTCATAATAAGAATATCAAAGCCGTTAAGCTAAATACACAGTCCTTTGACCATCTGTGTATTATTCAATAGTGACCAATAAAGTTTAGGTAATTAAATTTGAGTATTTGAACACGGTATTCTGCTCAGGGTATCGTGTTATCAGATGATAAATGAAACCAGTTGTAGTAAAGTTCTTTGGCAACAATATGTCAGCTGAACATATTTGCATATTGCTTCTTTAGCATCCTTTTTGGTCATGGTGAAGTGCGTCCACACTGACATGTTCACCCGATGTTGCTTATCCACATTGTGTGCATGAAATAGTAGATGCTGACATGATCACTGTTCCGTCAATGTTTTCGGCCCTTCAAAACTATTCTGGCTGCAACCAATTTTTTTAGCGTTTCTTCTGAATATTTTCGGATGCTGAAATTTTAGGTGCATCACTATTAATTAACACAAGAGACAAAACCTGATCAGACTTGTACTTTTTTGTCAATGCTGCTGTTCACCTGGACATGAACAAACAAATGATAATATATTTATTTTTTATACACTGAAACATGTAACTATTCTAGTTTTCAAATCATTAAAAAGAGCCTGGAGAGGAAAACTTTACATTATGTCAGGGCTGAAATTGTGTAAAATGTATGGCAATATTTCCAGGCATTGGTTGATGGATGTTTGTGTTGACACAGACTCTGAGTTGATCTCACCTGGAGGACTGCTGAGGATTGACTGTTTGACTACATCACTGCTGGGTACACTGACATGTTGAAACCTCTTGGATCTCTCTTCCAGAAACCATTCTCCTGTAACCACCTTCAGTTCCCTATGACAGCAAGCCACAATTATAGAAGTGACAAGCATAGCTTAATTGGTTCACCTATTAAAGAGCATATGAACTGCAATTTCCCATACTGCGTCGAAACATTTCCAATTGAAATAAGTTGGTGCAGAACATGGATTAAAAGCCAAAAAAAATTATTTCATGGTGTCTCTCATCTTTTCAGAGTATGTATGGATGTTCTGTGTGACTCACGCAGTCTTTGCACACACAGTGCATTTGCAGTTGCTGCCTGGAGGTGTAGCAGTGCAGAAGTTGCACATCCGCCGATGACAGTTGGTACACACATTACCCCTCTGCAGGATGAGACCCAGCGCACGCAGACATACGGCACACTCACGCTGATCAGCTGAACTACGCCGCCCGGCTCGCTTCAGTTCCAAAAGTTCATTTTTCAGCTTCCTGTAGAGGCACAACTGGCATGACTGTTGGGGAGTAACTAAACGTAGCAAGCAACCCTATAAATGAACTACAGTAGGTCTGTTTCTTATAACACGGTTTATCTATTCCAAAAAGAAGCTGAATTTTCCACAGAAAATCCACAGATTTGAGTCGCTACATTTTAAGTATTTTTTAAGCAGAACATTTAGTTTATTATTATGTGTTTGAAAATAGAATGGTGCATCAGTTACTGTCGGGAAACTGTCCCGTCGCATCCAGTGTAGACAACATCACTGATTATAATGAGTTCTATTTGCTTTTGTCGTTCTGCAATATAATTTAAAATGATCTAATTGAATAGTTATATACCTATTTTAAGTAGCTTCAGTGTAGTTAGCTATTCTATAAACTTTTTAAAAAAAAGTAGCTAACTACTTTTGCAGAAGAAAGAAAGAAAATGTCTGCTTGTGATGATCTGCAGGTGGAAGACGTTACCTGATGCGTTTCTCCTCTCGTTTCCTGACCTTCTCGTCTTTCTGGAGAACACTGAGGATCGTCTGCTTTTCGTGCTCCAGAAGGAAGGACAGATTAAGGGACCCGGTTGTCTTCGCCATGACCATTTAAAGAACTGCTCACAGAGCTCAAGGAAAACTCAGCCAATAAAACTGGCCACAAACCAATCAAAATGATGCTTCATGAATGCAGCTTGAATCCTTATGAATTAATGAAGGATTGCTTTGGTACATCTACATGTCGACACAAAGGTCATCTGCCCGCTCCTTCAGGCGATAACCTTCATCTCAGCAATTGTGTCAGGTCTTGTGATCCTGTTGGTCAGTGCATTAACCCTTTCACCTGCTGAATGCCTGCAAGAATAACATCCATATAAAAAAAATCAGTGATCAATCAGGGTATTTTATGTGTAATACTTACAATATACATGGTAAATCATGATTCATGTCTTCTGACCAAGTTAATTGTTCATGATCTTTTAAAAAAATAGAGTTTAATATAATATAAAGCATAGTTACGTTCAGAAATAAAAAAGATGCGCCCAGTACAAAAAGAAAAAAACTTCTATTGAAAGAAGTTGAAAAAAAAAACTGATTCTGTGTTTCCATCAGTCTGCCTGCAAGGGTCAAAGAAAGAGAGGGTAGAAAATTGTAATGAAAAACCTATTATTACTCTTTTCAAAGCAAAAAAAAACTAAAAAAAAAAACATCCACTTTGGCTCACAAATATCCTCAAGAGAAATTTTACAAAAATGTATGACGTGACCACTTTAAAACTATGATTATGCCTCTCATTACAAACATTAAACACAAACCAGTATCTAAATGTAGGAATTATAAAATATAATAGAGCACATTACATACAGTATATGTATAGCAATCCATATATATATATACACACACATGTATATCCTTATATGTATATAACAATAATTTAGAGACAAAATCAAGCACTTTTTATCTATCTGCTGCTTTGTTAATAGACTGACAGTCCAGATGTCAGTATGAGAGCCCAGCCAATCCGATACAGCTACAGCTACTAGTCACCATTTAGGTTTTTATCTAAAGCGACAATACACTAATTGCAGTGGCAGTCTGCCAGCGGCAATCTGAGGTGAAGTGGCTTGCTGGAGAGCACAAGAGTAATAGAACAGGGCAGTAATCACTGTACATCATGCATACTTGGGGCTGAACCTACAACCTCTGCATTAATAGCTGGCACTTTCCACACGATAATAGGGCTTGAAATGGATGAAAACGTAAAGTAAATTAAATAATGAAATCCTACATCCTTGGCAGTCGATTTTCTTTTTATTTGGAATCCACTAAAATACAATAGAGGGAACATCATGCCATAAAAGGCGTGCCTGTTGTCTAAATTGTGCCTTACATTTTTGGTAAAAGTTAATCATTACATATATGATATTCACAAACCATTCAAGAATGTATATAAATTGTATAATTAATCATTTATTTTAACTTTTAGCTGAACTAATATTCAATGCTACTATTAATAATGTATATTACAATATTTTAATGATTATTATAATAACATTATAATATCATATTCATGTTTTTTTTTTTGTTTTTTTTTTAGACTCCAATCCATAACCATTTTAATCATGCTCAGTTGTCTTTACTGGAAACCCCATCAAGACTGAAGCATTTTACTGGCCTGGATCTGTGGAGGACTTATTCATTTCCTGTTTGGAGAACTGATTATGGGTCATATCCATCTCTTCTGTTTGCATGAACTAGGTTAATATATAGCATTTACTGCATGTGTGTATGTTGTTATCTCATTTTTGTTGCAGGTTTGTTTGAAATTAATAGAGAATGACAATGTACAGTACACCAGTGTGTGTGTGTGTGTGTGTGTGTGTGTGTGTGTGTGTGTGTGTGTGTGTGTGTGTGTGTGTGTGTGTGTGTGTGTGTGTGTGTGTGTGTGTGTGTGTGTGTACGACTTGCTTTCTTCTATGTTGCCTGTCTGACAGAATCTGATACACCATGTCTAACAGGCCAGCCTACATAATCAGAACCTTCAAAAGCTGTTTTTCACACCATCATTTACACTTAGAAAAGCGTCTGCCATTGGTGACACAACCACATACGTACATGTGTCAGTGTGTCACACACAGGTGACAAATTATTTGTAATGTCGCAGCCAAAAATCGCTTTAGACAATTCCATCTGTGTATGTTTGTGTATTTGTGTGTAACTGAGGTTATTGTTCGATTAAGTGTCTGACTCAACAGGAAGACATGGAGCAAAATTAATTCAAATTTCTCATGCGAGAACTGTTTACAGGGACACACAATACATGCAGATTAAGAGTGTAACTTCAGTATCTCCGCTGAGGCAAAGGACAGCATGTGCCCGCAATATCTAGCAGCACTACTAATTAAAAAACAAGCTCTTCTGCGTCTTACTGCCGTCATCGTCAGGCAGTTGTTATATGCGTTTGAGTCTGAATGTTGGAGTGCTCATTATACACTCCTAAGGCAAGGTGTAGCCTACTGCTGAGATGCTTCAATAAAAACTGCAGGGTTACAAAAGGTGTGGTATCTCCCTGGATCCCACCCTAAGTACACACATTAGTGTACACAAAGCCCTGTATAAACACACCAACACACAGTTCTCTTACGTTGTTAAGCAATATACACTAACGTTCAAACGTTTAGGGTCAGTGATATTTTTTATGTTTTACAAAGAAGTCTCATGTTCACCAAGGCTGTATTTATTATGTGGTGACAAAGCTGGATTTTCAGAAGCCATTTTTCCAGCCTTCAGTGTAACATGATCCTTAAAAACATCATTCTTATATGCTGATTTGGTGCTCAAGAAACATTTCTTTTTATGTTAAAAACAGTTGTGCTACTTAATATTTTGTGAAAATTGTGATGGATTTTTTTCCAGGATTCTTTGATGAATAGAATATTCAAAAGAACAGAATTTATTTTAAAAAGATTTTTGTAACATTGTAAAAGTCTATTGTCACTTTCGATCAATTTAATTACTGAATACAATAATACATTTCTTTAAAAAGAATTCCAAACCTGTGTTTACACTGTTATAGGGTAGGCGGCGCTATGACACATCTTCTGAAATAGTACTGAATCTTCTGATCAATACTATGGAAGATTGTTTCCACCACAGAATAAAACATTTTTAAAGATAATTGCAACTTTTTATCTCACAATTGCGAGATATAAAGTCAGTATTGCGAGATATAAACTCACAATTACGTGTTGTAAAGTCAGAATTGCGAGATATAAACTCGCAACTGTGACTTTTTTTCTTGCAATTGCGAGTTTATATCTTGCAATTCTGACTTTATAACACGCAATTGCAAGTTTATATCTCACAATTCTGACATCTTTTCTCAGAATTGTGAGATATAAACTTGCAATTGCGAGTAATAAAGTCCAATTCTAAGGGAAAAAAGGCTGACTTTTTCTCAGAATAGCGAGTTATCTCACAATTCTTACTTTATAACACCCGATTGCGACTTCATATCATGCAATTCTGACTTTATATCTCCCAATTGCGTGTTATAAAGTCAGAATTGCAAGTTTATGACTATATAATTGTGAGAAAGAAAGTTGCAATTTCCTTTATTTTTTATTCTGTGGCGGAAACAAGCTTCCATACAATACACAGGTGAAGAAGAAGCAGAAACCAGCAATAGCATTTGTAAGCAGATGCATGTAAAATAACGCAATCATTAACATTAAACAGAATATAAATCATGAAACTTACCCACATTCAAATTTTGATTAAAAAAGAATGCATGAAGCTAAATTAAAACAGTTTTTTTGTTTGTTTAAAAGCAGAGGGTCTGACCTTTCTTTTGATGCATGTTCAGATAGCCTATTCATACAACAATAATTCATGGGGGCCATGAAACTTTTGTGAAAATTATCAAAAATGCTGGCAGGGGAAAAGAGTTAAGACACACAACTATAATGACACTAGATAAAAACAGTTAATTCATTTGTACCTCAGGCTCTAGTGCACATGAAGACACCAGACAGGAATAATGCTGCCTTCTAATTCTCCTGGGAAATTCGTATTTACCAGCTCGGAAGTCATTATTATGATGTGATAAGTTGAAAAGATTATGGTGGGGACAAAATGATAAGATTTCATATTTCTTTATCTCTTTAGTTACTGACAAAAGACAGGAAGCTTTTCAGCCCTAGTGCAACATAATGAAGCGCAATGGATGCGCATTAGGTGTGTAATTGGTTATTTATCTGTGTATTTTAGCTTTCTCATGCTGAAATGCAGTTGCACAAGCCTTATTTGTATTATGCATCAACAGTACGCTGAATGCATGCAAAATAAACAGTGAAGTCAATATTGAGCAATGTTTTAATTGTGACATGACTCACAATCCTGATTTTTCCACTGGTATTTAAGACACTGTGGTGCTGTTCATGTGTAAATATGATCATCCTGACATGACCTGAAAGCAGCATGAAAGATGACAACATATTGCAAGAACCATGGGAAATGTAGTTCAGTGCATAAATCTCAAAAGAACAAGTCAACAAGCTGCCAGTCCATCTCTCAGCTCACAGTAATTACTCCTCTAATGATGGAGACACATTCACCAACAACACCTGGCTTAATGGAGATTAATTTCATGCATGTGTTATGCCTTACAGAGAGGTGCATTAGCATAATAAAAAAGGGACACAGAGCTATGAAATGCAGATTAGCAAGACAAATGTGAGTCTTGGGTAAGTATAAGTGGACAAAACAGAATTTGGTAAAAAAAAAGCTTTTTCATCCTATGCACCAAATGTCTGGAATGAACTCCAAAACACCTTACATTTAGAATCACTTCCATCTATTCATATTTTTAAAAACCTTTTAAAGTCAACTTTGACTGAACGGTGTAATTGCTTTTAACTAGGTACCCTTTAAATTATATGTTTGTATTTACTTAAGTTAAACAAAATGTCTCGTTTGTATATGTATAGTCTATGTATAGAGATTTGTTGTGTAGAATGTAATTTTTTTGTCCTGTCTTTTTTAATGTTTTTTTTCTTTGCAACTTTTTGGCCGCCTATCTTGGCCAGGACTCCCTGGGAGAAGAGTTACTGTAACTCAATGGGACTATTCCTGGTTAAATAAAGGTTAAAAAAATAAAATAATAATAATAATTATGGTAGTGGACAACCGATAAGAGATTTTCAGTAGCCAATGGCAATATCAAAATCTAGAGAGCAGGGTGGCTAATGGTAAACATAATGCCAATGCACATGTTTATTGTAATTTAATGGCAGAAATTACATTATTTTACACAATTTGTTACTCAAAGAGCTTTGTGTAAAGAACACAAAGGGAAACAACTTCTGTTTATCACCAGATGAACATGGTACATCTCCAAATCACCATGCATGGGAACAAACTTATAAAAGTAGTAGATGTAAAGGAAATGTTGTTTTCAGCCCTCCATACATTTTCAGATTGCATATGAAGTATGGACTAATGGACTAATGACATGCAATGTAATTAAATATAATGATGTTGTTCTCTCCAGCTGTGCCCCGTTGAATCTTTAATGCATGCCTCTTCTTTAAACACATACACACAAATCAATACAAAATGTCACTTATGGATAGTCAATTGTTAGTGTTAAAGTCCTTCAGTAGAATGATATGTGCAGTACATCTCAGTCAATCATATGAGAGCACAATATATTGAGGTATATTGTCTGAACATGACAGATTTTGGTCCTGCTAACTATGAAGTCATCCCACATTCTCTTTTTTCAAGACCAGTGCACATTAAAATTAGAAAAAGGCCTTAAAAATTTAATGAGTTTGCTTTCAGTCTTTTTTATGAATTTTATTTAGTTTTTATGATCCTGCTGCCACTAACGTCACTGTCTATATAGCGAATTATGTTAATATTTCTATCTTTTAGTGAAGATAATAATACATTTTCTGTGTGACCAGTATGTATCAGTCACTCTTTTACAAAAATTATGATTTTACAGTGATTTTGTATGGGTGGAATTGTGCCTCAAATACACAAACCGTGTCCACACAGCCAACTTTGTTTTGTTTAGTTTTTTTTGTTTTGTTGTGATGGTTGAAATTTGTTGCAAGAGCCATCTGTGAAAGGAATTCCAAAGAAAAACAGAAATGCAAATTCTCACAACTGCAAATTCTTTAATATCTTCATTGTTTCTTCTAGACTACAATATTAACACTCTGAAACCTCTACTAGTCTCTGGTGGAATGAGCTGCCAACCTCCACCTGATCTGCTGAGACATCACAACTGAAGACATGTCTCTTCTTTAGGCACTTAACCAGGGCTGGCATCTTAAGAGTGAGAATTATGGATTTTTCGGGGAGATGGGGGTGTTTATAAAAAATAAAAATAAAAAACTGTGTATTGTGATTGTCAAAACATTTGGTAACTGAACATAATTTCATTACCAACAACATGTTACACGGTACAATGACTGGTACTGTGTTTTTATTAGGGCTGGGTTTTGACACACATTTCATGATTTGATTCATAAACTTGCAATTCGACTTGAATCTCACTTCAATGTTGATTCGATAAATATCAGCTACAGTACATGGATAGGGAAAAAAGATTCTCAACTAATGCTGTAAACTATTCAGGTCAGGGAACCCTGTCTGCTGGTACATAAAATTAACAACTTATGTATACAATTATAAGGAAGTTTTTTATAATAAAAACATTATAAGAGTGAAAATATAATGAATATGTAATATAGTGCATTTATTTAGCAAAATGCTCCTCTCTCTCACGCGCAAATGTTCCCCTGGCCAGTCAAACTGATTTGCTGTTCCTCAGCTGCCTTTTATCTTGATTATGCCTCACTCGGGTATAAATAGCTAAAGCTTCTGAAAACAGAAGTGATTTACTGTATGTTGTTGCTCATAGTACACAAAAGACATACCACGCCTTAAACCATTACCTACCGGCATGTGACATAAGGCTGACACGCTTAGAGGCATTTTATCCATCACTGCTTTTGTCACCTCCGTAAATAATTAGGGCTTAAATCTGCGTGTATAACTTGCACTCTTCCACTCATGTGAGTAGGCACTTAGTTCAGTACACCAGCAGGAAGTCTGTTCTGGTTCTCAGTGTGATTACCACTGTAACAGCAATAAAAAAAAGACAGATAATACTTAACAACAACATACAGTAGGCTACTAGTGGGCCGGTTTTGCATTCATGATGTCATAATAGCCCTGGACAGCTTTCCGCTTGGTATCATACTAAAGGATAAACACGGTGCACTGGCATGTGCTAAAAGCTGTAATCATGTGGAATAGCATCTTATAGATCACCTTACAGAAATCCTCACTGTGCACGATTATATCCCCCCTCTCTCTCTCTCATATAGCCTATAGGCAATATAGAGGAAAGGTCGGCAAGTTGATTTCTATAATGCATAAATTGCTTAATTGAGCACTGGTTTTGTATGTTGGATTCAAACAACTACTTTAAAACTAAATTAGGTAAATTAGATAATTTCATTTTGTAAATTATATCCTACGTAAATATAAATAGCCTACCATCATATATTTTTTTTAAATGGTCAAATGGACACAATAGAGCCACAATGGAACACATTAAGATATTGTGTCCCTAGGACTTTAAGGCATGCATGAAATTCACTTTCAAAAATAAACACCCCAATTAATTTTCACTGTGGTAAAAAGTAGGACAACTAGCCTCATGTAATATGTGACTGATATGTGATGAGATGTTCAGCGTAGCCTACAATGAACACCACCGATTAGATTGTAGTGGCACTTTTGAACTTTAACAAAAAATATCCTACACAAATTTGAAAACGACTTCAGGCTGGCTCGAAAAACAATTACAAAAACGCTCTGCTGCATTGCACCTGTTCAAACACCTGGTGAGACGACATTATATGTGCAACACAACAGCGTTAAAACTGGCTTGTTTGTCAAGGGATATCTTCTGATTATGACTTTTGCGGGGTTTAGAATGTTTTAAGATGATGTAACCGATATATAAAGAAGATATCCTGTTAAACATGAGAGAATGGGAGCATTGAAGTTCCTGCGTCCATCTCACCTTAAAGCTGCGTTATTCCCTCAACCCGCATACATGAAACACACCAGGATATAAACTGTTGTCCTACCTGCCGCAGCATTCGTACATGAATATCCTGTGAACTGCAGTGCTGTTACATGGTCAAGTCAAGATCAGTTTTGTAGTGGTGTGTTCATTGCAGCCCGAGCTCCGAGCGCGAGGCAAACCCCCCCACGCACCCTCCGCTGGAGATGTTCATAGCGTGGGCGGAGTTTGCGCTTCCACGGATTCCCCGTGACCGTGTACACACACACACACGCAGTCTTTTACGTGTCTGCATCATAGGACTGCCATATACTCTCCCAAACTGTTTGCAACTGAGACTAGAGAGGGAACATCCTCAACATATTAGTCAGACAGACAGACAGACAGACAGACAGATAGACAGATAGATAGATAGATAGATAGATAGATAGATAGATAGATAGATAGATAGATAGATAGATAGATAGATAGATAGATAGATAGATAGATAGATAGATAGATAGATAGATAGATAGATAGATAGATAGATAGATAGATAGATAGATAGATAGATAGATAGATAGATAGATAGATAGATAGATAGACAGACAGACAGACAGACAGACAGACAGACAGACAGACAGACAGACAGACAGACAGACAGACAGACAGACAGACAGACAGATAGATAGATAGATAGATAGATAGATAGATAGATAGATAGATAGATAATGTTCATTCATGTTTTTTTATCTGGGTTTTACTTTAATGGATATCGTATTTTGTAATTAGCCTACTATGTTTGGCACAATTTGTTGTTTTGTAGGCTACTTATATTGTATATAAAAAAAATCATAGATAGGCTGGGCTACGTAAAAATATAGATTCTTAAAGCCCAATCTACCCTATAAAATTATGAGGGGAAAATAATATTAGGCTATCTTATGTTACAAAGCTGCCATCTACTGGATAGTTAGTTAATTCTCGTTCGTAAAGAGTGTGAATGTGCAATTGTAGACTGTGTGTGTGTGTGTGTGTGTGTGTGTGTGTGTGTGTGTGTGTGTGTGTGTGTGTGTGTGTGTGTGTGTGTGTGTGTGTGTGTGTGTCAAACAAATGAATAGCCTGTGAATGTATAACAATATTTATTACAAAAAGCAAAGATTAAGTAGCTACATTTATACAAAGATTATTTACAAATAAAAATGTGCACATAATGTTACTAAAAGAGAAAGATTATGGAAGAGTGTTTGGATAATATTTATGTGTGTTTTAATGATAGAGAAGATAATTGTGCAGGATAAGTGGTAAGCAAAGCAACTTAGTTTTGTTTAGTCCTTTTTGTCCCAGTGAACGTCGAATAGACCATCTGCACAGTTGAGAAAGAGAGCAAGGACCTGCAGAACCGATCACAAGCCAGAATCAGTATCGCAACATGCATTAAAACAGCATAATAGTAATGGGGCATGCTGAGTGTTTAATTTGTGTTTATTTACCTGCAATCTGCAAGAGATGTTTGATACTCTGATCTGTAGTCAATTCCAGAGGTTTCTTTCCCTCTGAGTTCCTTGATGTCCAATCAGCTCCATGCTTCAACAGTAGCTCCACCTCCTTTGCTCCGCCCACTCTGGTTGCAGCATGTAAAGGTGTGTCAAGACCCCGCCCACATTGCACATCAGCGCCTGGAGAGAGACAAGGAGCACTTTACTGTAATGCACACTGCACAGTGATTAGCAGTGGTGCTATTGTTGACTATAACTAAAACTAGGCTACTTAAAATCATTTATGGTAATTGAAATAAAGCTAAAATAAATTGTATTAATATAATATAATATTAAAATTATATATACATATTAGGGAAACACTTTATAATAAGTTTCATTACTTAACATTAGTTAACTACCTTAGCTAACATGAAATAAGAATGAACAATACTTATTCAGTATTTATTAATCTCAGTTAATATTAATTTCAACATTTATTAACACATTATTAAAATCAAAGGTTGTATTTGTTAATATTAGTTAATGCACTGTGAACTAACATGAACAAACAATGAACAGCTGGAGTTTTATTAACTAATATTAACAAAGATTAATAAATACTGTAACAAATGTATTGCCCGTTGTTAGTTCATGTTAGTTAATACATTAACTAATGTTAACTAATGAACCTTATTGTAAAGTGTTACCAATATTAGATTAAAAACTTAATGTTTATTTTTAAACCACAATTTTTAAACCACAACTCTCTCTAATGTCAGAATGTTTATTTTTAAACCACAACTTCAATGGCTGCTTCTTTTACCGATATATTTAACAATATCTTTTGCATTTCTAATCCAAACAACGTCAAACTCGGCACTGCACTTACTCGTGCCCGTAGCAAGACAACTGTCAAGTTTGAAATCCATTGGACTAACGGTTTGAGATATTCGATTAACAGACAGACAGACAGACACACACACAGACACACAGACAGACGTTCCTGTAATTTATAGATAGATATAGCTTTTAACACACACACACACACATAGTTTTTCTTCATTTTATTTCATTAATTATTTGTCTTATTTATTTCTAACTTTCATTTAGAAATAAATAAGACAAATAATTAATGAAATAAAATGAAGAAAAACTATGTGTGTGTGTGTGTGTGTGTTAAAAGCTATATCTATCTATAAATTACAGGAACGTCTGTCTGTGTGTCTGTGTGTGTGTCTGTCTGTCTGTCTGTTAATCGAATATCTCAAACCGTTAGTCCAATGGATTTCAAACTTGACAGTTGTCTTGCTACGGGCACGAGTAAGTGCAGTGCCGAGTTTGACGTTGTTTGGATTAGAAATGCAAACGATATTGTTAAATATATCGGTAAAAGAAGCACACATTGGCTTTTGCCACTCTAGCCGCTGGCCACTCTGGCTCACACTGCACACTGAGTGGCCACTCCCCCTCCACACTGCACACTGAGTGGCCACTCCCCCTCCACACTGCACACTGAGTGGCCACTCCCCCTCCACACTGCACACTGAGTGGCCACTCCCTCTCTCACACTGCACACTGAGTGGCCACTCCCCCTCTCACACTGCACACTGAGTGGCCACTCCCCCTCTCACACTGCACACTGAGTGGCCACTCCCCCTCTCACACTGCACACTGAGTGGCCACTCCCCCTCCACACTGCACACTGAGTGGCCACTCCCCCTCCACACTGCACACTGAGTGGCCACTCCCCCTCCACACTGCACACTGAGTGGCCACTCCCCCTCTCACACTGCACACTGAGTGGCCACTCCCCCTCTCACACTGCACACTGAGTGGCCACTCCCCAAAATAAACATTCTGACATTAGAGGGTTGTGGTTTAAAAATATCTGAATATTATATTTTATTCACGGCCATCATTTGTAGTAGCCTATTCACCAACTGTTTGCTCAAGCGTAGCATTTTCTTGGAGTTCACTGTGTAGCTGCTCCAGCCAAGGTCTGAACCTCCCCTGAATTGCCGCGCTTATTCATTTTGTGGATGTTAACTGAATCTGTAAGTCAGCTACACTGTTTAATTCTGAATATTATATTTTATTCTGGTGCGCTTAACGTTATCATTTTCTCAGAGTTTAGGCACCTGTGTAATAGTAGCCTAGGCTATTCAGCAACTCAAACATACCAAACCAACAATTACTAAAAACAGATTTTGCACGGGCATTGCACTAGTAATAACAAACACAACAAACATGTAGCAAACGCGCTATGCAAATAAACTTGATGTGCCTTACTTTGCCTATGAAGCACAAACTGTGTGAAAATGTAATGTTTGGAGAGATACAAACTGAAACCTATGAGATAAAACATTTCTGTACAAATGCACAGACCAGTCATTTTTAATTTGCCAACAATTGACTTGTTGGAAGATCATTAATGATCTCATATACAGTGTTTTTCTACTGTACCACATTAAAGGATGGGATTATAGGGATTAAAAGTGGACAAAAGGTGGTTAACGTTAATTTCATTGTGTTAGTCGCTTTGGAATGTAAATTGAGCAGGTTTCAGAGATTAAAATTTTTCAATTTTATTATATTCCGGAAAATACGGTACTTGAAATTTATGTATACACTCTTCTATGCAAGTGTAGATTTTCTCTAGTATACTAAAATTTAAACTAAAATTAAAGTGAACACTGAAGATATAAATTACAAATAATGAGTATTAAATATTTAATACATTTTATTACAAAATATTATAACTGTATAAAACCAAAATAACCCTGCTAATTAGTGGGAACAAATAATTATATATTGTATTTAAACTGTATGTATTTATACATGTATGATTTAGCTTGGATTAGATTTGGCATTTTCTCTAATTGATTACGTGCTATTTAATCTATTTAGTTGTAACTAAACAAAAAAAAAGAGACAATACATGATCCAGATAGGATATTTTTGTTACTGTACTACAGTAATGTGCATGTGAGAATCATCTTTGAGATAACACAAAATAAAACAAAAATGTATTTATTAACCCATGAAGGGTGGCGTGTGTGATTCTGACCTGAGATCAGCAGGCTTTGAACACAGTCTGTGCTCTTGGATTCACATGCACAGTACAGCGGTGTTCCTATGCTGGGCAACTCCATGTCCACATTCACACCATGAGACAGCAGCAGTTCAACACATGCTGTGTGACCTAAAACATGTACACACAGACATCCGGTTTACTGAAATCCCAATGTTTACAGTTCTCTGTAAATCCACAAGAATCATCACATATACCTCTCTTTGCTGCTTCATGAAGAGGTGAGCTCAGCAGATGAGCCGGATGGTGGACAGAGCTGTACATCAGAATGAGGCTGACGAGAGTGGGGTTTCCACTCCAGCATGCATTGAAGAGAGGAGTGGCTCCATCAAAGGAGACGGCATTCGCCTGAATGCATACATATTGCAGCCATTAATGCATGTTAATGCAGAGAAAAAGAGAAAAATAAAGGCATAAATATTGCAAATAAAGAGAAAGTTAGGCCTATATACATACATCAGCGCCATGTTCCAGAAGTTGTTTAGCACAGGTAAAATGGCCTCCAACACATGCTTCATGCAGTGGTGTGATTCCATCTAATGTAGCCATGCCCACATTGTATCCCTATAAAAATGCAAACATGGACAATTAATTTCCTTCATTCATAATAACCGTTTGTTTTAATACATAGTCTTCTGTCCTTAAACCTCAATATGTAATAGTGGCCCCAGACCAGTCGGGCTGGTTTGTATTATCTAGTCCA